ACTGCCACTTCAGCGTTGATTGCTAAGTCATTAACGGAATAAATGTTTGACCGTTAATATTAACAGTCAACACAAGTTTCGGGCCAAATCTGTCCAATAATTTTAAAAGTAGGTCATAAACGTCTTATTTAAAAAATGGGGCCAAAACTGTCACTTACGCTAAACTTCGGGCCAAACGAGGGTATTAACCCTTAAAATTATTTGTCAATATTTTTTTTTTGTTTCTTTTGACACGCATGCCAATCAATAATTTGTAATGGCTATTTACTATTATTATGACGTTTATTAAATAAAAAGGCGGGAAATGAGAATAAATATGAGTGTATGAGTACACGTTGATTTTTTGGTTATTCAAACCAAAACCATTTAAGCCCTTATTGGTTTTTGGAAACTGAAAACCAATAAGGACCTTAATGGTTTTGGTTTTTGGAGATTTGGTTTTTGGTTTTTCATACTTAATGGTTTGTTAACCAAACCAAATTGACAGCCCTAGGCGGAGGCAGGGTCGGAAGCTCCCTCGGAGGCTCGGACCCACCTTGACTTTAGATTACAACAAAAGAAAAAGGAATATTAGAAATATAAAATTTGTACATGTTAGAAAAAATGTTTGATTTCATCTTGCAAACAACTCTTGTATCGGTAATTTGGATGGGGCGAAGTGCAAATGTAGTGCTACAAACGTATGATGAATGTTAAAATATCCAAAAGCTTTCAAAACTATAAACACGTGAGTTTCATCGTAACGCCGCCCTTCAAGAGAGTTTGGAAATTACTCAAACGATCGAGAGATTCTGATGTCGATGTATGTATGTTTTTTTTTTCTTTCTCTCTTCTTGCTTACAATTTGCTATAGCGTGCGTCAATTCAAATCTCCTACTTCAAATCTTCCTCCTTCGTCTTCCTCATCGCCAATGTAATTTGTAGGGAGTTTATCATGGAATTGAATGCTAGCTCTGAAAGATCCCGCACATGCACCAAATTTTTTTGTCTTGTAAGGCTTTCGGCAGTATCCAGCCGAACATGGAATTGAGGTTTCTCGTGTTTGCATGAATAAGTTGATGTCTTCAGCCTTAGGGTTTGAAACAAACTAATATTCCCTTGTTGCCGGACGAAATTATAGTCTTATTTCACAAATATGTTAGTTAGATAATCATTTATCTTGAATAAGGTAAATAAGCTTCAAAAATGAATTTATCATTGCATCCACTTGTTGCTGACTCAATCGTAAACTCGATTCGACATTGATACTTAGTTATAAAGTGATGTATAACAGTCTAGAGCATAAGTTGATAGTTTGTATTTATTTATATAATATTCTAAAATTTATACATAGGACAGGACAACAAGCTGTCAAAGCATATACGCCACCAAAGCGCAGCCAGAGTTCCGATAAAAGGTTAAGCACAGGATCCAACCCGATAAATATAAAAATACATAAATTGTAAATCTAGATATCCTGTTTCAGGGCCAGCATGGAATTGAGGTTCATTGGGAAGACAACGTCTGCAGAACCAGTCAAGATGCTTTCTGCAAAAAACCCCGTAGCCCTGTCTGTGGTATGGATGGAATCCCAAAACAGAAACTCATCTCGGTTTGGACACAGATTCGATGCTGGTGTGCATTGCCCTAGCCCGTTATAAGGACCCTGTCCGCAACAAGCCTCTTTCGTCTCGATAAACCCTGGACAACATGGTCATCATCATATAAAATAAATCCCAATTCGAAAATTTGATGCTTATCTTACTATCTTATGTGTAAAAAGGTCATTACGGAAGTGTTACGTAATGAATGTCTCTTTTTAGTTTTTACATAATTAATGTCAACCTCTCGTTACTTAAAGTGCTAAATCATTATGGAAGACATACGTACATAACGCTTCTGATTTAACTAGTATGTAACATTATTACCGTAAGCCCCAGGATTGTTGCGGATGTCGATGGCCAGCGCAGCGGAATTGGCAACAACGGCGAAAACGTAACCAAACCGATCGTTCAGCTGCTGAACCATCCGATTCAGCTGGGAGTTGAAGAGAGACGCCGCGTTCTGGAGCTCCGGATCGCACTCGCCGCCCCTGGTTGCCAACTGCGCCGGCCAGCACGCAAACGGGCTCGTCCCAATCACCAGCATCCGGCGAGCCCCCAGCTCGTTCAGCCTGAGCAGGTATTTGGACAGCTCGGAGATGAGGAGATCGACGAACTCGGGGACAGTGTACTGGCTGGCGCGGGCGGAGAAAGGTGGCGAGAAGTAGTTGTCGGTGAAATCGGCGGAGCCGACGGCGAAGAGGAACAATCCCTTGTTGACTAGTTGCTCAGCCTGTTTTGTTCCTCCGACCACCGCCGCCAGCTTCTTCTTGTATTGCTGGAAGGCTAGCAACTGCTTGGGGATCCTTATTATGTTGCCCTACGTAGAAAGAAAAAGATAAAAAAAAACATATCAAACTCCTTCCCAACAATTCAAGTTATTGACTATTGGTTAGCATGGTATTAAAGTTTTCGCAAGACCACACAATTTAGGTATTGTCTGAATCTAATTTATTATGGATCGATTGATTGGATAATTTCATTTTTTGGATACCCGTACCCTACCTTTCAGTTTGAGTCTAGATTAGACCCGCTTTACATTGGGCATCCAACTCTAATATGTGGATTTTACATTTTTTTTTCTACTAAAACAAACATGAATGTGGAAACACCAACATTTAAGACGAGTGAATTGGTTGAAAGTGAATAGTGAGATTGTCGATATTACTTTTTTTCGTGTGATTAACTATATAGATCCAAACAGACTCATTCACATCCGATCTAAATTAGTTGACCCGAATCCAACCCAACTCAAACCCACGATATTTATTAAGATGTATATGAGTTCATTTGGGGTCCAACCCAATATGATCATGATAATTGGATCCAATTACCAAACTGGTCGACCCCATTCTCATCATCCCTATAATCTCGAGTAAAGAAGTATCGTTATGACTAAAGAGAACCCCAACTAACTAACGCAATTAGGGATAGCTAGCTAGCTAGCTAGCTTACTTGTTGGACTCCGGTGTCATTCAGGATCCCGGCTCCGCCGGAAGCGAAGTTGGCACCGTAAAGCAGCCTCTCCCCGTTGAGCTGTGGGCTCAGGTACGGCGATGGTGGCTCCGGCAGCTTCAGTGCTACACCTGCGTGCGTACGTACATGCATGTCGGGTCCCAAATATCACCATGCATATTTGGTTTGGAATTCCGAAATACGTAAACAAAACAACGAATCAAGGTACGTACTGAGGAAATCGGGTAGGTTGCGGTAATTAGAGAAACGGCCGGTGGGTTGGCCGGTGGGGGAGTCGATCCCGTACGGCGGCGAGTCTGCCTTCACCGTCGTGTCCAAGTAATTGTTGTTCCCACTGTCCCCACGGGAACCGCCGAACACTAACAAAAGAGGAGGGACATAACCCGGGTCGGGCGCCCCGACCCGGTCTACCAAACTACAGCCCAACAATATGGCTAAGCCCACGACCAGGCCCACCATCTTCGCCATGGCGGGGGGAGAGAGAGAGAGAAAGAGAGAATGTAGTTATGTAATTATGCACACGATGGGTTTTCTACTTCTAGGGAAGCCTTGAGAGTTGAGAGGCTTTTATATATACTGCATGGGAGAGACCAAATGGTTCTTTTTCTACTCACTCCCCACGTCAAGATGACCAGTCACTCTCAGTATTCGTTTTTCTACTCACTCCCCACGGCTCTCTCTGTTTCTTTCTCTTTTTCTCGTTTCATTTTCTCACTTCCACTTGCATTCACAACATAAACTTCTCTTCCTTCCATTTCATATAGTTACTAGAGGCTAGTTAATGAATTCAACTTGAGAGCTCATGTTCGATCGAGATCAGCGATAGTATTATTAGATCACACTCTCTTGTTCGCATTCATTTTATTTAGTCACTGTTTTTAAGGAGTGAACCTATCAGTTGGTAAGTTACGATGTGTAACTCTACACTTACCATTTTGTAGATCCAATAGATCACGATGAACTCATTCCCCATTAGCAACAAAAAAAATGAAAATTTAAGTCATTTAATTTCACCTCTTAGATCCGACCCTCAATTAATATCATAGGCTCATAACAAGTTATGCAAGTGTGCATAATCAAGGGTAGGAGCTGACAAGCGGTTCGCGGTATACATCCGAATCGATCCAAACCGAACCATACATAAACCGACCCGAAATCGAACAACACTCAATCAACTTGGAATTCGATTGTTGGCAAAAGCTCAATTGCTATGAAATGAATGACTTCTTCTTTTTGAAAACTTAAAACAAAATTTTGTTTAGTAGGTCTCTCTTTTGTAAGGAATTGATTAATCTTCATACATGAACTTTTTCCAACAACTCGAGTTATTGAGACCAACTGAATCTTGACATGGTATCAGAGCTTTCTGAGAGGTCTTGTTTTCGAGTCATCACGAGTCCCATTTTGTTAAGCACATGGTATTTGGACATGTGCATACTTCAAACCCTTATGTGATATAAGATTTATAATTGAAGCTATCCCAATAACTCGAATTATTAGGACGAATTGGTATATCACATTTTTTACTTTCTACATCAAATTTTAATGTCAGATTGGTCTCTTTTTTCTCTCTATTTTCACAACTAGCTTTTTTTTGTTTTTATCTTCCTAATTAATGAAATTTTGTGAGCAGGATGGATCTGTGCAATCAAACCGCATAGATCTGTGTTTCTTGCTGAACTTCATGCACCGAACCGGCCGCTAAGATTTTGTAGTGCATTCCTAGCTAGCGTGCAACAATTCATATCACCTACTTTAAATCTTCCTCTGTCTCACAGCCAATAATGTACTTTGCAATTTGCATGGAGTTTATCATGAAATCGAATGCTCTATATAAGCTTCAACACACCAATATATCTTACAGACTTTATTCCCCTTAGTCATAAGTAGGTAAAAATCAAACTTGCATTGCATTGCATATGAAAATAGATGATTTTAAACATTTTAGGCCTCGTGTTCCATGGCCAGCATGGAATTGAGGTTCATCGGGAAGACGACGTTTGTGGGACCACTCGAGATGGCTTCAACATAGAACCCCAGATACCTGTCGCTGGGATTGGTCGGATCCCAATACAGATACTCATCTCTGTTCGGACACAGATTCGACGCTGGCGTGCATTGCCCTAGCCCGTTGTAAGGACCCTGCCCGCAACAGGCCACCCTCGTTTCAGTAAACCCTAGGGGACAACATGTCATCGTTTAGAATAAATCATCTCAACTAAAAAAAATTACTAATGCAACCGTTCATTTTCAAATGTAATAGAGCATTTCCCTTTTTTTATTTTTGGCAAAGTCAGAGTATTAATCAAAAGTCACAGACCGGAAGAAAAAAACAAAGCGCGGGAGTCGACCAATAGTCGAACTCCCGATGAAAGGGCTTTTTGTGCTACATGATGGACAGCCTTATTAAGTTGACGAGAAACAAAACAGAAAGAAACACGGTGGAAAGAACATTTCCCCCTATTATTTGCATAAACATGAAGTTAATTACCATAAGCCCCAGGATTGTTGCGGAACTGGTCGGTCAATGTAACGGCGTTGGCAGCAACGACGAAGACGTGGCCAAGTTGATCGTTGAGCCGCCGAGCCAGCCGATTCAGCTGGGAGTTGAAGAGAGACGCCGCGTTCTCGAGCTCGGGAACGCACTCCCCGCCGCCGCCGCCGCTGATCGTCGCCAACTGCGCCGGCCAGCACGCGAACGGGCTCGTCCCAGTCACCAGCGTCCGGCGAGCCCCCAGCTCGTACAGCCTCAGCAGGTGTTTGGACAGCTCGGAGATGAGGAGATCGACGAACTCGACGACGGTGTACTGGCTGGCGCGTGCGGAGAGAGGGCGCGTGTAGTAGTTGTTGGCGAAATCGTCGGCGCCGACGGCGAAGAAGAACAGTCCCTGGTTGACTAGCCGGTCGGCCTGTTCTCTTCCTCCGACCTGCGCCGCCAGCTTGTCCTTGTATTGCGGGAAGGCTAGCAACTGCTCGGCGATCGTTATTATGTTCCCCTAATATACCAACCAAAATGAATAAGCCTTACCAACATAGTTAGTAAAATACGGTACGGGAAAGTTACGTAAAAAATACGTATGGGTATTTTACGTCGTCTCTAAGGCCTAAGCTAAAGGTACGTTTAATAGTACGTTAATAATAATAAATATATAAAAATAAATTATTTTAAGAATAAATAAATATATAAATAATAGTAAAGTTCACAATTTAAACTGAAAAAATGAAACAGCTTGACAATAATACAGATACGGAAGTTTTAAACAGATAAAGTACATACGGCCGTACATATACGTGTATTAAACGGAGTATTTACTAACTATGCTTACCAATGAAAAAAAAAAAAATGGAAGGGGCTTACTTGCTGGACGCCGGTGTCATTTAAGATCCCGGCTCCGCCGGAAGCGAGGTTGGCACCGTAAAGTAGCCTCTCCCCGTTGAGTTGGGGGCTCAAGTACGGCAACGGAGGCTGCGGCAGCTTCAGTGCTACACCTGTTTATGAAAAATACAAAACATATGTTGAAGTAAATTGTGCATTATTAAGATCCAAACTGTCATATCATTTTTTTTTCCCCAGTGTTTGAGTTAGATTTTTACGTAAAAATATTGCCCACTCAACCCAAAACAAACTTAAGATTTTTAATTTTTTAGGTAGGTTTGAATTTAGTATTTTCAAAATCCAAAACCAAAATATATGGTTCAGATGATTAAAACGACTAAACTCGAACTATCGAATCCATAGACATAAACAAAGAATCAAGGGTACGTACTCAGGAAATCGGGTATGTTGCGGTAATTAGAGAAACGGCCGGTGGGGCGGCGGGTCGGAGAGTCGATCCCGTACGGCGGCGAGTCTGCCTTCACCGTCGTGTCCAAGTAATTGTTGTTTCCACTATCTCCACGGGAACCACCGAACACATACAGAGGGACAAAATCTGGGCCGGACGCTCCGACCCGGCCGGCTACCAAACTACAGTGACCCAATATGGCAGAGCCCACTACCAGCAGCAGGCCTACCTTCTTCGCCATTGCAGAAAGGCTAGCCATGGCGGACAGAGACAGAGACGGAGATGGAGAGATTATGTGATTGTGCACACGATATGGCGGTTTCTAGCTAGGGGAAGCCATGAAAAGGCTCTTCATATAATACATGGAGTCATGGAGAGCAAATGGTATTATATGTGGGAAAACATCTTTCGTCAACGTTAGGTGACAAAACACCTAATGCCAATTTATTCACGTATTTTTGTACTCATTCACGTCATTTGGTGTATATTCATATAATACTATGTTTATTCACGTAAGAGTGTAAGTTATTCACGTAAATGAAAATTCGGACTTTTTCTCCCTAATAATTTGTATTGGCTATATTTTATGGAATTAAATGTGGTTTCTCAATTAGTCTGTAAAAATATGTTGCATTGATCATAATCTACACAATTACATCCATGTTGATATATTTTAACGTCTAAAATTTAATTTTACAATGGCGTGAATAAATAACAATATGCGTGAATAAACATCAGGTTGTGTGACTAAACAATATTGATTGCGTGAATAAGCAACACTCTTACGTGAATAATGTCAATATGGCGTGAATAACGCAAATATTGTATGAATAAATGAAAAAAATGCGTGAATTAGGTGTTCTTTCTTGTCACCTAACGTGAGAAGAAACTTGATTCATGAAGATCACTCACTCTCAAATCTCAATAATATTCATTTTCTACTCACTCCCCCACGTATCTCTCTTCTTTCTTTTCTCCACTTCCACTTGCACACACAACAAAAACTTCTACACCTTCGCATTAATTTTAGGACGTGCGACATAGATTAAAACATGTAACTTGCTCATCATCCATCGTAGGTTTGGCGGATCAATCGACTATCGATTTGAGTATTGAAAGACCTAAGATATCGAGGGTGAAATTCATGTTGTTGAAATAGATTAATTTGCGATAAATTGAATTTTATCTCCATGAAATAAAGTTTGGTGTACCAGATAAAATCTCTTTATCAATGTGGAAGCCTGTCTAACGCTCGAATCGCATATACACATATTTTTTCAAAATTTTTAGGGGTGTCAACGCCCCCTTGCTTCTGCCTAGGGTTGCATCATATTGTTTGGTGTTGCTATATATATATTTTAAATTTTCCTTTGTCGATTCTACTATCACCTCTCAATCACCTTTCTAATATATAATCGCGGAACACAACAAATACATCGACCAAAACTAGCTCAATTCTCATAAAAAAATCTTGCGAACTCTCAAGAATTGTCAACCCTGATCGACAATTTTACTTGTACATAGCTACCAAGTAATCTATTCGAATGATAAACTTCAAAAATTAAACACGAAATTATATATATATATATATAGTATCGAACTTCATATCTCCATATTTCACGAGGGATAATCTTTGCTTAATGAAAGGAGTGTTTGTCGTTTGTCAACGGCAAATTTTTGTTGCTATTAATTTGCACGAAGGCTGAACCAGCCAGCCACTAGTAAACTGGCAAATTTGGTCTCTAAGCTACTGAATTGCGTCATCTAGGATAACGTATAATATATGAACCATGTAACCAGTGTAGTAGCAGCCTTCCTTCTATCTCTATCTCTGTCTCGTTTCATTAATTTGATTCTTACCAAACATTTGTATACAAATTTTTTTATACCATAACTCATTTGTTGTTTTGTGTTTTCTTCTAGTATACAGATGGACCAATGGATTTCAAGCTTTTGAGTCGTACGTATTATAGTAATACATATCTACCTTTGTGTCATGTTCCTAGCTCGCCGGAATCTCCAATCGGCACACCTGTCCTGAAATTTTTGTTAATTATATGATGGTTTGATGATACATTAATTAATCATTAGCTAATCGAAACGCCGGCCTCTTCAATCGTGACACCTGTTAATGATGATGAGAACATTAATCATAAACAAATCGTAATTTGTTTTATTTTTTTGTTCTTGTTGAATTTGGATTAGCATATTTGATCATGAGTATAGAAAGGTTCAATGCATAACATGAGAAAGGGTAATAATTAATATGGAACCCTATGAAAGTACTAATCATGGCAAACTCGCCGACATGGTTTAATTATAGAATCGTCGACTAGTACGGTATTGTATCAGTCTCGCAATAATGATTGATTATCAACATGTGAAAGAATGAATACAAGATCTTACTGGATATTTCAACCATTGCTCTAATATCGGTATTTCATAAGATTCAAATTCTGTTAAGTACAAGTACAGAAATCACATTGTCTAATTTTATTTTTTTTTGGTTCTACTATTTTTTAAATTTGAGAAACCTATTTAGTTCGTATCTATAAACTTCCCGATGAGAATATTTACTACAAAAAATGAAAATAAAGTCATCACATTTATAAATGAAATTTACTGAACACACATTTTCACAATGATAATAGCACGACTTGAATGACACGCCAAAATCAATTAGACCAAACTTCAAATCAGTATCACTAAGCCACACCCAGAAATTAAATTCTCCTGTGATCAATAATTGATGCAAAGATTAGCCCTATAATTACGGCCACCTGCTCAAAAGGCAAATGAGAATTGATAATGGGGCCATCAATCCACCACCAACCAAAAAAGAGAGGCATAGCTAGATGCCAATTTCCTATCATTATAGCCTATTAATCAAATCTTGTAAAAGAAGAGGAACGGTTAAAATGATACAACTTATCATCCAAACAAATAAATAGTTGCGAAGTATATTTACTAGGTACAAGTACCGGCACCCATCAGCTCACATATTTACAGGTAGATTGATCGTTGATCCAAATGATATTAGTGCGAGCATACATGTTAAAACTCACTAATCAATAATCATCCACTCTATACCATGAGATGGAAAAGAAAAGTTAAACAAAATAGGAAGGGGAAGGAAAACACTAAGGGCTAGTTTCTAACATCCGATTCCAGATGTTGTATTATTTTTAGTATACATGTATCCTGAGAATATAACGTTTTTTTACTTGATGTCAGGGCTGGGAAAATAGACCAGACCGTTAGAAAAATCGTGGTCCAAACCGTACCGCATAGTTTGGTCTGGACCGTAGACCGTTAAGTATGATCTTGTCTGGTCCATGGTCTGTATTATTTTATGTTTTGATCTCTTGGTCTGGTCTGGTCTAGACCGCGGTTTACCGACCAAACCGTGGACCCAACCGATTTGTCAATTCGTGTTAACAGCCCATTCGACCACTCTCCCAGCTCCCACAACGACGCCCAAGTCTCAATCTTAGTTTTGTGAATCTCGTCCCTCCTTCATTCACAACCACATTTGACCATAGAGTAGAGATAATTGTGTCTCCATATGACATTATGTTAATGTTTATGATGTTATGGTGCAAGTTGGAATGCTTTTACTATGTATCTTTGTTATGTACTAAGATTTAGTGTATCAAAATTATTCATGCATGTTAGGATTAATGTGTTAAGGAAAATAACAATTATTTTTCTTGGTTATTGGTTCAATTTTTTGTGTGGTTGACTATACAAATTATTCATTTTCCGTTGAGTGTGGTATATCTGGACCAGACCAGACCGAACCAGACCGCACAGGCGTGGTCTGGACGTACGAGACCGTATAGTTTGTGGTCTGATATGTGGTCTATACTTCGGCCTCTCGGTCTGGATCATAAACCATATATATGACCAGACCGCACCGTTTCCCGGCCCTACTTGATGTAATAACATAATGCATGTATTCATAATCCATGTTGTATTCCTAATACATAGAAAATGATGTATTCATAGTCTTACCTTTTTGGTGAGATTTTAGTATCCATAGTTCATTTAAATTACAATCCATGCATTCGTGTAAGGTTCCAAACAATAGATTTTCAAAACCACATATTCTAAGTATACACATAATCTTTAATACACACATTTTCGTAATACATCATTTTCAAAATCAAAGATTTTAAACGACGCCTAAACACGCAAAAAACATATAAAACGACAATCTGCACGGTGCCTTTACTGTCGTATCGGTTTCAACAACCCCAAAAAAAAAACTTGTAAATGAAAACAATTAAAGATAATTATTAATTAGAGCAAAATAACAGAAAAAGAAAAGTAATTAATAAGCTGCAGCTGGTTTCAGCTCAGAGTCAAACAAACATCAAACTTTCTCCTTTTCCTACTAATTTCCTCTTCTTCACAGACTACCTTCCCAAAGACAAATCCACTCTTCTCCCAAAAGAAGAAAAAAAAACTCCCCCTTTCTTCTTCCTCCTCCTTCTTCTTCATCGCAATCCGAATCCAACCCACATCCAAATCTCCAATCTTTCTCGGAAAAACGCGCAGAAATGGGATGTTGCGGCAGCAGAGAAGACTCTGCTTCCAAGCCCCAATTCAACGGCTACACACCACCTCCCCCTCCTTCTCACAACACCCACCAATCGGCCGCCGTCGAGCACCATCAGCCGCCGCCGGTGAGGACAGCACCCCCAGCACCAGCTCCCGCTCCGAGGAGACCCGCGGCGGCAGCGAGGGATACGATCCTGGGGAAGCCATTTGAGGACATCAGGCAGTCCTACACGCTGGGGAAAGAACTGGGTCGGGGCCAATTTGGGATTACTTACCTCTGCACGGAGAATTCCACCGGCCAGACCTACGCCTGCAAATCGATACTGAAGAGGAAGCTGGCGAGCAAGAGCGACAGGGAAGATGTGAAGAGGGAGGTTCAGATTATGCAGCACCTGTCCGGTCAGCCCAACATTGTGGAGTTCAAGGGCTGTTACGAGGACAGGCAGTCGGTCCATCTGGTGATGGAGCTCTGCGCCGGCGGGGAGCTCTTCGATCGGATTATTGCCAAGGGGCATTACTCGGAGAAAGATGCGGCGAAGATTTGCAGGGAGGTTGTGAATGTGGTCCACGCTTGCCATTTCATGGGGGTCTTGCATAGGGATCTCAAGCCGGAGAATTTCTTGCTGAGTTCGAAAGATGAAGCGGCGACCCTGAAAGCTACTGATTTTGGACTCTCGGTGTTCATTGAAGAAGGTATATAGGAAATTCCTTGATCCTTAGGCTTCGCTTCTATGTTTTGGTTGGTATGTTACACTATGTGGTTGTTGTAAGGAGAGCTAATCCGATCTGTAGACTTAAGGTTTGAGTAGGTCCAATTGCTTTGCTTTAACTTCTAATGGTACATCAGTATGATTTGGGAAAGGTTGGTTATCATGGCGAAGCATAGGTTCATATCATCATATGCTATGAATTTCTCATGATGGATGAGTATTGTTGGCCTAAAACCGAAGGGTAATTGGTTGCTCTAAGAATGGTTGTTTCGAGTTACTTTCAGAAGTTTACTTGAGTACACTGCAATGATGCTAGAAGTGTCCCTTTTCGTGTTTGTGTTCTGATCACAAAATTTGGTAAACAACTATTGCAGGCAAAGTTTATAGGGACATAGTTGGCAGTGCGTACTATGTCGCCCCTGAAGTCTTGCGTCGAAGCTATGGGAAGGAGATTGACATTTGGAGTGCAGGAGTTATCATGTACATTCTGCTCAGTGGCGTGCCTCCATTTTGGGGAGGTAAAAGAAGAAACATATACTGAATGAAACTTCACCATGGGAATATATGCTTATAGTACCTCTGTACCCTCTCTTCCTGTTGTTGACCCTCATTGTTCTTTTGCTGCAGAAAATGAGAAGGGAATATTTGATTCCGTTCTCCAAGGAGAGATTGATTTCGAGACTGATCCATGGCCGATTATATCTGACAGTGCCAAGGATCTGATTAGGAAGATGCTTACTCAAGACACAAAGAAACGTTTAACTTCTGCACAAGTGCTTGGTATGAAACGCTCACTACAATGGTCGCTTGATTTTTTATCTGGAATTTGCTCGATTGATTTACAATGCTCGTATGAATCTTTATTTTTCAGAGCATCCATGGATCAAGGGTGGTGCTGCATCAGACAAACCAATCGGTAGTGCAGTCCTTTCCAGAATGAAGCAGTTCAGGGCTATGAATAACTTGAAGAAGCTTGCCTTGAAGGTAAAGAGATAACGAGGAAAGAAAAAAATGAAAGCTATGACATTCCTTAATGAATTTATTCTTGTATGCTTGAAGTAAATGTGAGCATTGCTTTCCTAGGTTATTGCTGAGAATCTGTCCGAAGAAGAGATCAAGGGTCTCAAAGCAACATTCATGAACTTGGACACAGACAAGAGTGGTACCATTACATATGAAGAACTGAAGACTGGTTTAGCTCGATTAGGATCAAAGCTGTCTGAAGCTGAGGTTAAGCAACTCATGGAAGCTGTAAGTCGCATAGAAAGAAATCTATACAGATAACTCTTCTTCTTTCCTAGCTACTGTTCTTACTTTTAATATTCAATTCCTTCTCACTGCTTGTCCTTAGGCTGATGTGGATGGAAATGGAACGATTGACTACACCGAGTTCATCTCTGCAACAATGCACAGATACAAGCTCGAAAGAGACGAGCATTTGTACAAAGCATTCCAGCATTTCGATAAGGATGGCAGTGGGTGAGTTTCCCAACTCTTTGCATGTTTCTAATGCTGTGCCATATAACTTAGGTGCATTTGTCTATAGCTCAAGATTGGAAACTTACAGCATAGTGTACTACTGAGTGGTGACATTAGGTACATAACAAGGGATGAATTGGAAGGTGCCATGATGGAGTACGGAATAGGGGATGAAGGCAGCATCAAGGAGATCATTGCTGAAGTCGATACAGACAATGTAAGAATACCTTCTGTTTCATACTAAGAACTCTCTCACTGCACATTTCTCTCAATCAGTGACTTACTGAACAGCACGTGATGTGTATTAACAGGATGGTAAGATCAACTACGATGAGTTCTGTGCTATGATGAGAAGTGGAGGAGCCGAAGTTCAAGCGAAGCTTTTGTAAAGCTGAGGTATGGTACTTATAAATGGACAACAAAAAGTTGATGTCTTTGTTTCGAGTTCGTGCGAGGTGCGATGATGATGCTGCTGCTGATGTTCTTTGTGTATATCTTTTGCTTTTGAGTTTTTCCATTCTTTGATGTAATCTTTTGATGGGGGCAAGTTGAGCTGAGTGCGGAGGCCTTTGCTTCGGGACTACCATTGATAGTTGTTACATTACATACTCTATCTGTGCTGTCTTCAGCAGATTTTGCGCATGTTTTGGACAATGAGAATGTATTTTATACGACTACCTCTCTTTCAAAGCTTCTGCTGTAATACGTGATTATTTCTCACTTATTTAAAATTGATTATTTCCATTTTGCGGATAATCTAGGGGACAACACGCAAGAGTTCAGCCCTCTTGGCTGCCCCGTTCTGCATTAGTATCATGCCTAAACTATTTTGGATTTTCTAAATCGTTTATGTTTGATTTCATGCATCAGAGAATTATCTTTATCTGTCCAAAGCATACAACGTCTAGTCTATACTTGTCAATTTTCAAGTAGCATTGTTTGAGAATTCTTAACCAATACACACTCAACTCTTAATATTGATATCTATCCTTCACCCAAATTTAACTCAAGGCTTAGTTGAGGAATATTGACTTTCGGCTGTCTATCTTCTATTCGAATAAACTCATTTGGGTCTGATCCAAAATGGTTAATCTGAATTGGATTCAATTCAAACTCAATATCATTAAAGGTGTATTTGGGTCTGATCCAAAAAGGTTAATCCGAATTGGATTCAATTCAAACTCAATATCATTAAAGGTGTATTTGGATTTGATCGAATGTTTACATGATCATGACATATGGGTCAAATTACCCAACAAGTCAGTCAAGTGTCACCCCTAACTCCTAAGTTGAATTATTATCAGTAGTATCTTAAGTTAAGAAGATATTAAAAATGCTAATAGAACATTCATTTATCTTCTACCTCCTCATCCATCCATGATTCCCCGTGGCTTGTCATAAGCCTCAGCTCGATCATATTCATACAATAAGAGCTGGAAAGTGAAGAGTATCCAAGGTTTCATTAGGGTTTGGTTTATATAATCTTTGTCCGACAACAATCTGCTGCTACAAAAGACAAAGCTTACAAGCTGGTTTTGCACGTGAGGTTGGTAATTATTATGCATTCCAACCCACAAATAAGCACTAATGATATATAGTAATCAACACTAATTTGTATTCCAAAATTGCACGTGTGCAATCCAGTTCATTAATGGCCCTGCCTGGGAAATGGCACTCACTGGTCTCTGTACTCGAGACCAACAGTAGAAAATGAAGAAGGGAAACTCAACTGGAGTTTCTCATATACAATGTATTTGAGTCTATCTGAATCCTACGATGTCTTTCACTTTATAAGCGAAAGTAATTGTGCTCTTCTACATGGTATTGCATATCTATTGTTAACGTTACCGCTCATAAAAATATTGATAGACGCGCGATATAAATTATTCTTCTGATTATCCGAACATCTCTAATACCCAAAGGAGGAGGACTAATTATTTATTAGGGGTTGTCTGTTCTACCACTACATCTTGTTTGTATTGGATAGTTGGTGCCCTGTTTTTCATTGTTGTATTAATAATGTGGAACAGAGTAATAAGTAGTGCAAGCTAGCCTGTATTAAATGTGAAATTGCCTTGGATGCTCTTCATCCTAGCTTTATTGTCATATTTAAAAATTAAACTTTGTGAGTTTCCCCAAATTTCATGCAATCTTTAATTGTTTACAATTGAGACGGTGAGCATGTTGTCTCCCTTTGTATTTTAATTGGTGGGCACACTCACTGTTTAGCATTGGAAGCAAATAAAACCAGAATTATGTCATTTCTGAATCGACGTCGAAATATTGGGAGCAATATCATTTACCAACAGAGCATGTTTATTGTGTTCGTACTACTTATCAGAGTGAAGGGATAACTAATATCAGTGCTCATTTCTTATTTGGACAGTAAATGTGTGTTGATGACTTAATATACGTCATCAAAAGATGCGACTCAAGTGGTGAAGCATGCGAGTTGACGTGCTAGAGGATCTGATTCTCATAATCAACCATTGTGAGAAAAATCTCTTAGCGGCCATTGGTAGGTAGGACTATTATTTCGAGTCGCTCACTTTACTAGTTTCATTGAGTATCTGAAATCGAGTTAGTATATATAGATGTATTCTCCATCGTTAAAAAAAAATGTGTTTATCAAAATTTAATAAATAAAAAGCTTATAAATTTCTATCTTTAACAACAAAATTACAAGAATCTTAGCTTGGGAATAGAATAAGTCATCCTACAATTACCCTGAACTTGATTTAAAGGTTGAAGCACTAAACATAGCTTTGCTTCCCAAAACTACTCCCATTTCTCCAATCCCTACATATTAATGTTCATTATAAACATTCTCTTCAAGGCCATGTTGTTCCCATAAAGTTAAGCATCCTTTCATTTCCCATTACAAACTTCCATGCTCCTGCATTAACCATTGTGATCTGGAAAAAAAGGCAAGATGCTGGAGCTCCAATCCTGCCATAGCATGGCGAACAATGCCCCCATTCAGCAAGAAGTGACAGATGAAACTTCTGCAGGCGTTATCGCCCGAATATCTGCAGAGCTGCAAGAGGAAAAACAGAGGAATGCAGAGCTCATGGAGAGGATATCGAAACTCGAAGCCCTACTGCAAGAGCAAGAAACCTTGGTGGTGGCTTCACTCAACCATGGGAAAGTAAGATTCAAACCTCTCCTTTCAGCCTTGTTTGTCTAAAATAACTGTGTTCTTGTCTAGAATTTTGAGGCCGGCTTGTTTCGTCGTAAAGAGGATCAAAAGGCAGAGGATAGCAGCAAGTGATGATGGAGATGGACTCGCCATCGAAGCTCGGCCGAGCGAAGAAAGGCTGGTGAAGTGGATACACATCGATGAAACTTTGCTTAGGCAGAGTGATAATAGGCTCAAAGATGATTGCTTTGATGGAGAACGCGCCAAGAAATCTCGAGAATCGACAAAGCTCGCTTTCTGTCCTAGAGAAGTGAGGAGGATACTCGAATCGGAATCCTTGCTAGTGAAAAATGCAGAGTGTCACACGATAAGAAAGATCTTGGTCTTTGCATGTCTCGGAATACGAAACGGATGTGACGAAATGCTCGAGCTGGATTTCACCCATTTCAGGATTGTTAAGAAAGGGGAGATAGAGGTAATTAGTAGCTAAACATACTGCAAAAAATTTTAAGCTGGATGAGATTTGGATTAGTGGAAGTAATTAACTTTTAGTGATGGTTTAACTAATGGATTTGTTGTTTCGAATTAGGAACATGTGGTATACGAGAATCCAGGGAATGGTCAGAGGAAGATATTCTATCCCAATGGGGAGAATCCAACGTTGTGTCCGGTTGAGATACTTGAAGAGGAGAAGGCAATGCGTCCTTGTGATGACAGCTGCCCAAATTGTTTGTTCTTGTGCATTAAGTATGGTGGAAGAACGAGGAACCTCCCACAGAACGAGTAAAAAAATTTCTTCCTTCCCAGTTTTTAAGCTAGAGGGGGAAAAAACAAGGTCTGGTCGAGTCGATGTGGGTGACTGATCATATTGATCATGTCGATACGAGTTATCAGTTGAACCAATTGGTGAGTTATGAAAAGATAGGATAAATAGTCATTGTAGATGGATAACTGAGACGAGTCATAGTGATCTCCTGTCATTGTAGAAATGACCTTAATGGATAATAAAATTAAGGTGGATTTAAAACCTTTTTTAGTTTAGATTCCACACAAACAAAATTCTACGATAAGTCGTTATTTTAGTGTCATGTTATGATTTGCTTCATCTTGGATTTTAGATACGTGAGGCAGCGGATGGGGAGAAGCAAGCTGAAGTCCCTCGGTTCTTTGATTTGTCGGATGGCAAACCTAGCCCATATAAGAAGTGGTAGCTTCTTCTTCAAGGCACTTGGGGTGACAATGTTGCTCATGGCTGGTTTTCCTCATCATTTGGTTCAAAGAGAAACCCTAGATTTGCTATGGAAATACTATAGGTAAACCAAAGACAATGTCAATGCAACCAACTTCCAACTTATGTTCACTCTTCCTGCTTTGAATCTCGATCTTCCTAATTGCAGAACAGATGAGGACGCACAGGGAGAGGAACTATTCCTTCTAAATTCGGTAGTCAACGAAAACGTAAGACTAGACATTCATATTCGAAAACTGAAATACAATAGGACATTTTTTACAAAATATGATGTTACCTTCCTCTTCACTTGAATTACAGTTCTTTTTAACTCCTTTTTTTTTATACTATATATGTCTTCCATGAGCGTAAACTGTAACTTTCCCCCTTCTTGTTTTTCTCTCTTTTCAGCAAACCAATTCAGATTCAGAATTACCCAGGCAAACAACAACTAACAAGAAGAAACACAAGGCCGGGAAGAAACCACCAAACTCAGCAAGAAAGCCTCCTCCTTCTTCTACAAAAGCCATTCCCACGTTCCTGACTCCAATCAAAGCCCAGCCCAAACGACAATACCCAGCGCCCCAATCATCGCACTTCAAAACTGGCCCAAACCGGAGGCCCATTAGCCCATATCCTTTCCCGCCAATGATGTACTATTGGTCACCCGCAGCAGCAGCGCCTGGTGGTAACGCATTTCCTATGGCTCCTTACGCCATCCCTTTCTTCCCACCTCCTCCCAACTTCGTCTCCTCCATGAATCCGCCGCCTTGTTACGGCGATCCGGCCACCGCAGCCTCAGCAAGCTCGATGATCTCGACCGCCGCAGGGATGAATAGTCCTTTTGCTGCCACTGCCTCGGTGGAAGGAGAAGGTCAAAATGGCTCTTCTGGTAGCACTACTACAGAGACGAAACAAGCATAGGCAAGCAACAAGTAAGCCGCAGGAGTGTAATGTGTTTGTGCTAATCGAAAACAGTTATTAGGATGCTCTCTACACGAATCGTAAAATGAAAAAATCGATTCGATCACGATCTCAACTTAATACATGTTATACTCGATGGTACTAAATTCGTATTAGTGAAAGACCGATTGATGAACTAATTGATACTGGACAAAATGTTAGAAACACGTTTTCTAAGGAAAACGAGTTTCTATATTATCATTATTATTAGGTTTTATTAAATATGGTTAGTATTCTTTTAGTAGAATTAGGTTTAGTATTAGGTTTTCTTATCTTTCGTTATAAATATGTACTTTGCGTTTTATTCAGAATCAAGCAAGAACAATTATTCAGAAAAGTATCTCAAACCCTAATCTCTCTCAAATTCGTCACTTATCCCTAGGCCGTCGGCCATTCTTCTCCTCGATTCCCAATTTCCTCTTCTAAATCCCTAATCCCCAATTCTGTTCTTCCCCAATTCTATCTCAATCCCTAAATATCTATCAATTCCCAATCTCATCAATCCAACCGTTAGAAACCTAGAATTAGGTTTCTAACATTAAAACACATGCACCCATCGGTATCAGGGTTTTGGTCCACCACAAGTCGACGACAGGCCTCTCTGTTTCAAGCTCTGTCTCCAAGTGCTTTTGAACTTTAGTGCTAACAAAAAGTCTTGAGATTGAATAAATTCATCATTTGTTTTTCACTCAAAATCAAATGGAACAAAACAGAAACCCAAGGGAAGAGGGAGGGAGGAATCTTATCCTCTTCTCCTGGCTTTCCTTTCTTACTGGTGGGAGCTTTGTTGCTTTATTAATGTCGTTTTTGTTCATCTCTGTAATGGAGGGAGGGTCCCTTAGAGGCGGCTGCTGCCTTTAACATTTTGAACAAAATATCTGAAACTATATCTTGTTTCATGCTGTGAAATGGGACCCTTAAATTTAATTTCTTAGTTGTGGTTAGCTTGTTCATTCATAGACCAAGAAGATTCAATGGCAAAACGAATGGTATCCAAAATCTGTACCAACCGCTCTAGTTATTGGAATCAAGAGTATTTTTATTTGTTAGAGGTGGTAGCTTGCTCCTTCATACAATCGGTAGATTCAATGGTAAAAGCATCGTTTCATAGATATGTATCAATAGTTCGAGTTATTGGAATCAATTGATTCTTTATATGGTATATCAATGTTTTGATCAATAGGTTTCATGTTCCAATCCTCGTTACGTGAATACTAACAGCCCATTTAATATATAAGATATATGATTGTTTTGTACAAACTTCAACCTCATTAGTTGATTGTAGTTTCGAGTATGTCAAGAAGGTACATAAGATCATCAATACTTGAGCTCTTCCAACAACACGAAGAATTACTTGACCAACAGATTTCTTGATAGATACTTACATCATCTCATACACACCAAATAACTCAGATTTTTAAAGAGGAAAAAGTTCAAGTAACTTAAGGTTAAAGAAAACTTACAAACACATAACTTCTCCCATCTTAACTAGCACCAAGCTTACTACCCATTTTACAAGGCAAACACCATCAAGAGAAACCCCCCTCCCCTTATTTTCCCACTTCAAGCCATTTCACCAAGCTTCCAAGCTCATCAATGGAGCTTGTTGACGACATTGCACTGCTTCCTGATCTCACCCTTCTCCCCGGTCAACGGGTTGTTCTCAGAGAGGATGGTGATCGCCCTGGAGAAGTGCTTGAAGAAGTAGTCCTGGCTCTTCGCCATCTTCTTCACATAAGGCTTGGTCCTCCTGTCGGTGGCCAGCTGGTGATCCACAATCAGCAAACCCTTGTTGTCGAGGATGTTCCTGTAGTAGTTGTTGTCCAGGATCATAGGGGTACCCCGGTCATTTCGCACGTACTGGACCGCCTTCGGGTCCGGGATCGGGTCGGGGCACTTCTTCAGCATGTGTGGGACGTGGTCCGGGTTCAGGGCCGGGTCGACTTCCGGGTACAGGCGGTGGACCAGCTTCATGCAGTGTGTTCTTCCCACGCTGTGAGAACCTGGTTCAAGCAAAAGCAATTCTTTGATCTAGCAGCAGTACTTGGAAACGCCATGGCTGAATTGTGTTGAGGAATGTTAGACACATGTTTTATTTTTACCTAGCAAGGAGACCAGTCCAGGTGTGTCGATGCCCATGGCGGCAAACCTGTCGAGGACGACAGAGATGCTCTCATTGTGATCTGGGAGGTACTGCTCAAGAATATCTGCTCTGCTCTTCCTTCCATCTCTTCTCCCTGTTTTCAGGGGAATGTGTGGCCCTCCTAGCTGCAAAATAGAGAACTCATCAGCAAAAAAAGTTACCATTTTGGACCGAGTAACTGCTGGACTCGAACGGAAGACTTCTCGGTCGTGAAACGTAAATAGCTCTGTCATCATGTCAAAAACTAATTGGTTCTGATAACTCAAGTTGTTGTGAGATGTTCAAAGTATAAATCGTATACCACATACTAACACATAAATCCGCTCATATAACTTCACGGTCATGACGGGTTCACTGAAATGGCCACTAGCTAGAACAATTTAGGCGGTGGCGGAACTAGGTTGAAGAAGTTGTAAGATTCGTAACAAATTTTAGGAAATGGAGTATTCGGTAAGACCTTAATCTCCTCTACAATTACCATGTTTCAAATCAGCCCACCATTCAAATTTCTGGAGGAGCTAGGTTGAAGAAGTTAAAATTATATGTAAAATTCGTAACAAATTTAGGAAATAAAATAGTCGAATGAAGCTTTAAACCCTCTCTAATTACTAGGGGTCAAATCAGCCACTCATTTACTGGCTCAGCTAAATTTAGGGTTTCTAACAAATGTGCCACTGAACTAGAGATCTTCAATGGCGTCCAAATACTACGAAAGAAAAGAGGTACTGACCGCAACTATGCCATCTCTACCGGAAAGCACGAGAATGTCTGCGCACGAAACAACACCAGGGCACTCCCTCTCCACAGCTTCCTTAATGGTGTCCAGGTACCTGAAATTCCTCAGCCCAAAGCTCCTGTCCGTCTCCTTCTCCGACAGGCTTCTCCTCGTCGAATCCAGAAGCAGAGAAGCATCACACGACTTTGACAACAACAACAACAACAACAGAAAGCGTTAGTCTCGCCAGTATGATTTGTTCTTGGTACGACGATTTTAAGGATGAAAACAACTTGTTAATTGTACCTCGACAGCACAGTCGTGGAAGATGTTTCTGAGCCAGGAGAAGGCAGTGTTCTTGTGCCTCTTGTAGAGGAGCTTGACCTGGGCTTTGATGATGTCCTCAGCTTGGGGACACGTGTCCTTGTAGAAGTCCATGGCTAGCCCTGTCAGGGCCTTATCTTCTTCTCCATTTGTGGGTTCTGCAGAATCAGAAGCAGTAGCTGAGATGGTGAGCAGAGTGAGAGTGAAGAAGAAACAGAGGAAAGCTCTGTTCATCATCTTTTTGTTTGTTTGTTTTCTACTGTAAGTGGTGGGTTGGCAATGGAGAAGAAGAGGAGGGTTGCTTTAATAATGAAACCAGAAGGAGGGGTAGCTTTGTAAATTGGAGAAAGTTCACTGCCTGTGTACTTTATTACTCGCCATTATTGGCCAAACAAGATCATTAGCTTTACTCTGATTACTGTATCATAAAGCCTTGTCAGAAGGGGAAATAAAACCCATATCTTCTGAGTGTGGTTTTCAGAGTGACTGATTAACGGAAAGAGACACCAAGATTAAGACTTGTGTAGGACAAAAGAGACTCAATTATTAGTATCATTGCCTGCAGTAAACAATTAATCAAAGTGGGTTTATGGATTTCCTTTTGTATCAGTGGTGCTGAGTCACTGAGTTGAGTGGTGATGAGGAGTTCGAGGTGACTCGACAAATTTCAACGCTCTGCATTCACTCCCATGTTCACTCTCATCAATGTTCATTGTCCTGGTTTCACTCCCCCCCCACTGCTTAAACAAACAAAAGATGGACAGATAGCTACATAAAGAAGAGGAAACCATCAAAAAAGAAAGAAAGATAGCTCAAGGAAGGGAGACATAGGATCAAACACTTGTCACCCTACTCCACAAGTGGACCATGTGAAATGATTCTGGTTTTTTTTTATCATCTTGGTTGTTGGCCCATCTTTATCTATGGAATCAAACAGAATTTGGTTACCATGCAAACTGACTCCAGTGAGTACAGACTGACATCGTTGAATCGCACATCGATCTTCATAAACAATAGCATCAGCGTCGATTCTTTGACTAAGATTGCGAGAAATCGGTAGCTGATGGGTGCTTCGATATGCGCATATGTCTCCTCTGTTAGCATTCTAATCGAACCCATGAGTAAGAGCAGATCGTTGTCGATTGCTCAGGGCGAAAGGCACTATATCGTCGTAGCCCGGTTCGAGGGTTAGGGCAGCCTCATACCGTGTACGTCAAGGTCATCATCATGAAGAACCAAGATAGATCATCATTCACTATTCACTAATACAGTTGAACTTAGCACAACAATTCACAGATTGGTGATAAACAAGGGCACAACAATATCCAAAGCCATTGATTGAGCCACTTCGGCTAATTACTAACCAAGAATTGGTGGATTAGTTAGTACCATTAAGCCATAAACCAGCACTCAAAAACCAAAACCCCGAATTGGGCCATGTTAGGCCCAGAACTCCGACCGAGCAATCAGCCCGGTACGGAAAAAAATCTCTCCCTGCAGCCCGACCCACAAGGAGTTCTTCCCGACAAACCAAACCAGGAACAAGAGGAATGGCTCTGCCTCTATCCAGGAATAGGTCGGCACCTGACGTCTACCACAACATGGCGAATATGAGGAGCATACCATTTTACCCTCTCTACGTGTTCTGCTACCACTTCCCAAACCCGACCTGCAGACACACAACTATGCTCAGTAAGAACTTTAGCGTCCTTGGTAAGTAAAGTTTCCTTTTTACGTCCATCAGGTTACCTTCTGATCTCGCCATGTTCTCCAACGATGTCACGACGTGTTGGGTCCATGCTGCCTCTTCCGAGTCCTTAACGTTCCCATGAACGTGCAAAACGCCCCCTTCCCTCCTGCAAATTTTAAGCTCGTTAGTACGAAGGAGGTCACAACTTGGAAGCAGAAAGATTGGGAGGAGCAATGGAGGGGGAAATGTACTTCAATGCATTGATTGCAGTCAGCCAGCTGCCTTCACTTGTTGGAATGAGACCAAGGCAAACTCGATCAGCTACTTCCTATTAAGCAGTAGAAGTATGAATTAGGCAATAGTTATGAACAAAATGCAGCGCTCTAGCGATCAACAGCTAAACGTCTAGAGGAAGAGGGGAGAAGAGGAAAGGGTAAGAATACTACTTTGGGTGCTGTAAGCCGATTATCTCCTTCGAGGACAACACATCGATTGGAGACAGAGTTAAGCTCGAGATTCCTTTTGAGTGCCTCGATGGCGTTGGGATTCCATTCACAGGCATAAACCTGCTTTGCTTTGGCCCTAAAGCAGCAGAAACAAGTCACCGAACAACACATCATTAGGAAAGTAAATAAAGAGTACAACGATCCATCTAGAATGACGTTCCATTTAGGCCGCTGGACTACGACTATTCTATTGAATCCTCAGACCCTATATGGTTAAGGGCTCAACATGAATTAAAATAAGGAAAAGCAGCAACATTCGAGCCTAGATGGTGCTTCTTTCTTTCATTCATCTACAAACTCATTGAGCAATTTACAAGGGGGATTACCTGAGCAGGAATGGCAACACAAAATATCCAATCCCAGCAAACAAATCGACCACAACTTCATTTTCACAGTTCATTCCACCCATACGCAGCTTTTCAGAAAGATTACCCCAAGAGAACATGCACTTTGTTGCATCGAACGAGTATGTGATTCCGTTCTCTCTATGATCGACCCAACCATTGTGTCCCACCAACAACTCCAATGTGCTGTCTCTTGTTCCAGTTGAAGCCACCCTACCCTAGAAAAATATCATCAAACCAGAAGCACAACGATATTAGACAATCACAAACCATCTTCCAATCTTCAGATAGCCTAAAGTAAGTAAGCAACACAATGTACTTCAAAAAACTAACATAAATTACTAACTTGACGTGCAAGGCGACGGGCACTAAGTGATGTAGCAATAATTGGCCAAAGCTCATGTCCGATTGAATCCCATGCTGGGTCTTTGAAGGAGGTAACAGGAAGTACAACAATATCCCCAAGCCGCTCCCACCTGAAAGTAGATTACAGCTATCAAGTCGCCACTTGATATCAAGACGGCACTAAACACAAAAGTTTTGTTCAGGTGTAAAAATACTAACCTAATTGGAAGCTCATCTAGCAGTTCTTGAGACAGGCTTTTCTCCTCAATTAATCCTGCTACAGCTTCCTTCATTACCTGCAATGGAGATTTCGCAACCCTTCTGACCTCGATAACCTTGTCCTCCACTTTACTACCGCCAAATTCCTTCAGCAGACTGAAAGCTGCAGAACAAGAAACCTCATTCAACTGAGATCTGTCTCCATCTGAGAAAATGGCAGAAAATTCTTCAGTTATTGGGAAACAAATGTGAAGTCCATCATCCAACGAATAAACCTTTCTCCTAATATCTAACCACCCAAATCTCTTCAGTATGTCCTTCCCCTGTTTCGCGTTCTCCTTCTCAAGCTGCAACACCCACGGTCGCTGACAATCGACATCATTACTGTTTGCAGATTCAAGCTTTTTCTCCAAAAGTGGAAGCAAGTCGATTTTCAAGGGCTCGCTGAACTTTGTCCCGAATGCATAACAAGCTGCTCCACCACCAATCATAAAGAGTTGATCTTCTACAATGCTGCTCGTGCTTCGTACGAGCAACTCTTTGCCAATGCAATCAAGTCTCACATGAGTCCATGCATGAGTCTCGAGGTCCAACAATGCCAGGTCTTGAAAATGCTGGTTCACGGGGCAGCCTCCAATTATTCCAATGAACCTCTTATAGACAAACATCGAGTGAGAGAATCTTGCACTTGGAGATTTTCCGGACGTCTTTTCTTTTCTCCATGTGTAGGTATTGATGTCAAGACTGTAGAGATCTCCGAGGGCTTGGTCCCCATTGTGTCCTCCGAACATAAATAGGTTGGACGCATGGGCCACCATCGAGTGAGAATGACGTGGACATGGTTGGTCGCCATTGGCTACTACCTCTTCCCATTGAAGGTTTGTAGTGTTGAAGACATGGAGCGATGACAAGATCAAGTCATTGTTCAGGCCGCCGAATACGTATATGTTTGAACCAACAACTGCAGCTGCATGTCGATGCCTACATAAGGGCAAAGCTTCAAATTTGAGTCTCAGAGAGCAAAAAGGGACAAGCAATAGAACAGCAGGGTTGGGTCTAGCAGGTAAACTCAGGCACTACAAAGAATATTAAGAATGAAAATGAAGTTATGATTGTTCATGCCAACCTGGGAGGGAACGAGCTGCTGCCACTACATTCGATCAGCCTCCACTGCTTTCCTGGCATATCTAGAACCCAAACTTCGTTCAGAATGTTCAAAGGATCCGTCCTTCCTCCAACGATGAAAACCAACTCACCGACCACCGAAGCTGTGTGTCCCAATCGAGGAGACGGTCCAAACCCAAAGTCAAGCGTTGTCAATGCTCCACTCGAAGGATCAAGAAGCAATGAGTCGTTCCTTCTAGCATGTCTTCCCTTCCCGCCAAAACCACCAAACACCAGAACAGAACTAGGGACAAGATTAGCCAATGTGCAGCTAGTGTGACCCCAAAGGAAAAGCTTCTCCATAGATTCTCCAACAATTGGGAACTGGGTGACCTTTAGGTTGTGATCCGGAACCCCTGCCAAGCGATTCAAAGACTCAAACTTTTGCTGTTAAATGGAAAGGATTCCTGCACTGCGATACATTGATTCTGAATGATATTACAAGCTAAGACAATGCAGTCAGAAATCAACAAAGGGAATGGAAGCTCTCAAGCTTAATTACCAGTACGGCTATCAGAAGAAATCCTTTCCACATCATCGGAAGCTCCATCTTGCTTATCTTCTACCAAACCAAGCTCACCATTCTCAGCTTCAACATTCCCTCCCATAAACCCATTCTCCTTCAATGCAGCTAAAAACCCTTGAGTTCTCTTCCAATTAGCTTCCATCTTCTGATTCGCCACACCAATCAAAAACTTCACATAATTCCTAGACACCAAAACGTTGTCACTGTCTCCCAAAGGAACCTCCATTCGAATCGAACACCGAATCCCAACAATCACCCTCTTCTTACTAGCACTAGTAATCCCAGACTCCCTGAATCCACATGATATCGCCAGAGAAACCAAGAACTGCGCCGAATCAACGTCTTTGCACTCCACGGCGATGATTAGCGGCTCAAATCGAAGAACTAGCTCGTACGGCGACGGCGGCGGATTTGGCATCGGCTCTGGAGGGAAGAGAAGGGAGATGACCGTTGCTTGGTCAGCCGATTCGTGGGTGATAAACAGCCATGACCCACCACCCGCCTTTTTCTTGGCGGTGGTGGCGGCGGAAGGTTTCGGCTGTGAGAGAATGGAGATTCGGCCGGAGCATGAGCTGGTTGTGTAGTAAGATGGGTGGGCGTTGATAGCGTCGAGGAGGGGAATTATCGGCGCGTCTATTGAACCCTTCGGCGATTTGTCGGATTCCGATGAGCCGAAAATAGATAAAGTCGCCGCCTTTCTCTTCTCAAACTCCATCTTCCGTTTAACTCAAAACTGAAGAACTCGGGAAGTAAAGTGAAGGAGGTTTTCAGAAATCAGAAGTCAAAAACCCTCGCGGGAAGAAAAGGAAGAATGGAATGGAGAGGATTTTGGAATTGGGCCATTATATGGGCTTAAGGCACATGGTAATGAGTTGGGCTGGAGGGAAAGAAAATAACGGCCCAGCCCTTTTCCCGCGTGGATCAAAACGGCTTGTCGTTTCAATGTAATTTTGCCGACGGTCGATCCTGGAGCTCCGGTTTGTAACTTCCACAAACAACCTGATCAGCGTAGTCATCTCGCCTGAAAAAATCCCTAAAATCTTCGCCGCCACCCAATCCGCCACCGTCGAATCCGGCTGCGCTGCTTCCCTGATAGTTGATTCTCCCTTCTTATCACTGTACTGCTTTTCCTTCCTTCTGAAACTTCCAGTTCCTACGTGCTCTCAGAGGTTTCTAGGGTTCCAGAGCTTCGACGCCGCCAAATGTGGTAAATAGATTATCATCATTCACCTGCTTTTGAATTCGTCGTAGGTTGTTCGATTTGCCGATGTCGATGAGAAGTGGCGAGGATTTATTCGTTGGTCTCTTGAATCGGGTTATCTCATGACGGAGACTGATCAACCGGAGGAGAGTCCTCCGATGGCGGGAGAGAATGGTAGTAATGAGAACGAGGATATCAGCACGGAAGAAGAGGAAGAGGAAGAAGATGACTTGGATTTCAATCCGTTCTTAAAGGGGACGCCATCCCCTGAGGCTTCTTCGAGTTTGAGCTCCGAGGTCGAAGCTTTAGACGATGCTTCTTCCCCAAAACCAACTGGCGAGGTTCAGAACTTCCCCGTCGGAGATTCCGAGCACGGCGAAGAGGTTGTGATGCAGACATCATGTTCCCCCGAGGAAGGCGAGAAGGGCCAATTTGGGAGGAAGAGGTCGAGTTCTCAACAGGATGAGTTAAGTGGAGATTTCGACGATGAGGACGCGATCTGCAAGCGGACTAGGGCACGTTATTCGCTGGCGAGTTTCACACTTGACGAACTGGAGAATTTTCTCCAGGGAACGGATGACGAGGATGATTTACAGAACGTGGATGATGAAGAAGAGTACAGGAAGTTTCTTGCGGCCGTGTTACACTCCGGGGACGGAGATGAGCAGCCGGCACTAGCTGAAGAAATTGGCGATGATGAGAACGATGCAGACTTTGAGATAGAGCTTGAAGAGCTGCTGGAGAGTGATGTAGATGATAGTGCAAGAGATAAGGATAGGAAAATTAAGACAAGGCAGAATAGAAGTGCTCGGAATAAGAAAAAGAATAAGAAGCTCTTGGAACAGACGAAGAGGCCATTGCGGCCTCTTCTACCGAGCCTACCGAATGGTGGGGTGGCCACATTTCCTAGTTCATGTGGCAAAGTGTTGGCACTTGAAGCGGCTGCAGTGCATCAACCTTCCGAGAATCCACTGATCAATGGATTTACTCCACAGCAGATAGGCCAACTGCACTGTTTGATACACGAGCATCTGCAGCTGCTTATCCAAGTGTTTTGTCTATGTTTCTTCGATTCTTCCAGGAAGCATATTGTTACTCAGATTCAGGGTTTCATTTCAGAGATTCTGCACAAATGCAGTGAGGTTGGGGTATGGAGAAGTTTACCCTTTCCTGACATTTGCTTCAATCCTCGTTACATGCGCCCTTCAGTGACAGATGAGCTGATAAATTCTGAACAAACTGCTGAATCTTTCTGGGTGCCTTGCGTTAGGGGACAAGTGGTGTCGATTCTGGATGTTGCTCCGCTACATTTAGTTGGAAAGTTTATTGAAGATACTTGCAATGGTTTGTATCAAATCTTTTTTGCTTGTTCTTCTGCTTTTGGCAATTATTTACATGATGCTTATCTGTGTAATTTTTCTGTTTATCTGCTAGCTGCCAAGGAGTATCAAAGACGCTGTGTTGAATCTAGTTTTGATGGGCAATATAAAAAGGAACCACTCTTCCAACTTCCTTATCTTCCATCACCAGTGGAGGCAAATGGTGACCCAGCAGCACCATTGACACCTGGGCAGGAATTGCCTAAGAAGACATTGGCTGCATCGATTGTCGAACGTGCCAAAAAGCAGTCGATAGCTTTGGTCCCTAGAGATGTTAGCAAGTTGGCGCAGAGATTTTTTCCATTTTTCAATCCAGCATTGTTCCCTTACAAGCCACCACCTACATCTTTATCAAATAGGATCCTTTTTACTGATGCAGAGGATGAGTGAGTAGCAGCTTCTTTTTCTTGTGTTATGAAGTGGCATGTTATTACTGCTTACATAATGTCCTTATTAGGATTCAATTCTCTTCTCGGGGATTTTGGTGCAGATTGTTGGCATTGGGAATGATGGAATTTAATACAGATTGGGAGGTGATTCAGCAGCGTTTCCTTCCTTGCAAATCCAAGCACCAGGTATCTACATCTGAACATTCTACGGAAACGTCCTCTTGTTAACTTTGGTTTTCTAGGATGCACTGTTTTTTACTGCTTTCTTCAAGCTCCTGGACTAAGGTTCAGTGTCCTGTTCAGAAATCAAATGCTACTTAAATCAAACTCTTGCTATCATCTAGGATGCACTGTTTTTACTGCTTTCTTTGAGCTCTTGTTATTATCTGAGACACACTAGCATTATTGTTTATGTGGATGCTACCTGACTTGTGACTTCCCACTTTTCTGACAGATATATGTCCGGCAGAAAAATCGGTGTTCATCCAAGGCACCAGAAAATCCCATAAAGGTATGGTCTTTTGGTTACAATTTGTCAGTGCGTGACTCACTTGAGACTCATTAATTGAACTCCAAAATTATACTTTGCAGTTGAAGTTTTGTTGATCTTTCATGCTCCTTTTATGCAGGCAGTTCGTAGAATGAAAGCCTCTCCTCTAAGGGCTGAAGAAATCGAACGTATCCAAGAGGTAATTGTGGGTCAGGGCCCTTTTGATGCCAATTTTTTCTGTTTATTCCCTGACTAATTTTGAATAGTACCTCTACCTTCAGGCACTGCGAGTGTACAAAATGGACTGGATGTCAATATGGAAATTCATTGTCCCTCATAGAGATCCTTCTTTATTACCACGGCAATGGCGGCTTGCCCTCGGTACTCAGAAGTCGTATAAACAGGATGCTGCTCAAAAAGAGAGGCGGAAAAAATATGCATTTAATAGGAGGAGCAAAGCTGCAGATTTGTTGAATCAGAAAACGACATTGGATAAGGAGGTAGGCTTTTCTTTCTTCCCGGCTGCTTCATATCTTATGTTTGGTCTCTAAACCCTTTTCGATTGACGACTAGTGTCTTTCGATTGCCTTGCTTTCATGTATTCTCTATGTGATAATGGACATAATAATTGCAATAATATTAACAATCTTGGCTTCCATTCCATTCAACTGATAGGAGGCTTGTGGAGAAGTTGTCAACAGAAGCAAATAGTAGAAGTGGAAGTATGTTGACGTTTTTAGAGTAGATTTTAGTAGTATCCGTGAATCATGTGAAATGACTGGAATGGCCCCACAAGCTTTAGAGCTGCAGAGAAGGGAAAGGGGTAAATTTAAAATGTAGGAGTTCCAGATCAAAATTAGGCTTTTCCACCCAAAAAAAATCTGAAGGTAATAAGTTAGAAAGATCACTGGTAATTTGAGCAACTAGAGGTGCCAACTAGTTCAAATCAAATGGAGTCCGAGTGATAGTTGGATTGATGATCATAGTTAGTAAAAAAATCCATTTAATACTCTTATAGTACCTGGATACGTACTAAATGTGTTTAAAACTCTTGTTCCCGTACTGTTGTAGAGCCATCTCCTTTTCACCATTTTTTTATGCTTGACGTATTAAACACGTATAAGATGTTTAATACTCGTATTTTAAGGAATTTGATTGATAGGTCAATAATATTTAAATTTATTCTCATTTTTGTAATTATAAATTTCTAATATTTAATTAGTAATGCCAAACTTGTAAATGTACTGTTAGCTTACAATGACGTATTAAACTCCATAAGTACTAATACCTTAACGTACTCGTACCATATTTTACTAACTGTGTTGATGTTCGGCTTCCATTGGTTGTGTTACAATCTTTGACTCACTGCAGGACAATCAGCTTTACCGCAACAACTCACAAAAGGTTAGGGATAATATTGTTGATAATCAAACTGAAGCGTATGTTCATCGGGCATTCTTGGCAGACTGGCCACCGGTTTCTTCATATCCTCCATTGCCTGCAAACCTAATGGGAAAATGCCTGCCGGCAGATTCATTAAGACAAGCTATTCGGACCGGGAAGCAACTGAATGTCTCAGTAGTTCCTGGTGAATCTCCACACCAGAATATATACAACCATCAACAACCTGGTACCACGTCTCCTTTCAGTCGGTCTGCACATTCCCCTACTACTACTAATCAACTAAACCAAGAACCAGTTCATGGAATGACATCAGCAGATATCCCCAAGCCAACAATGAGTTTGTGGCCTTACAGAACTCGTAAGAAGATAGGTACACGTTTGGTTAAATTAGCACCTGAACTCCCCACCGTGAATCTTCCACCTTCTGTTCGTGTATTATCTGAATCAGCTTTCAGGAGCAACCACTCCGGAGCAATTTCTAGGGTTTCCAGTACCAAGCCTGGTTCTGGAAAAGATGATTCAGCGCCTCAACTTCTCGAGGATGAAAGAGTTAATGATTCGGAACTTCAGATGCATCCTTTACTGTTCAAGTCTTCTGAAGCTGAGGGCTCTCTTTATAACCCGTCAAAGTCTACTACTGCTGGCTCTTCTAGTTCGTTCAGTTTCTTTTCTGGGAATCCTCCACATCTGAATCTCAGCCTCTTTCATAATCCTCGCCATGTTGGTGATTGTTCTGCTAAATCCATTCGAACAGAGGAATGTAGTTCATCAGCATCAGGCGGCATCGATTTCCATCCTCTTCTGCAGCAAGCTGATGACGGAAATAGTAACTTAGTTATGCCTGTATTAAACATCTACCAATCTAATGCCATTGGCCCAATTGAGAAAGGTCATGAACTGGACCTCGAGATTCATTTGAGTTCTGCATCTAGAAACAAGAAGAACAGGGTAACCAGAGATGGTGGTGGTTCGGTTAATCAATCCACTTCGGCCAAAGGTACCATAAAGAGACCTATGGCCAAGGACAGCCGTGTGTCTGGGGCTACTGATTCATCTAGGCTGGAAAGCAACAATGCTGACTCATCAACAAGCAGTAAAGGTCGTTCATATATTGAAGATATGGGTTGTCAGTCCTTGCAAGAGATTGTGATGGAACAGGAAGAGCTGAGTGACTCTGATGAAGAATTTGAAGAGAATGTAGAGTTTGAGTGTGAGGAGATGGCTGATTCTGAAGGGGAAGAAGGTTCTGGCTGTAAATCGATTGGTGATCGGCAAGATGAGGTGTGCTTTCTTTCTCTACTTATTGCAGACATGCTTGATTAATTCTGAATTCTAGTTTTTGGTGGTTAGACCTCCAACGGTTCTGTAGATTTTCTAACTGCATTTTACTTGCACTCCAATTCTCTTAATGGAAGTTTTTGCTATAGATGATTTTCTTCTGTTGTTTTAGCATCTGAATGACTAGGGGGTGGTTTGGTTGATGGAATTTGGGTTATAAATTCCGTCAGAAAGTGGGGAACTTCCTTTTTCTCTTTGCTCTTATAAAGAGAATGGATGTCCGGCCAATGTAATCTACTTTCTAAGTGGAGGTGGAATCTTAATTTCATGGGGGATGGTAGGACTTTCACAATTCATCATTTGGTTCCATGATTGCTCCTTGTTGTTTTAAGTCTGTTAAATAGATGAGAATGGTAAAATGAACTTTTGCCTTTTGTTTAAATTTCATCACCCACTTTCCACCTTACAAAAGTTGCATCCAAACAATGGAATGTCAAGTATCCATTCATATCGTTGTACATTGCATGAATTGTAACATTCAGCAACCCAAACAAGAAGGTGAACATGTTTAGACATTGAGTAGTCTAGGCGGGCGACTTTTCCTAGTTAAGTTTTGAGATGCACATTAATTCAATCAAACTGGAATGAGGTTTTGTCATCGTTGATGTTCACCTCTAAATGAAAACTTGTCTTCACATGTTGTAGTTAGTTAGTTAGTTAGTTAGTTAGTCAGTTAGTTATCTGTATAAGTAGAACCATTTTTGCAACCATGATGCTTTGCATTTTCTTGTTTTAGCCTTGCTCTAGTTATATAAAGAATCATCTACGTTTGCATTTCCGATCGCAGTTACTTCACTCCAAGTCTGATACAAATAATGCACTAATTTCAGATTCGATTTTGATCTCTCTTCTTTTGTCTTTTCACGTATCAACAGACGGGAAACCTCAAAGTTTCAACCCAGGAAGTCGTTTCAACTAACGGCAAACATACTTGTAACCAAACCCATGGGAACTCTTCTGCCCCAGAAATAGGCAGCAGCAGCAGTCCTTTGTTGAAGAAGCTAAGTCTGACGATGCTGGGGAAGGATAAAAAAAGCAACACTTGGTTAAGCTTAGACTCTGGAGCACCAAACGAGCATGACGATGCTGCTCCAGGACATCAGGTAGAAAGCGGGCCTTCTGGTCAGCAGGATGTTACTGACATGGCGCAACAACTCAGCCTCGGTCCTCTTGCTTCTTCAACGGCGAAGAAATCAAGGGGCCGTGCTACTCGAGGTAGTACGAACTTGAACTCGGAGATCACAGACCAAGAAAGTTTTCCTGAGAGTAGTCTGAGGTAAAGAATGATGACCATATTAACTGGCTTCTTCTTCTTACGGTACTAACGAGTCTGGTTACAGGCAAGATCGTCTTCTTGGTTTGAGCATTGAGATAGCTTTCTTCTAAAGGTACAGGGAGAGAGTTTGCCTCCGATGGTCCTTTCTGTGAATGAATTCTTGTGTAAATAACTAAATATTACAGTCTTGTCTTTGTGCCATAGCTTTTTATTGGAAGGTAAAAATCAAAGGAGATTTTGAATGGAAAAATGGTTGAGTTACTATCGTCTGTTAAGTTAAAACTCGAACTTTTGTGTATGAAATGAGATTAATAGAATGATCGAAGTCGAGCAATTGTCTTGTTAGTGATCATTATGCTATTGAACCGATAACAGAAGATTAAATCAATAAGACTAACAATTGCGTACAAATCACAATAGAGTCACGATAATCTCATTATAAAGTTTATCAGTTTAGTCATTGATGCGTGGTTTAACCAATACCAATCCGATTCATATTCGGATAATATGACACATTGATTTCTTCTTCCTTTTTTGAACTTTTGGCGCCACCACACAAACAGAATTAGAAGAAATCAGAAAAAAAAAGCATATGCCAATTGCCAACCAAGAGAGAGAGAGAGAGAAGCGCAATCTCCCCAGCAGTCAAAATCCTTATCCCAAAACCTCATCCTCTCAAAGCTCTCATCTCCCTTTCCCTCCACTCATTTCCCTTTCTCCTCTTACATCCTCACACTCTCAGATAACTCTTTCGCCGAACAAACAAAAGAATCAGAGCCCTCCAACATCCTCCATTGCCCTTCCATCCACCATCACTCTGTTTTCTCCAACACTCTGTTTCTATCTCCCTCTCTATCTGCTCTTCTTCTTTCTCTTCAGCTCTAGCCATGGCCTGCTCCAATCTGACAATGTGGGCCTCCTCAAAAACCTCCCTCTCCGACGCTTCACCGCTCTCCTTCCGCTCCTCCGTCTCGCCGTTCCAAATCCCATCTCCCAATTCTTCCCCTTCTTCCACCTCCAGACCCACCTCTGTTTCCCCTGTTCAGTGCAACCTCCGCGAGCTCCGAACCCGAATCGAATCCGTCAAGAATACCCAGAAGATCACCGAGGCCATGAAGCTCGTCGCCGCCGCCAAAGTCCGCCGCGCCCAGGAGGCCGTCGTCAACGGCCGCCCCTTCTCCGAGACCCTCGTCGAGGTCCTCTACAACATCAACGAGCAGCTCCAGACCGAAGACGTCGACGCCCCGCTGACCAAAGTCCGGCCCGTGAAGAAAGTCGCCCTCGTCGTCGTCACCGGAGACAGAGGGCTCTGCGGCGGGTTCAACAACCAGATTCTTAAAAAAGCAGAGAACCGGATGAAGGATTTGAAGGCTCTGGGGATTGAGTTTACTCTCATCAGCGTGGGCAAAAAGGGGAATACTTACTTCTCCCGCCGTCCCTACATCCCCGTGGATCGGTTCTTGGAAGGGACCAACTTGCCGACGGCGAAAGATGCTCAGGCGATCGCCGACGATGTCTTCTCCCTCTTCGTGAGCGAGGAAGTCGACAAGGTCGAGCTTCTGTACACAAAATTCGTCTCGTTGGTGAAATCGGACCCTGTGATTCACACCCTGCTCCCGCTTTCCCCCAAGGGAGAGATCTGCGACATCAATGGAGTCTGCGTTGATGCCGCGGAGGATGAGTTCTTCCGGCTGACGACCAAAGAAGGGAAATTGACGGTGGAGAGGGACATCGTGAGGACGGCGACACCCGATTTCTCCCCGATTTTGCAATTCGAGCAGGATCCGGTGCAGATCTTGGATGCTCTGCTTCCCCTGTATCTGAACAGCCAGATTCTGAAGGCGCTGCAGGAATCGCTGGCGAGTGAGCTCGCCGCGAGGATGAGCGCGATGAGCAACGCGACGGATAATGCTTCGGAGCTGAAGAAGACGCTGTCGAATGTTTACAATCGGCGGAGGCAGGCGAAGATCACCGGTGAGATTCTGGAGATTGTTGCCGGAGCCGATGCTCTTGTGTAATTGGGAAAACGGAGGGGAAAGAAAGAAATAAGCAAAGCTCTACTTTGTTAATCTGTTGTAGGGTAAAAAAAAGTGGAAGCGGGGGGAAATTCGGTTACTCTTTACCTTTTTTACTGCGCTCGCTTGTTCTTCTAATTTGCTTTTTTATATATTTTTGTGGTGTAATTTGCGAGACTGTGTAACTAAATGAGTGTCAATGCAATTATGCAAAATGGCCAAAGTGTAATTTTCTTGATGGACCTGATTTATGATTTTGGGTGGTTAGGCGCGGAGTGTTCCTATTGGTTCTGCTGATTCGCGGGGGGTTTGAGTAGTGGTTGGTAGACGGTTGGACCCGCCAAACCCTACCAATTTCACACGATTCACTCGTTCTATCATTTCGTAGGATGACAATTTTGAACTGATATGATCCGCCAATTCAATATGTCCCGATCTAGAATGAGTATTACACAATGTCGTAGTATGAAATTTAGTATGGGTATTACATTTATTGTACATCGTTCTGTCTTATCTCATTCTTGACCTCTTTAATCTTAATTTGCTTCAATATTTTACTTGTATTTGTCCATTTCTCTCTTCTTTCCTATCTTGTATTCACCAAACGAAATTATGAGAAGTACAAGGCTCCATTTTTTTTTTAACTATTTGGTCTCGAGTATTCAATTTATTATCATTGTAATTTATCAAACGTTTTTCCTTTGTTTTCTTTTAAAACAGTTAACAAAATTTATTGTCTCTTTCTCAAATAACACATGACAACGCATCGACCTTCTTCATCCCTTACCTACATGTGTATTGTTTGATTTGACTCTCACATAATGCGAGGCACGTATGAGTAAGATACTACCCCATTGATGAAAGAATTGAATGATCATTGTTTCAATTTTTCGTAAAAAAAACTAATATTTGAATTGATAAAATTCCTAAATTTCGAGCTTTCAATCTTTCATTTCAATTTCTCGTACGAAAGTATGATTTGTCCATCTTCAATTCTTCATTGTTAGAAATGATAAATCAAATTTATCTATCTAAATCCGGTAGATTTGGATTCCACCTATTTCAGCATCATATTGAAAGGTTTCTTCACCCATGACTTGCATCTTTCTTAATCTGTAGAAAAGGAAAAGAAGTCAGTCTAATTGCTAATTCGCTACATCCCAGCAGAGACATTCGGGAAAGACGTCAATCAAAAACCTCATTTCCACCGTCCAAAAAACAAGAACACAAAATCTTCTTTGAAACTAAAATTTCCGACGGCCCATCTTAATCGGAGGAGCTAAAAATAATTTCTCAAATATCTGACCCGTCGTACGCCTTTGTAGCCAGGGATAACGAAGAAAACCAGTAGTTTCTCTGGACAGTAAGAATAGTAATATTGTTTTCAGGGTTTGTTTTGTTTAGTGATTTCCCAGATACACGTTGAGGAATTTTCGTGGGGGGACAGAAAGCTCGAGTTCTTATGAAATGCACTCATCGAGTGAAGGAGAGAAAGATCGAAGCTTGATTGAAAGTTCCTTGTGGCTTATCCTGAGTAGAAGTTTGGGAAATTCAGCAGAAGAAGCATAAGCAGAATCACATCTTCTCTCGTCTCTTCTTCAAAGTGAAGGCCAGCGTCGGCTTCCGCCATGGAAGTGGGTATGCAAGTGCAGGGCCCATTCACCTCATGCAGAGCTCTGTTTCGCGATAAAACCCGTTTCAAGATCAAACCTTTTTCTTCTGGGTCTTTGCCTCATGGAACAGCCACTGATTTCGTTAGTGTAAGAGTCCCTTTCTCCCCATCTTTTGCTGTTTAGGGTTACTTTTTGTTATTGCCCTTTTCTCATTTGGGGCCCTTTGCCTTTCATTTCCTCCCTTTTTTATTCTGAAATGGCAGGGGTTTGCTTTCCCTTTTCCTACACTTGAACATCAATTTCAGACTTGGGAAGCTTCTAAAGCCTATAGTTATAAATCTGTTTCATATGATTGCTCTTGTATAATGCTAAGTGAATTTGCCTCCCCACTTTAGAGCATTACATTCGATTGCATGTATTGAATTTGATTTCAGCTTGCAGCTTGGTGCAATGAGTATCCATCATCAACATCTGGGATCTCCTTGGAAATTACTTCCAGTGCAGGTGAGTTACTCTTTTCATCATAATGCTGTTCGGTTAAAACTTTTGCTTGTTGAAATTCAGAATGTTATATTAGGAAGTCCTTGGGCTGAACTTATATGCAGACTTTTCTAAAAAAAGACCCAGGAAGTTGTCTAATGGGAGACCGAAAACCCCTGCACCGAAGGGATTCGTGCCAAAGACACCTGCAGCCACACACATTCCGAAAAAACAAGCACCAAACAAGGAAGTTGAGACAGTGCAGGATGAATCCAAAGCCAGCAGAGAGTTGACTGTTGATGAGACAAGTCCAGTAGTGGAAAATGGAAGTGTTGGTAGCATCCAGAGCAACGAGACAACTGTAGAAGAGGAGAATGGTAACATGAGTGTCTCGGCAAAGGAAGAGGCTTTCCTTGCATTGAAATTGGAAAGCGAAGAGAACTTAAGAAGGCAAGAAGTTGATAAGCTTGCCGAGAAGAGCTTATCGGAGCGGGTCAAAATGTTTGTTTATCCACAGGTGGTCAAACCTGATCAAGAAGTGGAGGTATTCCTAAACAGGAGATTATCAACTCTGGTTAATCAGCCTGATGTTTTAGTCATGGGAGCTTTTAATGACTGGAAATGGAAGTCTTTTACTGCAAGGTTGAGTAAAACCGATCTGGGAAAGGATTGGTGGTCTTGTCGCATTCGTGTTCCTAAACAAGCGTATAAGATAGACTTTGTATTCTTTAATGGAAACGATGTGTATGAAAATAACAACCAAAAGGATTTCTGTGTGCCAGTGGAAGGTGGGATGAATGAGTTTGAATTTGAGGATTTTTTGCTTGAGGAAAAACGGAGGGAGCTAGAGAGACTTGCTGAGGAGAAAGCCGAGAGGGATAGACAGGCGGAAGAAGAGCGGCGAATAGAAGCAGAGAAGGCTGCAAAGGAAGCTGATAGAGCTCAGGCAAAGGCAGAAGTTGAAAAGAGGCGTGCTGCATTGCGAAAAACCATGGAAAAGGTTGCAAAAGCAGTTGAGAACGTCTGGTTCATGGAGTCCAGAGAGTTTCAAGGAGAGGGTCTTGTAAGATTGTACTATAACAAAAGATCGGGTCCACTTGCTAATTCCAAGGACCTATGGATACACGGTGGCCATAACAACTGGAGTGATGGATTAGCCATTGCTCAAAAGCTTGTGCAGTTTAAGGGAAAGGATGGTGACTGGTGGTATGCTAATGGTAGGTCTTTTACTTCTTGTAATTTACAATTCCAATTTGCATCACTCATATTGCTCTTGTCAAGTTTAGGAGGTCCCCATTCAAACAAAGTTGCCGGCAGTTAATGATTTACTACAACAATAAAGTTTGTGACATTAGTTTCACTCAGAAAACGTGTCTTCCGCAGTTGTTGTTCCTGAAGGAGCCCTTGTCTTAGACTGGGTCTTTGCTGATGGTCCACCACAAAGTGCTGCTGTGTATGATAATAACCGTTCCCAAGATTTCCATGCTATTCTCCCGAACAGTATTCCTGAAGACTTGTATTGGGTAGAGGAAGAGGACAAGATATACGAGAAGTTACAGGAAGATAGGAGGTTAAGAGAGGAAGCTCTACGTGTCAAGGTTATAAGTCCGACATCATTTTAGTTTTAGTTGAGTTCTCTTTCTCATTCACATGCTTTACTTGTGTTCTACTCTTTTTCCTGTAGGCTGAGAAAACACGACGCATGAAAGCTGAAATGAAGGAAAGAACTCTGAAGAAGTTTCTCCTTTCTCAGAAGCACGTATTTTATACTGAACCAGTTGATGTTCAGGCTGGAAGTACCGTCACGATTTTTTACAATCCTGCAAACACTGTACTAAATGGTAAATCCGAAGTTTGGTTCAGAGGTTCGTTTAATCGCTGGACTCACCGCAAGGGGCCATTGCCACCTCAGAAAATGTCGCCTGCTGAAGATGGTTTTCATGTCAAAACCACTGGTACTACATCTTATTGCGTGTCTAATGAATGTTGCTGAACTGTGGAACTATTTGGTAGTCATCTTTGTTTGTCAAGCTCTCTGAGAGGGCTAATTGCAGTTCCTTATGTTGATACAAGTTCCCTGTGTTTTTGGGTTGCAGTGAAGGTTCCACTGGATGCATACATGATGGATTTTGTGTTCTCAGAGAAGGAAGATGGTGGAATATTTGACAACAGAGATGGCATGGATTACCATATCCCTGTAATTGGAGGAATTGCAAAGGAGTCGCCTTTGAATATTGTGCATATTGCCGTTGAAATGGCTCCTATTGCAAAGGTAACTTTAGTCTGTTAATGTTGCTAATGCGGTTATTGCAACGCTTCAATTAAGGTACCTCTTTATATCTATGTTGAATAAATTATTACTATTACAGGTTGGAGGGCTTGGTGATGTACTGACTAGTCTGTCTCGTGCTGTTCAAGAGTTAAACCACAATGTGAACATCATTCTCCCAAAGTATGACTGCTTGAAATTTAATCATGTAAGCTTCATTTGCTTTATTATCTAGATTTATGTTCGTCTAGTACTTAGTTTGGACTTGATTCTTAATGGATAGAGCAAACTCCATTAATTGAAATCTAGCATTTGTTCACTAAGCTGTCTCTTACTTGTTCCATTTATATGAAAAAATTGAAGCATTTTTCTGTATTATTTAGACAGAATAGCATTAGGCTTCTTGGATATCTCTGATGAGTTTAACTTTATGGAACACATGTGTTTTTCGGGACAAAGGTTGAAGACCTTCAGTACAACCGAAGCTATTCATGGGGAGGCACTGAAATAAAAGTCTGGCTCGGGAAAGTGGAAGGTCTGTCTGTCTACTTTTTGGAGCCTCAGAATGGGTAAAATAATTCTGCCTATTCTGTGCCACTAATTGTTTTCTCCAAGTGGTCGGTCATATGCTGCTGCTTATTATCTTCTCTCACACTTTTGTTCCTCCACAGTATGTTTTGGGCAGGTTGTATATATGGCTGCCGGAATGATGGAGAGAGATTTGGTTTCTTTTGCCATGCAGCTCTTGAGTTCTTGCATCAAACTGGATATCATCCTGTAAGATCTGTTAACTTGCACCATTTTGTGTAATTTGTGTAATCATCTCTTGATCATATGCATGATACGGTATTTTTATGTGCAGGATATTATCCACTGTCATGATTGGTCTAGTGCTCCAGTCGCATGGTTGTTCAAGGACCATTATGTGAACTATGGTCTCAGCAAAGCTCGCATTGTATTCACTATTCACAACCTTGAATTTGGGGCGCAAAACATTAGCAAAGCAATGGCCTTCTCTGACAAGGCTACAACTGTGAGTTACTGCAGCCATCTTTATTAAATTGGATCTTTTTTTACTTATTCACTATTGAGCCTTAAGAGAACAAATTTCAAGCTCTTTTCTTGATCAATGAGAATGATAACGGTAAGTTGATTCCTGAGTTTGTTTTTCCCTGACAACTTAGCGTAAACCTAGCATCGTCATTCTCATTAACAACCCAAAGCTCCTGAATGTTCTCCCTGCTGTAATTATCTGATAGCCATTTTCAATATGTATGAAGAACTGTTTCAAGACATTAGAAACACCAATACCATGCAAATTATGAGCAGACGAGCAAGAAGACATGACAAAGATAGAAGCTTTTACTTGCTGTAGCAGCATTTGCTATGTCTGTCTGTGATGCATCTCCTAGATAGTTTATATTTGGCACATGTACTTGATCAATTGTAGTTTTCAGTCGTTAAAGTCCTCCATGTGGTTGACTTCCGTAAAATACAGTGCTTATGGTCTTCTGTGCTTTGACATTATTATTGGAAACGTGAGTAGGTATCCCCTACTTATGCAAAGGAGGTTGCAGGGAACGGTGCAATTGCTCCTCATCTATACAAGTTCCACGGTATACTGAATGGAATAGACCCAGATATATGGGACCCTTACAATGATCAGTTCCTTCCTGTAAGTCGCTCAAGTATTATACTTATTATGATGTTGCTAGTTTCCTGCTTATACATCAGTTATTAAGATGGAAACTTACTGACTGCTCAAACCTATGCATTCTTGGATTGTCGGACATTTTCTAATGGATGTTCACTTATTCTCCAGGTACATTACACTTCTGAGAATGTCGTTGAAGGCAAAAGAGCAGCGAAGGAAGCTCTGCAAGAGAGGCTTGGTCTGAAAAAGGCTGATCTCCCTCTAGTCGGTATCATTACCCGTTTAACACAGCAGAAAGGTATCCATCTCATCAAACATGCCATTTGGCGCACCTTAGACCGAAATGGACAGGTTGTGTTACTTGGCTCAGCTCCAGATCCACGGATACAGAACGATTTTGTAAATCTCGCCAATCAACTGCATTCAACCCATGGTGACCGTGCTCGCCTTTGTTTGACCTATGATGAACCGCTCTCACACTTGGTAATGCACTGATGAAAACCCTATTGAATAAATGCTAAAACCATGCATTTTGATTGCCCTCTCTTCTCTCTTTAGATCTATGCTGGATCGGATTTCATCTTAGTTCCATCTATATTCGAGCCATGTGGGCTTACACAGCTGACAGCCATGAGATACGGTTCAATACCTGTTGTCCGAAAGACCGGAGGCCTCTACGACACGGTGTTCGACGTTGACCATGATAAAGAAAGAGCACAAGCACAAGGGGTCGAACCGAATGGTTTCAGCTTCGAAGGAGCTGATGCATCTGGGGTTGACTATGCTCTAAACAGGTGAGAATCATTAGTGACCATACCACATTTTCACCAAATTTCCATGCATCTAACCCAACCCATGTGTTTTATTGTTCAACAACGTCCAGAGCGATTTCTGCTTGGTACGATGGTCGCGACTGGTTTAACTCGCTATGTAAAACCGTGATGGAGCAAGACTGGTCGTGGAACAAGCCAGCTCTCGACTACATGGAGCTTTACCACTCTGCCCGGAAGTGAAAAAAAAAACCGGTCAAGTAAACCTAGTTCTGTACAGAGTTAGTCTATCTATCGATATGTTATTCAACCATCTGCAATTCTGCACATGAAATTATCCCTCCAGGGCCCCGAGTAATGCTTTAGTTGAAAGCTACAGGGAGGAAGGGAAAAGATGGCAACTTGTTGCCTTGCCGCACAAGTTGCTCGACTGATCTTTTTCTTGTGAAGTTGATAGTTTCCTGACTCTTGCCAACTATGTGAGGTTGATAAGTGATTAGTGGGGAAGGATTAAAAAAAGGAATCAGCCAATCCCAGCGGTGAACATGAGTTGTTGCTGCTGGTTATCATGATATGATCCAAGTGGATTCACTTTTTTTTGCTTTGAGTTTTCTGCTTTTAGTTCTTTTGGACGGTAGAGGTGGATTTGTGGATTTTGATTTGATGTTATGGGTTGGGAATGGAATGGTCGTAAGCTCGTCTTCCTACTCAGATTCCATGACCACCTTGAGCTTGACTTGACCATGATCGTTACGTGGGAAAGTTGTTTCCAATGGGGGCAATGTCAATCTCTTGGTCATGATAATGGCATAGAAAAAGATCGCGTAAATCATCATAGAAGATTTACAGAATTGTTGGATTTTTTTTTATCTTTAACAAAATGAGCAAAGAATATCCGCGTATCGCGGTGACCTAATCATGAAACTTCAATGGTCAAATTAACCTTATTCTCATCAAGTTTTGTTTGAAGAACATGTTGCCTGATACACTCTATTTCTCTTCATCTATGTTGGTGTGTTACTTCAATCGGTAATCATGATTTGTACTCGAATTTTCTAAGCGTCATAGTGTACTTTACTCATCTGACACTGGATTCACATTCAATATCTCATTTTATGTATCCCAATGATCTTTTGGTCATGATAATTGCATGATAAGCTTAGTGTTAAAGTATAGTCGATAAGTGACATTAATGACTGTAATATCGTATTGTATACGACCAATCATATTAGTTAAACCATATATAATGACATATCTGCTATAACGCATTTTTGTTACGACACCTCAATTGTACTTTGTATTGACAACACAATTTCACAACTTAGTTTTTATATAAAATTATTGAAGAGCTATCAAACAAAAAAGTGGCTGTAGTTTAGTGGTAAGAATTTCACGTTGTGGCCGTGAAGACCTGGGCTCGAATCCCAGCAGCCACAGTTTATAATCATTTTTCATTAAATTTTTCTCCTTGTTTCCAACATTTTTTTTATAATTTCCCTATGTGTTTCTTGGCTCTGATAAAAGATTCATACCGACTTTAATCAGTTGGTCCAGAATAAGTAAAGAATCGCACTCAAGCAATTTAATGGGCTTTGGAGTGGGGGCCTTCAACTGGAGCCCACCAACAACTTTTGTTTTACTGGATCATTAAAAGAGGGGCAATTAAGCCCATTTTTTGGTGATTATAAATGTTGAAACAGAACTAGAAATAGGGAAAAAAACAGAAAAACCCCACTTGTAGTAGTAAATTGTTAGATCAAACCCCACCCAAAAAATTAAATATGTATTAATATTATTATTTTCTTTGTTATGTTTAATTACTAATTAGGACCTTTGAAAGCTCCAGTTTAGAAAAAAAGGAAGCAAAGCAAGGTTGGTTGTTCCCCACAAAGAATTAACTCCAAATTATATATGGACCCTGTCATGTCATGATTATTGCATCACCAGTTTTAATTTTATTAAATTGTAGGGTTCAATGTTGATGCAGACCACTAGGCCAATTTAAGTAAAACATTAGGTTACCCAACAGTAAAATAGTATAAAACAATCAAGGTAATTTCTTTCAATTTGTAACCACCACCATGACCATTAATTATTGATTGGGACGAATTAAATTTTTTTTTTTTACATAGTTTTAACATTCTTATTGACCGAGAAATTCCATGTTCGAATCATGATTATCAATCATTGGTCGTGTTGGAGGACTATACGAACTTCAAGCTTAATAGAACGGGTATTCATTTTGAGCTGAGTGTGTGAAGGACAAGATTCATTGTCTAGCCACCAGAAAAGTGGAAATGGAATTTTGACATCGTGTCAAATGCGTTACTGACAATAGAAACACCTTACAGGTGATGTTTTAGCCAAAAGTTTCATCTACCAAGTTCGAGCAAACCTCAAGCTAAGCTAGCGAGTTTTAGTTTGAGGAACGTGTGTAAAGAAATTTCAAACCTGCTAAACCTGTACATCTTCCAAGTTCCAGCTACAGGGTGGACAGAAACACTGCTCCAAGTCGGATAAAATCTGACTGGACGAATGTATACATTAGGCTTTTGTTTCCATTCTCAAAGTAGAGTCGTACGAAATCCTAAAGAACCAAATACAAAAATATTTTCTGGTTACATATTGTCTTTCTCACATTTCTTCATATTTCCCATCCAATTCTATAGGAGTTTCTGTCCGACTCCAATCCAACCAACAACTTGACCAATTGGTTTGAGACTGATATGTATAGAATGAGCCTTTTTCCCTCCATTCAATTACTCATAACAAACCATTGAAGGAACAAACAGTTCTCCAGCCAATGGTTTTCTGTTCCCATGGCAGAGGAGTGGAGAAGATGGAAAGGAGACTCTGTGCTAATTCAATGAGAGGGGAAAACAGAGTCAGAACAGAGCATTAATAACACTACTCCTGGTTAGGATAGGATTACATGTTTCCTAGTGCTTGATAGATAATAATAGCTGTATTTTTCTTAAAAATATTTATTAGAAAAATAAAATTAAAAAGGAACCATCTATATAAAAGAAGAAAAGGAGTTGACCTGTTGGGTCATTATCCAACAGAGTTACTACTGATTTGATATGAGAAGACATCCCAACCCACTTTCCTACTACTACTAGTACTGCCCATAATTGCCCCCACAAGCCTGGTTTAATTTGGCAACAATTGACAACAATAACTTCCCCCAAAAAGAAAAACCCATATCTACCCACTTTTTGATTCATTTGGGTTTTGTTTTTGCCATCTAGGTGTTAGTGTTGTGGTATATGATCCACGATTAAACCTCTCCCAACAACTCGAGTTATTGGGAGCAACTGGTTCTTGACATGGTATCAGAGCCTTCTGTGACCGAGAGGTCTTGTGTTCAATTCCCGATGACCCCCATTTGTTAAGCACATGGTATTCTTGTCTTCAGACCTGTGCAAACTTCAAGCCCTTGTGAGTGGCTTTCGTTTGAGGGGGCGTGTTAGTGTTGTGGTATATGATCCACGATTAAACCTCTCCCAACAACTCGAGTTATTGGGAGCAACTGGTTCTTGACACTAGGTATACTTGGATTGAGTTAAATTATTATGGTTTCAATTATGGATGTTAGGTATGTGGATTGAGTTTCAGTTATGGATGTTAGGTATGTGCTTTAACTTAAGAAGTCTATCCAAGAACATTTACCCAGATGGAACAACAACAACAACAATATTTCTCAATTCTCGCATGTGTATCTCCTAATCGGGTGCTAATTAGGTCGAGTCGTTCGTCTCTGGATTCATAATGAGATACAGGTCGACGGCTCGATCCTGGAACATAATTCGGTCATCTCTTGAAAAAAAGTTGAGTATGTTGTAAACTCGAGTAGACGGATGATAGAATGATTACTGAGTGAATCAACTCAATTCGAGTGAGCGACTGAGTATGTGTATTGTGTTTGAGACTATCATATGTGCATCTTAATACGTTTAGTATGACAAGCTAATGCAAATGAACTGAATGTGATGAAGAAAGAACGGTCCGTATATGTTCAACTTCATCGGACTCATAGACGAAACGAAACAAGATCGAAACGAAACAAGGTAAACAACAAGTCTGGTCCAAATTGTCGTCCAAATCCTACCAAACTCCAAGCTTTGACATTCAGAAGCCTTTGACATCATAACTCAAGGTCACTCCTGCTGCTACCTCCCAAGCTTATCACTGAGACTGACACACCCTTTCTGCTCTGTCAAACTGAGATGAACGAACGAACCATTTCTTCCATTTTTTTTCGTTTTTGTTTTTGGCGTTTGGGAGAAGCGAACAAAGGCAAAGGGATAAGGTTTATACTGAAATGTGTGAGAGACTGGGACTTGGTTCAACCAATCAGCTTCTTCCACATTGCCCAATCAGCACCACCACCACCACCGTCGTCTCTTTTCCCTCTCCACTGCCTCCCTTTCCACAGTCATTTGGCCAAAATACGAACCCCAATCCCATTATTATATGTTGCATGATGATGATCTTAATTATTCTTTTGGGAAAGCATCCCAAAGTTGTCAATTGTCATCAATCACTTGTTTGAAAGTTAAAACAAAGATATGGGTTTATCTATCTGGGTTTTGTGTATTTCAATGGGATGATTGAAGTTAAACAAAGAGAGATGTGGGAGAGTAGGACCATTTAGTTTGTGCAATTCCCCATCATGGAAATTGATAAAAATGGATGGAATTTTAGGGGTTGGAAATACTTGGAATCATCAATGGTGATTAAACTTTATTGAGTGGAATGAAGTAGTCACCAAGCTTTCAAATAATGTACTAGCGGTCACCAAACTTCTCATTTTTGTACAACAAAACTGTTTTATATCGTTAGGTTGTGTTGAATCGACATACTAATGGTTCTTTGCATAGTTAATGATGTCTTACTTGACATCAGAATCAGCCATAACGCTAGCCCAATCATGCCAAGATTCATATTTTTCGCCATGGAGTAAACCCACAAACTCCAAGATTCACATCATAAACCAATAAATCCCTCTTGCACGTTGCTTCTCTCCGTCACCTCGTCCTGCATTTGTTATCGATTCTCTCACAACGTTCAACCCTTCTCTTGGCTTCCCTATCTTACCAATTTCTCTATTTGCTCTTCTTGCTCTTGTTTTTTTCTACATCATCTTTATCATTTAAGAAGAAAGAGATGAATTCCCCCAATACATCACTAGCTCTCACTTCTCTCGTGATTCAAAGTATCAAATAAGAACATCGCAAGCCAAACATAACATACCTAATACAATGCATAACGATACAAAATCAATTCAGATAGCCACACATAACTACATCCTCATCACAACATTTGAACGATCATCAAAATAAACAACAATAATCGTTATCTCGTTATATTACACTAATCCCCACAATTAATGAGACCCCATTTCAACAAACCCTCCTTTCCCCTACCTCTACAAAAACCCTCTCCTACCTTATCTTCTCACCATTAATTTCGATCTTTCCACAAAGCTGCAATGAGATGACAATTAAGGCCTCCCTCCTTCCTTCCTCGTAGCCACCCAAAAGCTCTGGCCCTCTCTTCTTTATGCTCTTCTCTCAATTGTTATATGGGTTTCCGTGGGCGATTTGGATTTTCTGTCATTAAAAATCCACCACCCCCTCTCAAATCCTTCCACGTACACCCACACTATTCATTTCCAGCCAACAAAAAGAAGAAGAAGAAAATGAAGAAAGGTGGAAAAGAAAGCCGATGCCAATAATGGTACAAACGGTGGCAACAGAGATTCTACACATCACAGCCATAACTATAACCCCCAAAAAGAAAGCAAAAGAAAAAGAAAATATACAAGGTGAAATGTTATAACAAAAACATCCCTATATACTATGACTTTAACAAACAAGTCCACATACCATGTTGTTTAGCCACATTGAGTACCTCAAATCTCGTCTAAATTCGTTGTTAGAAGTATCTTCTTCTTAATGTATTTGTTTTGTGTGCTAAAGTTTCATTTTTCTTTCAGTCTCTATTGTTAAACCATCGTCACTATTTCTCAGGTAAATGCTAGATTATCGATCCAAAACAATTGGACTTAATGTTAGGCTAGATGAAAGTACATGAATGATATTATGTTCCATAACAGTTCATAGACCGTTACACAAATCCATCATCGAGCATGCACTCCATGTTAGGCGGAGAAAACAAAGTTTGATCTGCTTGGTCAAATCGCACAAATGTCGAATCATTGATAACACTAATAATTTTGCCTACAGATCCCAGGAGTTGGCGATCAAAGGAGGCACTCTGATAGAAGACTTTGGTATGCCTCAACAAGGTTTTCAATGTCAAGCTCTGCTGATGGATCCATCCATTATCAAACCAGGAATGGTGGAGCTAACTTGGCTTGGGAGATGATACTTCTTCAAACATACTCTATTATTGCACTTTACTTGATCCAATACTGATCACCTACATCCAACTTGTTATCTATATGGTAACTATCCATCAAGTTTCTTACATTGGATAAACTTCTACTAACTTGTAGCACATGAACTTGTTTGTTAAGAATCAAAACCACATGATGCAAATTGTCAAAACTTTCATAATACTAGGGGTGTATAAATACCACAACCCAAAAGAAGGAAAAGACGGATAAAAAAGCTTTCTTCTTTCTCCTCCAACTTCTCTTTCCCCCGTCTCATCATTTCGCAGTACACAGCCAGCCAGCCCAGCCATCTGTTTTTTCCATATCAGGGTTCCTGCCATCGATTCAGCCATATTTAAATAACCCAGTCTCGGAAACCAACTCCTCCTCCCTTGTCTTTTTTCCCCTCTCCCGCTGTGCTCTGTTTTTTTGCCAGTCGCAGCAGAGTAGTACTATTCTTGAAAGCTGCAACCTTCTTTGGAAGTATTCCCTTCCCTTCTCCCCTGGCTGCTGTTGCTACCCAAATCCCCCTTTATTTATCATCGCCCTCTTCACCCACAAACTCACTCAGCAGCTTCATTTCCCTTCTCTTCCCCCCCTGTCTTCTGCTCTGTTTTGAATTGGGCAATTAGAGTTATCACTGTTACAGTTGTGCTCTGTTTTTCACAACCAAGGCTCAAAAGGTGAGAAATTCCTGATTAAATTTCCAATCTTTCGTCTTCCTCGTTGATTTCTTTCCCTCTGCTTAACACCACTTCTCTGTTTTCATCAGGGTTTTCGATGGCGGATTGGTACACCAGGAGAAATGGGGATTTCGAGGAAGCAGATATCTGGTCCTTCGCTAAACAGAGTGAACCCACCTCTGCTGCTTCCAAGCAAAACAGGAAATCCTCTGTTTCCTCCTCTGCCGCTCGAAGAGGTACCACAGCTCCTCGAGCCATCCCATCCGAAATCCCCGGCGAAGGGAACTCAACTCCGGTGATGGCTCACCGCTCCTCTGCTCCGATGAACATCCCCGACTGGTCGAAGATCTACGGCGCCAACAATGGCGGGTACTACGACGATTACCAGAACAACGACGATGCCCACTACGATGACGACGACGACGACGATGATGACGTGGTGCCGCCGCATGAATGGCTGGCGAAGAAGCTGGCGAGGTCCCAGATTTCCTCGTTCTCTGTCTGCGAAGGGATTGGGAGGACTCTGAAAGGCAGAGATCTCAGCAAAGTGAGGAATGCTATCCTGACCAAAACCGGTTTCCTGGAGTGAAACTCAGAGTTGCATTATTATCATCATCATTAATTATTAATTAAGGGGTTCTTAATTATGTTGTTTTTAGCTTAGGTTGATCGCCCCACAATTAGGGAGGGGTGGCCCCGGTGGGTATTTTGTAACCTTGCTCTGTTTATCTTCTTAATTTCCTGCCCAATTATTGTTGCTAATTGGTGATTAGTAGGTTTGCTATTAGTAGGAGAAGAAGAAGGACTTGTGTAGGGGTGATTCAGGGGAAGCTGGCTCTGTTTTTTTCTTTTTGGGTTGTTTATGAAGCTGGGGAGCAGAGCCCCTGAGATTTTGTCTGGTAGCCTGGCATCGGAAGGTCGTTTGGATAAGTGAAATGAGTATCGGATTTGTGTTCAAATGAAAGGCTAGAACTGTTTCGGTTATGGTTTTGGGGTCATCTTTTGGTGTTTGGTATAGTCGTAAATCGAATCGAAAAATAAAAAATCACGTTTGTAAAACTACAGAATTCCAAATTTATCGTCACTCAGTCCATTCGTTAACCCTAACTGGAAAGGATGACCAATAGGATGTTCAATAGAACTAGGTTAACCGCAACAATCGGTTCTCGGTTAACCACAAAACACAATGAATTCGAGTATGGTCGTTGTCATGGATCCAATTCGGGTTCGAGTAGCCAAACAATGTAGTTCAGTTTAATTGAAACTGCACCGAATTCCAACCCAAATCCAAACCATGGGTAAGAAGTGATTATTGGGTTTATTGAAAAGAAGGATGATTCGAATGAATATAGTGAACCGCAACATAACCGAAAATCGTAACATTTAATTCTCGAGTAACACCAAAACACACCCTAATCCAATCCATGGGTAGAAGTGACTATTTGGGTTTATTGAAGTGACTAATGACAGGAGGATGGATAATAAGTGTAAGAAAACAAAAGAGGATCATTTGCCTTTTTAAATTATGTTGTTTGTTGTGTGGTTTGTGGTTGGTGTAATTATGTGGATCTGCTGGCGTGTGAGATAGGCCAATGATGTCTCCATTGAGTGATTATCTATCAGATTAGTGTCAATCAGATTAGTATTTCTTAAGTATTGTAGTAAACAATACTCTAATGTTTCTGTCACTTGGTTGTGGTTTTCTAGCTTTGCTCATCCTGAAAACTAGATTTAAAGGGAAGTTATTTTCTCCCACTTGGTATAATCAATCCTATGGTCGAGATGTATTGAAAGGTAAACAAAAGAAAACCATAATCACTATGTAAGTATTACATCATGCATTTATCATCGAGAATTTCAAAGTGGGTAAACTTCTATAATTCATAAAATTATCAGGTTTAACGTCCACCAATAATGCAAAGTAAATCGATGAAGTAAAGCAGTTTTCTTGTTTTCTTAGTTTTGCATGCAATGAATCAAATCGATTTGTATTTGGATGTGGGTAGAACTATGGGACATGTTCATATGACGGGCTCGAGTGTGATTGATTTATCGATCCGACATACACCAGGGTCGGATTATTGGATATGTTGGGTAAATAGGTCTTTGGTGTTGCTATGAAACGATTTCGTATTTGAGGGAATGCATAATTGGAATGCCACAAGTTCTCGCAAGAGATGCAGATCATGCACTTGGCGGCGCGTTTCTTGTTAAAGTTTGTATCATTTTAATTAGCAGGAGTTGCAAAGGAACAAACCAATAAAACTAGCAGCAGTTTAATATAAAATCGAGAGAAATGCAATAATGAAGTTCGCGAAACATCACACCATCACAAATACTACAATTTTTTAACAACTAAAGGATGATGATTGTGAATTGCAAATTGTTAATCCTAGTGGTCGTCCCACTAATCCAAGACCTAAGCTAATCCAACCCTTTTCCCTAATTACAATTGTTTACCAAATTTGGACTCACCCAAATCAACCCTAATCCTAAACCCTCCCCCTCTCTTTGCTTTATGGTGACAGCGATCCCTCCTTTCCCAATCGCCACAACAACAAGAGAGCAAGAGTGAAACCTCTTCCTCTGTTTTCTGTGTGTGTCCCATATTTCCCCAGCTGTCCCAAAACGATAAACAAAAACAAAAGCACTGCGGTTTTTTCCTTGTCGTTTTGCCTGCTTACTATAATAATATACATAACGCCATTGCTGCTTCCTGCTTGCTGCTGCCTCTCTCGTGAGTGAGTTGTACTGGAAATGGATAAGCCATTCTTTCAGAGACTTATATTACATTATTGGCATCGTCTGATTGGTTGGCTCTTTTTTTTTTCTAGGGCTTTTCCCCCTCTTTTCAGGAAGGTTTTGTCCACTGGATATTCGACTGGGATCAAACAAACTTGGGAAGTACCACGGCTGGCTGCCATTGACTTCATGCATGTCCCAAGAAAAGAAAAAAAAAGGAAAGAGATGAGTTTGGCAATCTATACCTACATTCCATAGACTTGAAGACATCCTTATCTACTTGAGGAGTAAGATAGGTAAGCTTCTTACAAGCATTTAGGAACAAGTATGTTTGGCTCTTGAACTTATTTTATCTATCGCGGGTGGCGTGGACGGAGTAAGGATGTTATAGATAGTTGATTGTTGAGCGGAACGAAGGTATTGGCCCTTGAACTCATCTTACTTATCGTATATCAGGTATGCAGCGTGTTGTAGTACGTAGATGCTTGAAGAGTAAGATAGATCACTTCCTTACGAGCCCGGCAGGCCATGTACGTCTGTTTCTTGAACCTTATCTTATCTGTCGTACATCGGCAGGGTAAGGATGTTACATATAGTTGTTTGTGGATAATGTTTGGCTCCTTGAACTTTATCTTATCTAATAGTACATAAGTTAGGTAGGAGTGTTGTAGACTTGTAGTCCTAGATGGTTGTGTAAAAAAGAATGAAGTTAGTAAGTTGAGTGATCTTGACTATAACTAATACTAAGATTAGTTCGGAATAAACTCTTGCAGGTTGAGGCGATTATTACAAGTGGGATAGGTAACACAGGTCTGTATTGCACCCAGTCTCAATCCTTACGCATCTTTTGTTTTTAGTTTTAGAGTTGCTCTCACTTTAATTCTGTTTCCTGGTTGGGAAAGGAATTTGTAGGGTAGTTGTGGACTTGCTACATTAAGGATAACAAGCCCATTATCCTATTGTGGGCTTTTCTGACCTTGTATTATTCTTTCTCAACTGACATGGGCTTGTCTTCCATCCACGGAATGACACCAGAGAACCAATTTACAACTCCTCTTTAACATTTCCCTTTACAACTGACATGGGCTTGTCTTCCGAATCACATACCATCATGGTCATGGTATACTTCGTAAGTAGTTGGTATCTGGAATAGGAAAAATCAAACCAGGTTAGGCCCATCATGGCAAACTTTGCACCCGAAATTCGAAGTCTTCTTGCTAACCTGCCTCAAATACAAGCAAAACTTCGTATTTGAGGCGTGGAACCTCGATGTTGCATTTGATTTCCCAACAACCAACAAGCGATCAGTCACTGAGTGCAAATGTAGCCCAGTAGTAGTACCCTATGCAGCCCAATCGAATCGAATACCATTAATTAACTACAATTATACCATATACACCATTTTTGGGTTTAAAGCAAGGCTCAATATCCTATCGTATATTAATTGAGCCCAATTTTAGGATTTTTTTGAAGGTAAGTCCAAAGTTAGGATTTATGAATTATGATGACCCTAAGAATTGACGAGCAAAAATGAAAAGGGTTCCACCGGTATAGTAGTATAAGTTTTTTCTCAATAAAAAAAATCCAAAATTATGGGTTTGGTCAATTGGTTTGGGTATTTGATGTTGATTAGACGGTCAACTTGAGTGAGCAATCCTTTTTGTAAGCCCATTCAGTACTCTCGTTTGTTACGCCATAAAAAATCTAACGACGTTAATGAATTCTGACTGAGACTGATAATCGGTGAAACGATTCGCAAAGTTAGTGAGAATAAGAAAAACTTTTCGAGTGAAAAACGTGAAACATTTATGAAATTTGAGTAATAAACGTGTAATTTAGCCGGCAAGTGTCCATCTTATGTCCTTTTTCACTTTCCTAATATAGTTTCTAGCACAAATACATGTATCGAGATTATTATTTTTTTTTTGGTAAAACAGCGAACGGTAGGGGCGCTCCACCCTACATGTATCAAGATTGACAATATTTTTATAAATCTATCTCGTAGCAGGTATTTTGAATTGTATACGATTGAGACAATTAATAGTGTCAACGAGACAACAACAAGATAGTAATAGTAATACGATGAACTCCAGATTAGTTTTTCTCTCCTCTTTCATTATATTAGATTGCAATGAAAATTCAGAAACGGGTAAAGGTTAGGTTAGGAGCATAGGCGTACGCATTTCATTCATTGGGATTCATTAAGTGACTTCCTGGCTAAACTGCTAATGAATTTAATAAATCCTTCATACATAACAATCGAAGTCCATTTCCTCGACATTTTACCCGTTTCTTCCGAGAAGCTATGTTCCATTCATTCATATAAACTTCAACGCCATCATATTAATAAACAAAACAATAAATTGAATGCAGGAGGAGCAGACGGGTTTCGTCTTTGTAACAGTCGCTAATAAGCCTCTAATTAGGCGTCACGTAACAATGAATAGATTCCTAATTAGGCGTCCCAGTTGGATTTTATGACATTACAGTGCCGTTTTTATATTCTTGTTCGTCTTGTTTATGCCTCCCCATTTCTGTTTTCTTGTTCAGTGGAACAAGTAGAAACTGCCGCTTCCTGGCTACAGTTTCAGGTATGTAAAATAATGTATGAAGGTTATATTTGCACAGTCTGGAACTGAAAAATGAAACGACGGTTTTAGGGAAGCTTGAAAAAAAGTGGGTGAGAGGGTCTTTTCACTGTCTCTCAATTTTGTTCCACTTAATCTCCCTCTCTCTCTCTTTACTTTTCTCCACAGAGAGAAAGAGAGGGAGAGATTCCTTCTTCTTCTTCTTCTTCTTCTTCTTCTTCGGTTGTTCTGCTGCTGTAAATGAAATTACCAAGTTCTCAGGAAGACCCATTTTAGCTTTCTTCTCTTCCCCTTTCTGGGTTGACTCCTTTCCGGGTCAACAGTAGGTGAAGAAGAAGAAATGTCGGTGAAGACTAGAGCCGGAGCTGGAGAGCTCTGTGCGAAGAAGCTCTTGTATTCAAGGAAATGGGCGGCGTTTCTCTGCTTTGGCAGCTTCTTTGCCGGGATGCTCTTCACGAATAGGTGACTTGACTAAAATTCTTTTGGTTTCACTCTATGCATTTTGATTGAACTTCAATGGAGATGGCAGAATTGCTCTTGTGCCCATTTGCTCCAGTCCTTTTAAAGTTTCGAACTTTGATCTAGTTGAGGAAGGGTTTTGTAGTTCATCCCAATAATTCCAGTGGTTTGAAGAGCATATAGTTGGTGAAGAACCAGTTCGTTACAATAACGAGAAGTTCATAACTATGTAACAAGAATTAGTTCGTCCCAATAATTTGAGTGGTTAGGAGAGATTCATCGATAGAAGCCTCGGTATAACATATCGAGAATCAAAGCAAACTTGAGTGGTTGGAATGGATTGATCATCCCTCATAAAATACTCCATTACATTGCTTTGATTAGTACATGAGAAGGAAAATAATTGCTTAAGGACTTGAATTGAAAGGCTAACTGAAATGTTTTTCTTTTTGTGTTAGGGTGTGGATGGTGCCTGAAGCAACAACGAATTTAGTAGTGGATGCTTGTAATCCAAAGCTTGTAAGTGTGGGGTTTTTTTTTTCCAGTGACCTTGAGATGGAACTCTCCTTGATCATATTTTCTAATTATATTTTTAGCAGAAATTTGCTAGCCATAAATCAAACCACAGTTCTTTACAAGTTTCCAAGACCCAGCACACTGTCCAGTAAGACCCTTTTTTGGGATGATTTCGTCAAACTAATGAATGACAGATTCAGTATTTCTGGGTGATATTCACTGAAGGGAAAATTTTCATTTTGTTGCAGAAGTTTAGATAGCAAGATTTCAATTCTAGAGGCGAAATTAGCAGCAGCTAAGGCAAAGCAGAAAACTATGGGGAATGGGACTGTTGCAGCAAGGAGAAAGTACACTATGGTTATAGGAATCAACACAGCTTTTAGCAGCAGGAAAAGAAGAGATTCGGTTCGTTCAACTTGGATGCCACAAGGTGAAAAGAGGAAGAAGTTGGAGAAGGAGAAGGGTATTGTGATCCGTTTTGTTATAGGGCACAGGTGAGAGATCTTCCTTACTTCTTACCCAAGTATGCATCTTTCATACAACGAGTTCATCAGATTGAAATGAATGACAATGGTTGTTAATTGTTTCCTCATTTTTGGCGTAGTTCGACGGCTAGTGGCATTCTTGATAAGGCAATTGATGCAGAGGAGGAGATGCATGGAGATTTCTTGAGGCTGGTAGAGATTCCCATTTGTCTCAAATCTTCTTAATCATTTTGTTGTTTGATTGAGTGCTAATGCCAATCATCTTTAAAAATGGTGCTTAATCTGGTCTTGGATTTTATGTGTAGGATCATGTAGAGGGATACTTGGAATTGTCTGCCAAGACTAAGACTTATTTTAGCACAGCAGTTGCTTTGTGGGATGCAGATTTCTATGTCAAAGTGGATGATGATGTTCTTGTGAATATAGGTGAGCATATGTTTTCTGTTTCTTTTTCATTCATTTCATACAGTCTGTGTTCCCAAATCATATACTAGAAGTCTGGAATCAAGAAAGCTGAGAGCTTTACATAGCACTGGCATAATTGCAGAATCAATTGCTTTAAGTGGTGGTGGTTATGATGGTGTGTCTGAGAGGGTTTACTTGCCATCAATCAAAACAGATGTTTTTCTTTGGGAATTTTGATGCATTTGATTGTATTTGCTCAACTAATACGCTTTAACTTATTTTGCTATTGTGGAGCATACTCTTTCTTGTACGCGATCAGTTCTTTTGTGTAAACTTGAGATCCTTCTTTTCATTCCCGATCATTGGAAACTCTTTGTGTTGCAGCTACTCTTGGATCGATATTAGAACAACACATAAAGAAGCCGAGAGTATACATTGGTTGCATGAAGTCTGGTCCTGTGCTTGCCAAAAAGTAAAGGTCTTCCAAGATTCGTATTCAGATCAGGATATACATATCAGCATGTTGTGCTGACCCTTTTACCTTATAAACACAGAGGAGTCAAATACCATGAGCCAGAGTACTGGAAGTTTGGAGAGGTAGGGAACAAGTACTTCCGCCATGCCACAGGTCAACTCTATGCCATCTCAAATGATTTGGCCACCTACATATCAGTCAACCAGTAAGTTCCCATCCAAAAACCTTATCTTCAATTTTGATATAATGGCCCAAAATGTTAAATCTTGACATGGCCTAATGAAGCAACATTGGCATTGGACATTTTCCTAGGCAAGTGCTGCACAAATTCGCCAACGAAGATGTCTCCTTAGGCTCCTGGGTCCTTGGTCTGGATGTGGAGCACGTGGATGAGAGGAGACTCTGCTGTGGCACTCCGCCAGATTGCGAGATGAGGGCTCGTCTGGGATCGACGTGTGCAGTATCGTTCGACTGGAAGTGCAGCGGGATATGCAAGTCAGTGGAGAGGATGGCAGAGGTTCACAAGCGGTGTGGGGAAGACGAAATCGCCTTATGGAGCAAGCAAGGTCTGGCTGCATCGTTATGAGGTGTGCCATTACTGCTTCTCTTCTTTTTTTGCACATTGTAGAGAGAAACCCTGTAGTTTCCTTAACAGCAATCAAGAGTATAGAAATTTATACTTTTAACACACACACAGAGGGGAAAAGAGAAGAGGGAGAAAAGAAACTACAGGGGTGCTGTCTTCTCCTTTTTGGCTGAGACCCACTTGGACCATGAGCAAAGAGAATGGGAGAGAATGTTACATATGATTCTTTGAATGGTTTGGAAAGCCAAGTTCTAGGCTTCTCTACTAACCATGACAATTGTGACAATAATGGTAAAATCTTCATATGGCTGCTGCGATTTTGCTGCCTCTGGCTCCATTAATAAACCTTACTGTACTCATTTAGTTATGAACCCTGCACCCATGTTTCGTGTAGTAAATGCAGAGAATTCCTACGTAGAAAACCTTCATCTACATTCTGTGTAAGCCATGCAGCAGCTGCACATTTACATGGGTAGAAACCATGCTGCAAATTTTTGTTTTAATGAAAGAAAGAACACATACCACATCCAAGCATCATGACATATATGAGAAATTATGATGATGAGCTAGTGCTAGAGCCAGTGTGGATCCCCAACAAGGAGGGAAGATCGAACGAATGGGATATTGACGCGGCTCAATCGAATAGCAATCCCCCATTACCGAGGGGAGATTGGCTTTCTGATTGAACCGGACCAATATCTCGTTCTTACACTGGTGAACTCTTAATGCTTGCAAAGTAAGGAACATACATTACCACGGGGGGAAGTGCTGCGCTCTCAGAGCATATGGCAATGGCAGGGATGGTGATGAAGTGAGTTGTTGTTGAGAAGAAGAAGAAGAAGAAGGGAGAAAAAGGGGATCGATGATGGATGGAGCATTTGTTGATTTTGGTGGAAAGGCTATAAATAGAGGAGAGGTAATAAAGGAAGGAAGGAGAAAAGGGCCGGCTGGAAGCATTGAATTTGTCACCAACCCAAACGGGAAACAGAAGGGTTGATTAAAAGCTGATTTGGTAAACAGGGACTCTTTGATATCTGACAAAATCCATTGTTTTTATCGTTTGAATTTGGTCGTTACTATTTTCCAATTAGGAAAATGAATGTGAAATACCACCCTGATGCATTGAAATCTTCATCGGAGTGTTAAAAGTTCAAAACACTGGTATGGTAATCGGGTATTAGAGCTGGACATCAAAACTACCAATAATGTGAAAATCGAAATTAGATAATTAGTCTTGGAGTTAAGAAAGTCGAGTACGTACCCTTCCGATTGACACCAAGAAGCATGTCACTAAGAATCGGTAATTGTTAGACGGAAGCAACCAATACAAAAACAAGGATGGAAATGGTCACAAATAAAAGCAACAAATGAAGTACACACAATGAAGAATCTACATATGGACGAACCTTCATATATACTACTTAAACTCCCAAGTAAGTTCAAGAGCATACAAAATCTCGACCAAATCAACTCCTGTGCCATTTTGTGACTCGTAAACCCCCGTCAGCATAGTTTGCTACAGATCTTTACAACGCACATATTTCTAACAATACGCGTACTCTTTCAAACCACGACTTCAGATGCACTAATGGTCTCTAACCTTACACATTTCTACCATCCCAAACAGAGTATTGAAAGGGGTGGTACTTTGTCACCAAGGTAAAAGCACCATAGATGTGGTGTTGCATTCAATTGCTGAAGTGAAGGGCACAGGCCAGCCATTGAGAAATTAATGCCTGGAGGGATATATGTTCCCCTTCTTGTGCAGAGCAGAGCAAAGGGTATGGGGCGAGGGATTTTGGAAGTGACAGCCGGTAGGGTTTTTTCCCCTCTGTTCACGTTACGCCGATCATTTAATACACTCACACACTTTCTTTCCGAAAACCAACCACCGGAGTCGGAGCCTGCAACCTCACTTCAGATCGTGCGTTATTATTGTGGTCACAACTCTCTCTCTAGTCTCTGTAACGTTTCTCTCACTGTGTGACTTCAATTTCTCTCTGAAACCATCTGCGGTTCCTTTTTGCTGTCCCCAATGGAGAGAGATCTTATTAATGCTTGTTGATGTGGTGGTTGGAAGACAGATAGCTGTAAGAGGTGAAGGAATGCAGCTTACAATGGAGAGAACTTACAATGCAGCTTATCAATATAATTGTTGTTTTGTTGATGTAATAGAAAAAATCACTTCAAAATTAGTGATATTAATATCTCTACTAAAATTTGAGATTGTTAAAATTGTTGAGAAAAGATTGTTGTGTTTTTTTATCTCAGCTATACCCCTAACAATTTATGTGTTTTTTACATGAAAAGCACAGGGTAAACATGACATTTCTCTAAAAAAATATACAATTGTCTTAAATACTATAATAACTATCACCAAAACCAAATAACGTAAACTACAATACACCAGGTTTCTTAATTTATTTTTTACAGGAACCTGTGGGGACTCTAGGCTGAAAGCTATCGGAATGGCCTCGGCCTCGTTCGCCACCAATTTTCTTAATTGCAAGCATTGTTCACAAATCACAATGTATCAATTTAACTATCACCAAAACCAAAATAACCTAAAAAAAGTTCATCCCGAAAGTGGTAAAGTTGGCTTTTCCTGAGAAACATAACCTTAAAATTTAAAACGGAAACTTGTTTACCTGAAAGTTTTGGTGAAGTCTGAAACTAAAATCGAAATGATGGTTGATTGTTTGAAATTAAAATGAACAAAATTTCAATGATATAATAACCTGCTGACTTTTTCCTCTTTCATTGTTTTGTATTGTATATGTGGGTATTTGGAGTTTTTTTAAGGAAAGGTCAAACTCATGGAATTCCCAAAAATGCTAATTAGTAATTAGAAATTAGCTAGGGAAGATCCAAATGGGTGAAGAAACTGAAGCTTATGGGTTGTTTATTATCATTGAAACCAAAGTCAAGTAATAAACAGTCTGCCATTTTCATTTGTTTAGGGTTTTGTGTTGACAAAGGCAAGAAGCCAAAGCCTAATGAATTGGGTCTCCCCTCTCCCCCATTTGCCATAGCCATAAGCACAAGACCTCTGTTTTTTAGCTACTTTCTAGTTTCTAGTTTCTACTATCCCTAACATGCTAAACTACTAACTAGTAAGCCTATATATGATGATTAGATTAGTACTACTCTTCTTCCCATAAGATTTTACTTTTAATTGACTGACCTCTCTCCATTTGCATCCCCTACCTACCTTACCTAGCTAGCTTCCCCTTCAAATCAATCCATTCTCATACCAAAGACAAAAGGACAAGGGGTAGTCTCTAGAGACTCTAATTGCAAGGATGTTCGATGAACTGATCAGTTCGTTTCCTGATTCGAGATTCACAATACAATGTGTCATCATTCGGAATAATGTATGTGGCGAAGATTACTAGTTTGAGTAGAATGTGTTTAGCTAGTTAAGTTAGTCGCTTACATAGATCCATTATGTATTTTTTGTGGTTAAGATTAAATTGCCTCTATTTTGATAAGGACGAAATTTTTGAGGCGAGAAATGGTTATTACATCTCCAAAGAAGTTATCGAGTGAGACTGAAGAAGCTTTTTTAACCCATCAAAGATATGAACCTTGTTGTTGTTGCCGACAAGCCAACAATCCAAGCTTGATTCCCCTCTTTCTAGTAGGTTATGTGGATGAAAGGGGGACATGAAGGGGTTGTGTGTAGGGTTAACTAATAAATGGAGTTGATTATTTATGGGTATTAATGATTGCCATGTTTGTGCCAACAAAGGACCATTAAACATCAAACAACTCCTCCACTCCCATCCTCATTAATTATTACTTACTTTGCCTTTTCCTCTTCTCCATCCTCTTCTCCTAGGCTCGAATAGGGTGAATGTTATCTCAAAGTAAGATCCAAATAAAACATTTTAGTGATGGCTAGGATGGTTGCTTATAACGCTATGCATTGTGTTTGTGGTGGTTTAAATTTTTTTCATACCATCACGACTTTGGTCTGAGCCTAATATTACTAGTGGTGATAAACGGTTAGTCGATTATCGATTTTAACCGATAACCGAACCGATAAAGTCGGTTAGTGGTTAACCGATAATCGCTACTTTCTTATTGATTTCGGTTTCGGTAGTAGTATTTTAGTTAGTGGTTAACCGCTTACCGATTAATCGGTTAGCGGTTAACCGATAACCGCCTACTAGTGTGACTACATGGTTTTTTACTTTGGCTAAGGGAAAAAGTTGTAAGATTTAAAACCAATCAAAGTTGCAATTCCAAACATCACAATTCTCACCTATTGCAAACAACCCTCCATCAAGAGTCTCAAATGTTTTTAAGAGTTAGAACTCGAAAGTCACCCCTCTCTAAATCCCCTTTGCACTCGATAGAGTGAACCTTAGGTTGTTGATGACTATGGGCTAGATGAAGATCTTGGAGTAAATGATGACTATGGGCTAGATGAATTGGAGCGAGATCCTCGGATCATTTAGGTTGATGATTTGGAGATAATGAACTTGTTATTTGTGTCTTGTTGTGATTGTGACTTGTGGTTGAATTGTGGGCATGTAGACTTTATGTTGTGGAGTTGTGGTTGAATTGTGTGGTTGCTTTAGGCTTTATGTTCAATTGATTTAGATGACTTTATGGTGTGTGATTATAGAGGCTGAAACAAAAGTAAGTCACTCAAAATTGAGGGTGAATCATTTAAAATGTGGTTGAAATTCGGTTTTGGGTGGTCGGTTTCTGAACGAAAATCGAGAAAGTGAACCAGAACCTGCGGTTTCGGTTAACCGCAAGGGAAAACCGAAACCGATGTTTGCGGTTTTCGGTTAACCGAAGTCTCTGTCGGTTTCGGTTAGTGATCTTGGGACAATTTTGGTTGCGGTTAACCGATATTTCGGTGCGGTTAAACCGAAATCGCACCGACTAACACCCCTAAATATTACTGATAATGAAGTCAACTCATTGTTTATTCGGGGGAATTTTATGCGGAAGTAGGGATGGCAATTTCGACCTGACCCGTTTTACCCGACCTGTTTGACCTGTTTTGGGGCGGGTCCGACCCGCCCCGTAGGCGGGGCGGGGCGGGCATGGGTAGTCTCATCGACCCGACCTGCCCTGACCCGCCCCATTCTCGACCCGTTCTTGTCTAAATTACCTGAAATCTTAGTCAAATTACTATGAATGTTACTTTAATCGCATCATAATTTAGCTATAATAAAGTTGTAAATTAGTGAAAACCTCAATTTCTCCAATATTTAACTACAATTGTCATAATATTGTTTATTTTCTTAGTTTTATAATAAAAATAACGAATATTTCTAATGTTTTTCAAATAAATTGCATACCCATTGGGTCGACCTGCCCCGACCCGTGACCCGTGGTCAATTACCCGACCTGGACCCGCCCTGCCACGGGGCTGGTCTGGGTACCAAGAAACCCGCCCCGGACCTGCCCCATTGCCATTCCTATGCGGAAGGCATTTTCGTAATTTCGGAGCAATTTTTTCTAAATGTCATTTTTCTTTGATCTTGAATGCTATAAATCACGGATTCAGATTGAGGCTATTCTTCACCGATGATTAAGGCTATTAAGCAAATATTTGGACAGATTTTTTCTTGGTCCATTTTTTGGCAGATTCCAAAGGGGTACCATTACCGATTTCGAGCGATTTTTTCGAAAAAAATATTTTACTTGGATTTTGGAGCCTATAGATACAGGCTATTCTTCATTGATATTGAAATCTACTAATAGTTGATTTGGGCGAATTTTATGCGAAGGGCATTTTCTTAAGTTTTGTTTAAAAGGTCATTTTCTTGGATTTTGAAGGCTATAAATCACGGATTCTCCCTAAGGCTATTCTTTACCGATAATTAAGCAATGGTTTGGACAAATTTTTTAGGGTCCATTTTTGGATCATCGATTTCGGGGTGGTTTTTTTCGAAAAGACATTTTACTTAGATTTTAAAGGCTACATAACACGATTTCGGTCGAAGGCTATTCTCCACCGATGATGAAGTCTACCAATCGCTGATTTGGGCAAAATTATATGAGGAGGGTATTTTCATAATTTTGGGTGAATTTTTCAAAATGTCATTTTTTGTTGGATTTTGGAGGCTATAGATCACAGATGCAGCCTGAGACCATTCTTCACCAATGATTAAGTCTAGTAAGCAACGATTTGGACAAAACAATTTCGGGTCTAGTTTTGGCAGATTTCAAAAGGGTGCCATTACCGATTTCGTGCAATTTTTTCGAAGTGACATTTTACTTGGATTTTGAAGGCTACAGATCATAGATTTGGCATGAGGTTATTCTCCATAGATGATGAAGTCTACTAATATCTGATTTGGTCGAATTTTATGCGGATGGCATTTTCGTAAATTTTGACAATTTTTTCATAAGACCATTTTTCTTGGATTTTGAAGGATATAGATCACAGATTCGACCTGAGGCTATTCTTCACCGATTCTTAAGTCTATTAAGCAACAATTTGGAAAGATTTTTTCCAAGTCCATTTTTTGCAGATTCCAAAGGGGTACTATCACCGATTTCTGATGATTTATTTGAAAGTACATTTTACTTGAATTTTGAAGGCTACAAATCACGAATTCGAACCTAAGGCTATTATCCACCTATGATAAATTCTACTAATCGCTAATTTGGGTAAATTCTATCAGAAGGGCATTTTTCGTAATTTTTGTGCCATTTTTTCACAAGACCATTTCCCATGGATTTCGAAGGCTAAAGATCACGAATTCGGCCTAAGCCAATTATTCACAGATGATTAACTCTATCAAGCAACGATTTTGACAGATCAATTCATTTTCTAGTTCGTAATTCATGATATACCATGACGTATTTTGGAAAAATGTATGGCGAAAGTCATTGATTTGAGAAAAAAATGTGTTGGCTAGGATGGTTGCTTATAACGCTATGCATGTTTGTGGTGGTTTAAATTTCATTAATACCATCATCCAATGGAAATTTCAGAATTCTTCATCCAAACCAACCTTTAATACATATTTTGTGCATTTTAATAAATATGTTATTTCATCCTACATAACTTGGCATCATATCTCTCTTCTTTAGTGAGGAGATATGATTTACCACTTAAATCGCAAGATGAAAAACCTCATACAGTTGTTTCTCTAAAATTATATATCCAAACAAATGTTCTAGTGAACAGATTAGTTGGTTATATAATTTGTAATTTACATTATATCATATCATTTTTATGAAGATGTATGGCGAAAGTCATTGATTTGAGCAAAATGTGCTAGCTAGGTTGGTTGCTTATTAAGTATATGCATATATATACAACTTTAACGTGACACATAAATACATAATTCATTTTTGATAAAATTCATAATAGAGGACAAATTTCACCATGAAATCAAACTAATAATACGATTTAGAAAAAGATAAGATTGAGTGGGCTTTTCATCGGTGTTCCAGCCCAACTCTAACTCTAACCCAACCCAAGATTTAGTTTTTTTTTTTATCATTAAAATTAATAAAAAAAATATAAAATCCTCCGCAACAAGCCAACTCTTCAATAATTCTCTCCTTGATTTCCGACGCCCCTTTTTCCTTCTTCTTCCCGTCTCTCCCTTTGTTCCTTCTACTTCCGTCCAATCTCTCTCTCCCCCCAAAGCCCTCTCTCTCGCCATCTTTCGTCTCTCGCCGATCAACCACTACGCTTTCGTGTTTGGTATGTTCATCTATGCTGCTGCTTTCCTTTTGCTTCTTACTTTCGTTCTTTCTATTTCTGTGAATCTTTCTTTTTCGCGCTGGCGGGTGATTGCTTGAAGACGGGTTCAGCTTTTGGTGCGGTTGAGTGATCCTCTAATGTTTCGATGTTTGAAAATTGCAGTTCCTCGCGATCGTAATTCCCGTATCATCATGGCCAAAAGCTCTTTCAAGCTCGAGCATCCTCTGGGTTCGTTTCGTTTTCTTCGATCGTCTTCTCTTTTTCTTTTACGCGTTGATTTTAGTTGGGTTCCTTAGGGTTTCGAACTGTTACTGCGTTTGGTGCAAGGAGGCTTGTGAAAGACGATATCTTTGATGTATTCTCTGCGATGGGTTCTTGTTTAAGTTGAGGAATATCGAGTCTTGTCACTGAATTGTTGGTGCTGCGTATAGTTCTTTGTAGGGGAGAATGGAAGTTTTTGTGTTTGTTTAGCGTATCAGAGTACTTGGCTCCTTCTGTTTCATGTTTATCGCCATCATCTTGCTGTGTCAGTTATGTTGGATTGTAATTGGATAAGCAGAAAGATAAGCTGCTGAGTTTAGATTCGACCTGTGATGCAGTGATACCAAGTGTTGCATCTTTCCTTGGTTTCTAATTTGCTTTGTGACTGTGTTCTTAGAGAGGCGCCAAGCTGAAGCTTCTCGCATAAGGGAGAAATACCCTGATAGAATTCCTGTGGGTGTTATCTTCTCACTGTGCCTCTTCTGTTTCCTTGCCTTATCATTGTGCAATTGTCTGTTTGCTTATAAGCGCCTTTCTGGATCCAGGTCATTGTCGAAAAGGCTGAAAGGAGTGATGTCCCCGACATTGATAAGAAGAAGTAAGTTGATTGTCAACATAAGCTTACTGTCAATGCACCTGTAGCTATATTCAATGTGTTATTTAGGTTTCTCTGAATGTTTATGTACTCATCTTGAGGTCTACCTTTGGCAGCTAATAATGTAATGGATTTTAGCTATGAGTTTCTTATGCTATTGGTTCAGTTTAAGCAAGTTGTTTAATGCGTTGCATATCAGGAAAAGTATGATGTTCATGCTGAGTGAGCAAGCAAATGGCCTCTGGCTTTTGTATCGTATTTTTGGTCGGTTCAGTTTTGTCGTGTTGGGGGCTGGATCATAATCTTACTGCCTGTGCATTTGCCAAATCAGGTACCTTGTCCCAGCAGATTTAACAGTTGGACAGTTTGTGTATGTTGTCCGAAAGAGGATTAAGCTCAGTGCTGAAAAGGCCATATTCGTCTTTGTCAAGAACACATTGCCACCCACAGGTTGGTAAAGTTTACAAGTTGTTCCTGATTACAAAGATGATACCCGCTAATTTCAGTAACTGAATCTCTCTGATCTGATCATGTGTACAAAACAGCTGCAATGATGTCTGCAATCTATGAGGAGAACAAGGACGAAGACGGCTTTCTTTACATGACCTACAGCGGAGAGAACACCTTTGGACTTCTTCACTAAGATGGAGACTCAAGGCAATGTCTCTTCTTGTTCATGACATGATGAAGAAAAGCTCCCCTTTGGAAAAGATGTAAATTGCCAGCTCTGGATTTGTAAAGTTTAATGCTTTCAGATTTGACCTAAACGTTCCATCCTACTACTGGATTCGGATTTCTGCCATAAGTTGGGCTGTAGAATTGCTTTCAGTATGTGTAATTGGAATTCGATTTAGTTTATTAGTCTCTGTTCAGTCCTTTTCTCTTCGCATTGGATTCGATCTTGCTCTCCTCTCTCTCTTTCTCTCTGCTGTGAAAACTGAAACCACTGCCGCCAAAATAGAGAATTTGCAGCAGATCTTAGTTGGTAGTGTTGGTAAGCTACATCGGTTCTCTTCCAATTTTGTTTGTTGGCATTTGCAACCGCTGTTGGCCAAATAAAGCTCAGCAAAGTGTTCAGTTAATTACACACTTAGTGACAAATCCATCGATTAGGAATCAACTGCTTTGTTTCTATTCCAAACTTCAGAGACTCACATAACCAGCAAAGTAAATCGAACATGAGAAGAGAAACGAAGTTTCAAAGATAACTTCCTCCAAGAAGAGGATTTGTACAACAAACGAATAGGAAACATTAGAAGGAAGAAGGAGAAGGAATGAAGGAATATTGGGTTGTTACACTAATACATGAAAAGCTTCAATCTTTCTGCTTCATCTCCAGCTTCAGACAGAGGCAGAGGCAGAGGCCGAGGTCGAAGTTGAAGTAGTCGAGGTCTTCTTGCTGGATTTGGGTTTGAACCATTTGATGCCACTTGTCTTGATCTTACTGAACAGACCTCCGCCGTTCTTGGATCCCGATTTTGCCGCGGTGGCATCCTGGTCGGCGGCGGTGTTCTGGTGGCCGTCCATCGCGCCGATCCCGCCGGTGCCCCACTGATCCGCCCAGCTTGGTGCTTCGTCGTTCATCTCTGTTTTGCTTCTTGAGAGAGAGAGAGAGAGAGAGAGAGGGAGAGGGAGAGGGAGAGGGAGATTTGGAGAGGAGCTGAAGAAATGTGAACTGGGTTGTTTAGATTGGAAAACAAGAGTGGTGGAGGTGAAATGAGAAAGGGGGAAGAAGGAGACATGCCAACTCACACAATGCCTTGTTTCGAAGCAACCATTAGATCCTCTCTCTTTTATTCCTTTGTTCTTTGTTTATTAATTTGATTCCATTCATCTCTATCTTTGATAGGGATAATAATAAAATGGTTTAGAGGGTAGGAAGAGAATATTTAGGATTAGGAAGCATATATAGGAAAGGGACTAGAGGAGCTTCATTTGATACTAGACAATTAAATATTTCTTATGATTAAATTATGTGTATGACTGTATCCCATTAGACTAACTTATATTGAGATTGAGACGAACTTGGGAAAAGATATGGTTTATCCACAATATCTAACTTACCATGTTATTATGTTGGAACGTAATTGTAGACAGCCAACAAATTTCATATTCCAAATAATTAAAGTATTGGACTCATTTGATAGAGTTTAATAATCTTTTACCTTTATCCTTAAAAAGGAAAGTTCACAATCTTACAAAATATAGATTTTTTTTTTATGAATACAAAATATAGAATTATTAGAAGCGTAAGAGATATTTTATCATGTTTAAATTAAGTCGTTTATAAGTACTGAGATTCATATATACTTACTTCATTGTAATGATCCATTCAATGGCACTTAAGGTTCTATCTATTGCTATAATCAATGTTTCATTTTCATCTCTTTAATGATGATCTGATATATCTATGGGCTATGATAAAGAAAAGCAAATAGATGTGAAGACTGAAAGCTTGGATATGCCAAGTTTATCCACCAAATTCATCAAAATAAGAAAAAGGGGAAAAAGCTCATCCAACAGAAAATCTTCTGCTAACATTTGGGCTTGGGCTCACTAATTAGGCCTCAGCTAACGCAGGGTCTCTTCTCCTCCCTGCTCCAAATGTGGGCTCACTCGACCCATTTATCCTCACTGTAACTCGACGGCCCAATATGGCCAGATTTTTTTTTATTTAAAATGGATTCATTTTAAAATTGTGACACTATCTCTGCGCAAATTTCCTTTCAAACACCGGCAAGGCAGGGGGAAACCTAATTCCAAACCGCCACCGTCCGCCACTAGGCGGCGACTCGCGCCCCCGGTGGAGGTTAGTCACTCTTTCCGGCGACGCTTTTGTTGTTGCCCACTCAAACACTGCAATTTCCTTTGATTTTTCTTGACGCCCTTCACTATACCCATCTGCTACAGTCGAGTTCGTCTGCGAACATACCGAACGGACTGTTTCTCAGTTTCAAACTGATAATGGCGGAAGACGTACCCGAAGCGGCGGAGGTGTGGCGTTGGGTCATCGAGTACCTCCCTAGTGTAAAAGAGTTCGATCGGCAGCTTCTTGAAGGTACATAAATCAACTTTTCATTGGCGATATCTGCTTCTTATTCCGACGAATGGGTTCGATTGAGCGAGGGGAAATTCAATCTTTGACGGCTTTATTCTCTTGTTTTTTTTTTTTTTGGGTTTGGTTCACAGAACTGGTCGAGTCAGTTCCGGATGTTGTGAGGAAAAGCGCCGAGGAAATGCTCCAGTCTCCACTTCCCGCCAAGTGTACCTTGGAGCTGGTGATTGATTCGACTTTTTACTCGCTTTCAGTTTTGTTCTCGGAAAATTCTTTCTTTCTCAACTAGTTTGTAGTTTGTGATGCTCGGTATTGATTAGGGTGTTTTGTGTTTGGGTTTGTGAACGATCAGCTTAAAGAGAAAATACTGGGAGGCTTCATTTCAGAAGAGTACTCGAAGAGGTGGTGTGGGGTGGTTCCTGACTCGATGGAGTCTGATTCTGTTCTTCCTATGGAATGTTCTGGTGCTCAGATCAATCAACGGCTGTCCACCGATGAAGCAGGTGATAAGCCACAGGGGAGTGATTCAATAGAAGATGATTCTTCTGATGATGATGTTGTCCTTGTTGACATTTCTGGTGCCAATGCCGGTGTGGAAGTGCAGAATGGTCTTCAACAATCAACAGCTGCCGAGACAGTACATTCTGCAGGAACCAGCGTTGCGAATCGTGATGGAAGGGTAGGATTGGATGGAAAGAAATCAGTACGAGATGATGATCGTGATGGTTCTGTCCATATTGAGGGTTCTGAATGGTTCCGAATAGTAAGCAATCATCTGATGAAGAATTACAATGCTAGTTCAAGTGAGGATGTTCCAAATAGTAAGCAATCATCTGGCGCTGTGGTAGAGAATCCATTGGTGAACTGTGATGGGAACCGCAATGAACTGGTGAAGTCGGGTGGAAATAAGCCAATTGAGACTAGTCACAGTGGTTCTTCAACGTATGTGAAGAGTTCTGCTGCTCGTGCTAATGATAAACAGCCATCTAGGGATGGGGGAGACCGTCCTTTGCAGAATGGTGATATGAACCATCAGCAGGTCAAGTTGGGTGAAAATTACACTCTGGTTGAGAAGAATCGCGATCACTCCCTTTCGACTAGGAGTTCTAATAATCCTCTTTCTAATGGTGACGTCCAGAACGGTAAGCAGCCACCTGCTGCTGCGTTAGAGCATCCTTTGGTAAATGGTGATGGAAACCGTGATAGGCCAATTCAGCATCTTACTGTTTCGTCAACGTCTGTCAAGACTTCTGATGCTCGTGCTGTTAATAGTGCCAATAACAGTAAGCAGCCATCTGGTTCTACTGGGATAGAGCGCCCTTCAAAGAAAAGTGATAAGAACCCTGAGCAGCTGAAGTCAGGTGGGTACGGCACAATTGAGAAGAATCGAATTGCTTTCATTTCCATGAAGAATTCTGATAAGGCAGCTCCATCTAATGATGAGGATATCCAAAACCGTCAGCCACCACCTGGTCCTGCGGTAGGGCATCATCATCCTTTGGTAAGTGGTGACGTAGACAATGCTAAGCTATTAAAATCAAGACATAAGAAGCCAATTCAGATGCCTCGTCAAGTTGGTTCGCCTTCTGATCCCGGTGCTCACACTAATCAAGTGCAGAATCATCAGCAACCATCCCATATGGAGACTGAAAAAGATCAGCAAAATGACCGTCTTAATCGGAAGAGGAAGGTGAACGATTTCCTAGAGAATCACCAGCTGCTACCGGCTCCAGGAATTGCAGGTCCCACGGACCTAAATCTGTGTGTGAAGTGTCACCAAACCGGGGCGGTGTTGGTTTGTGCAACTGCTGGTTGCCCAATGATGCTTCATAAAAGCTGCCTGGGTTTCAATGTAGAGGAAGGAGGAGGAGAAGGAAGCTTTCATTGCCCTCTTTGTTCATATAGTCGAGCTGTTGCAGAGCTCCGTGAAGCTCAGAGACGGGTTGCCTTAACACGAAAGGATTTATCCGGGTTTGTCGTTGGTATGCAACTCTAGCAAGCAACAACCTTACCTGCGTGTGCTTTTACTCCCGAGGTACTTAGTACTAACCCGCCTTTTGCCCCTGAGTTGTTGTAGAAGTAGTGAAGCTATAACGACCGTTCAGCTTGGAATTGAAAGGATTAGTATACTTTTGGAAGGGTAGGTAGTGATCAGGTTCAAGTGATTCTGGAATTTAGTGTTCATATAGGTCTCTTCTTTCTTGTTGCTCATGTATATATAATTTTGTTGAGGCAATCTGCAGCTTATATATATGAAGCGTAGCCCAATAGCTTGTGATTTTATTCCTCATTCTCGTTTGCCCGTGCATATTACCGAGTGCTGTTTGAGAAACATGGCGAACGAGCACCAATTTTAGCTCTGGCCCCGTCGTCGTATGCGGAGCGTTCGAGCCTTTTAGTGGACTAGTGTCGACTGGTTTGATACTTGTCTTTTTGTGGGCTAAATTACACGTTTGGTCACTCAAATTACACGAATCTTTCATGTTTGTCACCCAAATTATTTTTCTTTCTTATTCGCCACTAACTTTACGAATCGTTTCACCGTTAGTCACCGACCGTCAGTCTCCGTCAGACACCGTTAACACCGTTAATTTTTTGATGATGTGGCAAACGAGACTGTTAACCTAATGACGTGTCAATTTAAAAATTGAAAAAAAAAATTAGCACCCATCCTCTTCCTCATCCACTCGCTCACCTGTGGAAGGAATTAAATTTAAGAACTCCCTTACCACCTGTAAATGAACACACCGGGAGCGAACTCAGCGAAGCACCGGATCCGCAGAGACCTTCTTTCCCGAAGAAGCCTCGTCGGCCGAATTTCTTCGTCAACCCATCAGGGACTCTTCCGTACAGCTCGTGGTTGGACAGATTCAGCTCTTTCAATCCGGGGATGGAACCGGAGATGTCCGGAATTCGTTCGGTGAGCGCGTTGTTCTGTAGCCGAAGAGCCAACAACTTGGTTAGATTGACAATTTCCAAAGGGATTAAACCAACGAGGTTGTTTTCTGATAAGTCTAAACGGAGGAGTCGGTGGAGGGAGGAGATCGACGGAGGGATCTCGCCGGAGAAGTTGTTCCCGGCGAGGTAGAGGAGCTTGAGGTTGGAGGAGTAGGCGATCTGCAAAACGGTTGCATCGAGGCGATTGTTGTGGAGGTCGAGGCACGTGAAACGGTGCCATTGACGCAGCTATGTCTCCGTGCTGGCAAAATTTCATAACCAGATCCGCCGCCAAGTCTGGGGCTGGAGCTCCGAGCCGCGGTGGGAGATCCAGCGGTGACGGTTTTGCGGAGGGACGTGAGCGGCTTCAGCTTCAGATCGAGGGTCCTCTCCTCTTGTCCCATTGAGGGTTTGGGATGGAGCTCAAAGCGGCAAACTCTTCTTGGTCTTCGTCCTCAAAGCATTGGCAGGGGTTCATCGGCGGTGATTGAGCCGGCGACGGGAACGGAGACGACTGGAACTGATTGCTCGCAGACGAGGACTGGTCAAAGCGACAAAGCACCATTCGCGAGAAGCAGAGAGAGAGAGGATTGGCCGATTGGGTACTAATTATTTTTTTTTAATTTTTAAATTGACACGTCATCAAGTTAACAGTTCAGTTAGCAGTTCTGTTTGCCACGTCATCAAAAAACTGAGGGTGTTAACGGAGTTTGACGGAGACTAACGGCCGGTGACTAACAGTGGAACGATTCATAAAGTTAGTGGTGAATAAGAAAGAAAAGTAATTCTGGTGGCAAACATGAAAAATTTGTGTAATTTGAGTGACCAAACGTGTAATTTAGCCTCTTTTTGTGTGTCAAATTTGGTCCAAAATTTTTGTTCTTCGACTTTTGAGCTCCCCATTGGAATTTATTTTTTCCCCACTTGGTATTTTCGCGCTCCATTCTGGATGGTCTGACTGCACTCTTCTCAAACTACGAACTTTGATCTATTTCGCATCGGTCTCACATATGCTATGGGTTATTTGGAAGTTGCGATTGTTTTGTTGAGATTGTCATTATGCATGTATTGTTTACAATGCATCGTTTTTTTGTTTTTTTAGCAGAAACAATACATGGATTGTTTCTGTAATGTGACAAAAACTATCACTCATTTTGAGTGATTGGTATATCTCAACTTTTAATTGTGATTGTTGAGATAGTTGAGTTGAGATTGTTTTGTTTCAGTTTTTAGCTGATGCGACATACACAATCACACATTCCAAAAGTTGTATTCTACAATGCATCAAATTTGACAATACATGTATAATATTATACATGCATTCTCAACAATACACCTATTTAACAATCGCAACTTCCAAACGACTCCTATAAAGAAGGTTATAGAGGGAAATGCTGAAGATTGATTTGGTAGTAACCACCGGAACAGGAGGGTTCCCTCCAATTGGATTAAAGAAAATGCATAAATGACTTTCACGAGATTCAATGCACTTGATTTCCATGTTTATGTTTATGTATATGTATATAGCATGTAAGAAAAACAAAATAACATTGGATAATCGTGATTCAAAATAAAGTATTTAGGTTATGAAAAAATGGTGATTCAAAATAAAGTATTTAGGTTATGAAAAAATGGTATATCTCTAATGCACAAATGTAGTATGAGGCGGAATTAATATGTTTGAAATTGAATGCTTTGTGCATGTCGTGTGAGTATAATAAGCACAATATCAACAACAGAAATGCAAGGTTCACTATTGTTAGAGATTCTTGAACGTAAGAATATTTGGGTTTTGAGAAGACGCGAAAAGATTTTAGTTTGGTGAGATACCGGAGAAAACCAAACTATTAATTCGATGGAATATTCAAGTGAACACAACTAAGAAAAAGAACAAGTGAGAAATTTTTCTTCCTTTCATCGTGGAACGGGTAGAGAATAGGACTACAAAATTGGTTATGATTATATGGTTAACTTTAGCCTTGATATGGTTTTGAACTTGGGATGAACCTTAGAGTCACACACTGTTAGGAATATGCCTTAATGAGATTATTATTACTATAATTATGAGTTAGGGATTCCGTTAGGATTGATGGCCGAGTGGTGCCGAATAGTTTAAGGTTTAATATTAGGTTTTTCTAGTTTATTTTCTATATATATGTTCTTTGGGTTTACAAAATTAATTAGAAAAGTATTAGCAAAGTATCTCTCTTCTCTCAATCTCGTCACCTATCTCTAAATCCGTAGGCCAATTCTTCTCCTCGATCACCAATTTCTTCTTCTAAATCCCTAAATACCCAATTCCGTTGTTCTCTATCTCAATTCCTAATTCAATTCGAAATCCTAAAGAACCGTAGTTCTTTCATGCACATTCATAATAAATGAAAACGAATCAAGGCCACATATCGCACGAATCGAATGTCAAAGCTCTATAAATATGTTAGTGACAAATATAGTTTGTATGTACTATCATAATATAAAATATATAGTTTTTTTGAAGAATATAGTTATAGGCACAAAAAAGTTGTTGCTCAAAATTTCGTCTTCCTTCTCTTTATAATCTTCTTCTTTGTGCAATGCATTTGCAGAGCAATTTCTTTGATTCGTACCAATCTTTTTTGATTCGTACCAATCGATCACCAAATAGTTTCTTCTTCATAATCACACTCGCTCATTTCATTTTCACCACTTGTTTGCTTCTGCATCAAATCTTTCCTTTCTCTATGTAGCTTAGCGCCTAAGGAGTTGATCTCCTGTAGTTGTGGTTTAGTGAACAAATGTCAGTGTCAGTGTCCGATAAGAGTGAATAAGGACGGTACTGTTTGGTCCATGTCCCTAAAACCATGTGTCAATTTTGCTTATGAAAACAATCAAATGCAATGGCCTAAAAGTATTCAGCCCTAATTCGAAGGTTATCTCCGACACTCCAACAATGCCTTTGTTCATTCAAATGGTGATGGTTAGTTTCTGGACTTTTTTTTTTGGTGAGACAAATAATGAATATTCATTACACTGTTTTAATTTGTTCTAATTTTACCTACATTCATATTCAGTAAGGTTTCAGTTATAAATAAAATTCATACACATATTTGTTCAGCTTTTGGGTATTCATGCATATCCAAAGATAATAGTTTTTTCTTTATTATCTCATCTAACGTGTTACTGTGAGTATGGTCACATTATACAACTGCAAGTGCAAGTCACCAATCTTAAGAAAACTAATACAAAAATTCCCGAATTCGCTAGAAAATTGTATTTTTATCAAGAATGCGAATATGATGAGAGAATGAATGACCATTCAAAGAAACAAAAAAGTATAAATTCATGTATATCAATCGTGTTTGAATTTTATATTAAAAACTATAAACATATCGTATTTTACCACATTCGCGCATTACCCGAATTCAAGTTTTTTCTTTCTTGTAAAAAAAGGGTTCAAGTCAAAAAAGAATGGGGAGAAGGGGGAAAAAAGCTACAGCCTGTCCTTTTCTCCTCTCTGCACTGTCTCCTCCCAATCCCACCACCGTCTTTGATCGACTCTCTGCCCTCTTCTCCTTTCTTTCCCTTTTTATTTTTTCTGGCTGGTTTCGTTCCAGTTTCTGCTGTGTTGAATTGGTAGGGCACTGCCAAAATATATTCTTCTCCTTCTTCGCCCGTTCTTCGATGCGTATCTTGTTTCCCTGCAAAAGCATTCTCCTCAACTGACCCAAAGCTAGAGAGGAAGAGAGAGCGCGCCAATGGCCGGTGAGGGAATTCACTGCGTTTCATATTCCCAGTCTTGTCGTTTTATGTTTCTTTTATAAATGGTGGGATTTGTTTTTGGGCAATGTCTATTTTTTACCCAAACCTTTTTCAGATTCTTTTATTTTAACCAAACCTATTGAATTCCTAAAAATTATCCAAACGTTAACTCTCCGTCAACTTTTCTGTTAGTAATGCTGACTAAGTATGACCATAATGAGTTGACTTCCTACGTGACGGTCAGAATACCATCATTTACTATTTTTAATAAAAAGATTATAAAAAAACAAAACAAAATCTCACCCCTCACGTGGACGAAATAAGTAACGGTAACAGAATGAATGCCCAGACTTTGATAAATTATAATACGTTTGGATAATAAATAGAATTTCTATAAGTTTGGTTAAAATAAAAGAATTTGAAAAAGGTTTGGATAAAAAATAGATATTGTCCTTTATTTTTTGTCTCTTTATACATAGGAAATGATTAGTGAGTCTTTACTCTTTAGGCTTTAACTTGTTGAAGTTGAATGGGTGATTATATATATATAAATTAGGGCCCAAATTCCTGGGCGCGATCGGCCGTACATGAAATGGTCGGCCCATAAAAAGCAGATTAATAGGAACATTTGATACTAATGATGACTGATGAACATAGACAGGAATGATAATACTAATAGATTGCAATTCAAATCCCAATGGACTAATGGTCTGGTTTAACCATAACACCCCCTCCATGTCCAGCTCTCTTTGTGTTCCCTCTTGGATGGTTTCAATTACTAAACAAACTTGGGAAATTTATTAAAGACAGATCGATGATGCATGAAACACTGTATATTAAAGTATCATCCCGTAACTCAATCGCAAAACAGCTCAATCGATGAGGCTTTATTTATATTAACAGAAAAAGTTTCATTTGATGTAACATTGAATGTGCAGTGGTTCGAGTCCCGTTGTGTCGAACTTTATGCTAATCATTGAGTATCCATTCCTACCCATTAATCCATACAGAGAGTACCAATATGAGTTTTGAAAACTCATCCTATCTGAATTATGAATTTGCAACAACCAATATCCACCTCAGCTATATTCTTGGATGAGCCTTGTACAATGACCGCCCTGCTCACGGCTTCGGTTGTACATATTCTCATAGTCAACTATGAGCTTTAGCCCTGCATAATGACCTCTTAGTTACGGGGTTGCTATGACAAACAATTTTAAACTACGTGTATCTTCTATATTTTAGTTATTAACTACAACTCACTAAATTTATCGACCAAAATGACTTACTAGTTACTACAATTTATTGGCTCCACCTAACTTTAGTGTGTGAACCTAATAAAAAAGAGAACAAATTCCAAACAAATAGTAGGACTACTAGTATGATTAGGGGCAACTAAGCAAGACAAAAAGATTGGATTAAAGAGAGGAAGGTTGGGTTGCAATTTGCAAACAAAGGATCACTCACCCTTTCAAAGTAATAAAGTGAAAGTCCAAAGTAGGAGACAGCCGAATGCCAAAGATTGCGTGCCTCCCAATAAAAGTACCATCTCCATTCTCCAACCCCACCACCTCCTCAATCTTTTCACATATCCCCTTCACATCATCCTACTTTTCTTTTCCTTCCATTTTAATCCCCAAATGTCACGAAAAGGAAACCTATCTTCCCCTACTCTACAAAGTACAAATCCCTCACCCAACTCATTTCCTACAGACAAGGCCAAAACCCATTTCCTTTGTCCGCTCTCTCTCCCTCTCTCTCATTAAAAAAAAAACAAAAATGTCCAAGTCATCATCGCCGCCGGCGATCAACCCTTCCGACTACTCCCACAGCGCCGTCCACCACGCCGTCGCCCTCCGCGACCACACCACACTCTCCCGCCTGATCGCCTCCCTCCCGCGCCTCCCCGAACCTTCCTTGGTCCAGACGGAATCCGATTCCCTCTCGCAAGAGCTGATCGCCGACAAAATCGCGGCGGTCGTCGACCGCCGCGACGTTCCGTTTCGGGAGACGCCGCTCCACCTCGCCGTCCGGCTCAACGACGCGTACGCGGCACGCGCGCTGGCCGCGGCGGGGGCCGACGTGTCGCTGCAGAATTCGGCCGGATGGAACCCCCTGCAGGAGTCGCTCTGCCGAAGACTCCCGGAGATCTCCTCCACTCTGCTCCAGCTCCACCACCGCTCCGCCTGGGTGAAATGGCGCCGGCGGCTCCCCCGCCTCGTGGCGGCGCTCCGCCGCATGCGCGATTTCTACATGGAGATCTCCTTCCACTTCGAGAGCTCCGTCATCCCCTTCGTCGGACGAATCGCGCCTTCGGATACCTACAAGATCTGGAAGCGCGACGGCAACCTCCGCGCGGACACCTCGTTGGCCGGATTCGACGGGCTAAAGATCCAGCGCGCCGATCAGAGCTTCCTCTTCCTTGGGGACGGCGGCAGCGCCGCCGTCCCCCCTGGCTCCCTCCTCGTCCTCAATCGCGACGAGAAGAAAATCCACGACGCGTTCGAATCCGCCGGAGCTCCCCTCTCCGAATCGGACATCGCCGGGTTCTGCTCCCAGACGAGCGTGTACCGGCCGGGGATGGACGTGACGAAAGCCGAATTGGTCGGCCGGACGAACTGGCGGAGGCAGGAGAAGAGCGAATCGATCGGCGAGTGGAGAGCCAGAGTCTACGAGCTTCACAACGTCTCCTTCAGCTTCCGATCGAGGAAATTCGTCAATTCGGACAGCGAATTGGCCGGCTGCGAGCAGGTTTTGCCCTTGGAACTCGACGAAGACGACGATGGATTCTTCGTCGCCGAGCTTCCGAATTTCCCGGCGGATCACAAGGACCAAAGGCGGCACAGCAGTTTTGTCAGAGAGGAAAAGTACAGCGGCAGCAGGCACAGCAGTTTCACGCGGGATGAAAGGGAATTGGTCATGGTCGGGAGAAAGAGCGTTGACATAATTCCGTCAACGTCTTCGGCGTATTCCGCGGCGAGGAATCGGGTGGCAGCTGCGGCGGCTGCGCCGCCACCACCAACGCCGCAGACGAAGGAGAAAGAGTACGTGAAGAGCTTGCGGCCGTCTGTTTGGCTGACGGAGCAGTTCCCGTTGAAGACGGAGGAGCTGCTGCCGTTGCTCGACATTTTGGCCAACAAGGTGAAGGCGGTACGGCGGATGAGGGAATTGCTGACGGCCAAATTTCCGGCAGGGACCTTCCCGGTGAAGGTGAGTTCTGTAAAAGTGAAAATTGGTAAAGTAAATATTATAAACACTGTTTTTTACTGCGCAGTACCATCACGGGATTTACTGGTGGGACCCCCGTGGACCGTTGCTTTTTCTTTATTAAACTTTTTTTTCCTTCCTAAAAGAAAACCAATTCATTGCGCAATAAATAACATAACATTCAAATTTCACGCGGGTGGTCCAAATAAAGTAACAGAACAAATGTTCATGACTCGATTTTGGCCATTGCAGGTGGCGATTCCGGTGGTTCCGACGGTGAAAGTGGTGATCACGTTCACCAAGTTCGTCGAGCTGCCTCCGGTAGACAGATTCTACACGCCATTGTCGAGTCCGAACGTGTTGGGCGATGGCGACGAGAAGAAAGAAGAGGAGTCTCAGTACTCCAGCGCAGCATCGAGGTGGTCCTCGTCGACGTGGCTGCGACGAAACAGTGACGTCCAGTCTAGCAATAGCAAGCAGCACCAGCAGCAGGCTAAGTCGTCGAGTGCTCCTCAGGCTGCGATCGATCCATTCAGCATACCCAGCGGGTACACATGGACGAGCGCGGTTGTAGGTGGAGGTGATGGTGACGGTATGACTACTGCTGCTGCTAGAATGAAGAAATCCAAGTCGTCTGTTAGGAGATCGAACAAGTAATTATTGTTTAGGAAGATTGGCCATAGATTATTGTTAGTGAGTTAGAGGAGTGATCAAGTTCTTCATTTCTTCTTTGGCTTGAAAGTAAAGAGGTATATTCATATTTATGCAATTTTAGTGCAGATAGCGTTTACCATCATAGACGTAGAGCATCAAAGTTTCTGGGTTTCTACCAAGTTAGTTATTGTTGTGCTGAGCAGCATCATAATCCAATCTGCCATATTCCGTTATGGACACTGTTTTTGAATGGACGACAAAGTTCGTCTAGGCTACAATGTTTGAGCGCCAGCACGCAGCTACCAGCGCAAAGACAATCCGCAATAGGTATCAGCGACGGAAAGGGATAATCGCATCAAGCATAGCAACCAGCAGATGCATTACAGTTTTGAGATTGCAGCTCGCAGCAGCTTAGAGAAGACACAGATGGAGCGGAATTGGCGACCATGTTCTGCCATAGATCATCTAGAATCGAGTGAATCGCTTCTAAAGACGTACTGTCATTGGGTCGACGATACAAAATATCGTAAGGGAAGCCTTCATAAGTTTCAATGCACCCCCAACACTTAACAACCCACAAACATGTCAAGCAGCATGGAGCAAGCAGATTCATCAACGACACTAAACTCAGAAATATACCTCAACAATATTCAAAACCCACTGTAAAAGTTCTTCAATGGCTAGAGTGACATTTGATAAAAGGAAAAGCTGCCCAATGCTAAAACTACTAGTACAAAAGCTTGCCCATTGGCTTGTTGTTCTCACTTCTTCTTGCCTCCCTTGGCCGCGTCTCCTGCCTTGGTCTGCAGATAGGCATAACAAGAAGTTCGATTTCAAATGTCAATGATGAAATCCAAGTGAAGAAGTAAGAATAGAACAAAGAATATAAGAACAAAGAATATAAGAGGTTCACGTACCTTCTTCACACCTCGGATCTTCTTAGCTCTGTTCTTTCGCTCCTTCATCTGCTTCCTAGATTTCTCAACCTTGGTGGCCAGTCCATTCTGCGATAGTACACAAAAATAACTAGATTCACTAACTGTACCGAGATCAAACTAACGCCGTATAGAGATTTAAACACTTTCAAACAAACACTCAATGAACACATTACATAACCAATTTGAAAGCACAGAAGCAGCTCACTGAAAATCTGCCTCAAGCATACCATATCAGGTCCCAATGCGGGCAAATATTAATCATATAGCTGTTCAAATAAGTCCTACAAACTATCGGATGCCAACTGAGGCGTCAAGGGAACTTCAACAAAATCAATAACCCTAGAAAACAACAATATGAAATGCCAATGTCATCCACATCCACTGCTGGATGTATAATCAGATTCGAATCACCCACAACGTTAACTTAATAATCAAGATGACTTAAGTTCTAAACCTACCTATTACCATATACAGAGAAGAAAAACCTTATACGAATCCATTCACACAATTGACTGAAGCAAAGCGAGATCAAATATAATTTTAAAATTGCTTCCTTTCCTCTCTGGATTCAATGAAATCGAATACCATCAAACAAAACCAATCATGCGAAGAAGCAAATCGTTCTGCCTAATTAACAGGGAAAGGAGAAAGCACTAACCCTAATCAGCCTGTACTTCGGCTCGTACTTCTTGGCGTTGTCGACAGAGTCATAGATCAGCCCAAACCCAGTGGATTTCCCACCACCGAAATGAGTACGGAATTTGAACACGAATATCGTGTTCGGATCCTTCACTTCGTACAAGCTTGCAAGTTTCTCCTTCAGCTCAGCCTTAGCGATTTCAACAAAGAACGAAAGATTCAGTGAAATCACGAAAAGATGAGACGCAAGAACAACGATGGCGAATCGCACTGCGGGAAAGGCTAGCATACCTTGGAAACGTTAGCCTTCCCTGGATGCAACACATCGATGACGAACTGCTTCCTCGAAAGAAGCCTGTTGGTCATGAACTTGCGGGTACGGATTGTAACTGCTTGCGCCGTCTTGTCCGACGACATTTTTTCTTTCTCTGGACGGAGAAGTTGCCTAATACCTTGCACTAACGCCGACGAAATATGATCTGAGCTAGAGACCGCTATTCCGCCAGGCTGCTGAAATTTATAGGAGGCAGGGAGGGGATGACTAGGGTTTTGTAACCCGAATGGGCCGGATTCAGTGAAGCCCGTCAACGTTCTTAATAAAGACCTAGCGGCTCAGGCCCAGGATGGATGAATTGAAGAGAGAGAGTAGAGGAGAGAAGTGATTGTCAAATACGGAAAAACCTCATACTCGGGTCTAAATTGATAGAAGGTTTTCAACGGTCGAGCAACAGTTAAATCACAATATTGTCCCAAAATTGGCTACCATTTTTTTTGGTAAAACCTCTGGTACGATTTCACAATCCTTTTTGGGAGAGACGATACAAAATTATCACAGGCATAACATGAGAGATGATTTATCTTCAGGATTCATGAAGACTCTTGGCTGAGCAATATGATTACCCACCGAGATCTAAGAAGTCAACAACATTTTGTTTGACGATGAGATGATCCTCATAATTTTACATTTCAAAATGGCTAGGTTGTTTGATATGGATGAGACTCAAGGGAGTATGAGTATAATCGTCCAAACTTAGTGAGTGTAAAGTACGAACGAATTCACAAAATGATTTTTATTTTCTTAATTAATGTGAATAAAGGAAATTCGGGCATGGACTTTCCTATTTTCACAAAGGATATATATAGTTTCGAAATATGCAATGCAAGGTAAAATCTTGGGCAAACTTGATGTATTCAGTTTTGGAGTGTTTGTTGTAGAGATTATGAGAGATCATCATTGAACCTATCCCGCATGCGTGCTGCGCAACTGCCCACTCCGCGTCTAGCTCCTTCCAACGACAGGTCCACACTTCTATTATTTTGATTTTTCCCTAAATTTTTTATTTTGTGTGTGAGGTTGAGGGGGGTTGTTTGTTTACATTTAAAAAGAGAGATTGATCATAGTAATTAACTATTTTAGAATTTTTGTTTTGTCTCGGAGTTAAAAAGATTATATCAAAGAATTTGTTTTCACGTTCCTTTCACTTGGTTCGAGCTACTTCGTTCATACCCTCTACTCTAGTATGCTATTGTGAGCAATTGAGAATACCAGGCTTTCATTCGATTTGGTATCTATTGGATGATGGAAAACCAACAAAATAGGGTCTTGTCATCATTGAACATGCAATTAAAGGGCACTGCAATGTAAAGGACGAGTGTGGGTGCTCCAAAGCCAAATGGGGGATACGTTCTCACGTAGATCTATTTAAAAGAGCCCTTGTAGGGATTTGACTGCTGAATATGCGATAGAAAGCTGAAAGTCAAGTAAGTATCACATAAGCTTGAACGCTGAATCTAAAGTAGTAATGAACTATAATAAAAAAAAAGATAAAGCAAAAACTACAATTTAGAATGCTAATAAGTATGATTTATTGAACACTATAATATTTGTTTGGAAAGCTAAACACGAATATTTGAGAGCTTGCGTGGGAAGCTAAATTTGCATGTATGTGTTAGAGTTAGTCTAACATATCCAAACTTTTGGTGTCGGTATTCCCATCCATCCATTGATCCATCTCGGTCCAACATTTTGCTCTTGCAATGGATCTGCAGAAGGATGAATGTCGGAGATTAGGTAGCTCAACTTCATTGATTAGTAATGCTTAGTCCTTCTTGTCTGATTCAACAAATTGCTTCCATGAGAGGTAATCTACTTGTACCTACGGGCTTGATGCTAGTTAGTGTAACATCCCATTCCGGCAAAACCCATATTTCGATCGCTAGAAAGTTCGCGATTTAAAATCGAGCATTTCGACACTATTTCGGCGAAAATCAGATTATCGATCGATCGAGTAAGTATACGTATTAATTATATATATATAAGCGGCCGGGCATATATATTAGCTTCCCCCACCCCGTCCATTATCATTTTCTTTTCTTTCTCCATTCGGACCGAGAGCAGAGCGAACAGAGGCGCTCAAAGGAAGCGAGGGGGAAAATCTCAAGAGCTCAATTCTCGAGCATAAGTGATCCAAAAATCCCGTAGGTAATGCCTAATCCATCCATACATCGTGATTTATCGATTTAGAGCTTTAAAACAAGTTTTTGGTTCAGGAATTTCTCGAATTCCCGATAAGCCAAATTAGGGTTTCGGAGTATCCGGAAGCCGGATTGAGCCCAAATTTCATATACGAGCTTCCTGCAGCGAGGTAATCAATCCTCTAGTTCTAATCCATGAATTTCGGCTATTATTTAGGTTGGGGTTCAAATCGCTGAATTTAGCTCCGGCCAGGGTTTGATGTGTTTTTATCAAGAATTTGACCCGGAGCCAATAACTAATATTTACGGGGATACTGCAGGGGATATTAGGACGGTCTCGGATTTTAATTCGGGGTTCGTTCGTGAAATTGACGTTTTAGTACGGGAAGGTTAAACCGGTGTTTGAACGACCAAAACTGGTGAGGGATTAGCACGGCATACCGGGTTTGTCGTATCACGATAATTATATTGATGCTTAGAATTGACCTAGGTGAATTAGAATGGCATGATTAGGGGTGTATGAACTTTTATGCTATATGATGAACCATGGATGGTTGTATGATATTATTGACTTGCCCTATCCGATATGGACCTTGTTTATGCTGATGATTTCATACATGTTGCCATTTGTGGCTTAACTGTTGATATGACTTCCTGGTTGTTCGATAATGTGTTTTGACATTATGTGATATTATGGTTGTATTTGGATCCATAAGTGGGGGAATAAACTTCCCAAGGTGATATTATGATGTTTAAGGAGGATGACTCGCACGAGGGTTTATCCCGAGGAAGTGCAATTATACGACTCCTGGTTATGTTGAGCCAAGTATGGCCCGGTCAAGTACAAGTACAAGTAACGAATTATGAGTAAGCAAGATGAGATATGGATCATGTATAAGATTACCAAATAAGAGTGATTTGGTCTCATGGTCAATCACATAGTAATTAGGGCTCCCCATGCTATTACTCCGTTATGATATGTTATGTCACACCCCTGATGTGGTGTTGACCGTTGATTCATCATGAGATATGACCACACCCAGAGTGGTGTTGAGTCCGATATGACCACACCCAGGGTGGTGTCAGGTCCGATATGACTACACCGGCAGTGGTGGGTCCGATATGACCACATCCACGAGATGTTTGGTCCGTATTCCCGGGAGAGTAATTAGCATGGGAGTAGCCAGGCGCCTATAAGTAAAATATGATAAGACGCATATGCATAAGTCAAGGTGGTTGAGTCTTTTGCCCATTGGGACATGAGGATGGCTGAGGTCCGATCCTAGTGTTTTGGCTTGTTTGCTAGATGTATGGTAGGGGTATGCTCTGTTATGAACTCACGATGCTATGATTATCTCACTCAGCTATGAGCTGACCCTCTTTATCCTTTTTCTCTGCTTATGCTATGTGTAAGCAGATCATCAGTAGCAGCAGTAGATAAGTGTTAGGTGAGAGAGGAGCTAGAGTTGAAGTCAGGATGAGGTATTGTCTTCAACTATTTTGTGCTTGGACTACTACTCGGGATTTTGGCCAGTGATCCACACCTTTTTGTAAAAATGTTTTGAGAACGTTTTTCATGTGCATACTAGCTTCTGATGTAGTGTGAGATATCCACAGGTGTGGAAAGTTGATGATATGTGTATATGTTGTGTAACTGTGTAAGTTGTGACGACTATGGTATGTATAAGTATGGTATGCAGTTGTGGAGTATGAAAGTGTGGCTATGGCTAACAAAAGCCAATGCATATGGTTGTGAGTATATATGTTTGTGATGAATTATTTTGCAGGATAAGTTGCAAGAACTGTTAGCCCATTACGCGAGTAATTCATGTCGAAATTTTATTTGAGTAAATTTTGATAATTAATGTAACACCCGAGATGAATTCCGCTGCAATTGTATGAACAATATGATTAGGCAAAACGTATAGGGTCGGGTGTTACAGTTAGGACTGGTTATTCGACTAAGCTAGCCTGTTAATACATTCGCTGGATTCCGTGTTAACAGTATAAGACTAATTTATAGAACGTCAAGATAAAAGAAAGTGTTGAATACCTTTCCCGTGATAATTAAGGTAACTATTGTTCTGCTATTAAAATGACTAGTATGCTAATGATAAGAATAGGCAAGCCTTTCATTCTTGGATCCACACAGGCTTTGCTTGTAGTATTTTAAAAAACAACCTATTCTTAACAAATAACAAAAGCCACCGCAAACCCTTTCCATTAGAGATAATGCTCATTTTAACCTTTTATAAGAGTAATAATTTGATTTTCTCCAACATCTCATAAGATTGACAACGTAACTTCATTTTTGTTTCAACTTTGATAAATATTTGTTCGCACTAAATGATCTATATCAACATACAGTTGGATACTATTGCTTGCATTGGCTTATCATATATATTATCACCTCATGCCGAAAACATAAAAGAAACTAACTTGAACACATACTACATTCATTTATTGGAGACGAGTCATTTCATTTCTCACCATGCCGGTATCATGTTTGGAGTCACAGTTATCTTGTGCCGATGTTAGCGTGATACATGCATACAAGCAACATTAGTTAACGGGTTTTCTTTTGTTTACAAGATTTTTAACGTTATAAATTATCACATTTTACATGCATGGGTCCCCCCACTTCTTACATATTATTGAAATTCATGTAGTTATTCCACATGTTCTTCTTTTATCTTAGTTATTACAATAGGTTAAATCATCCAAGTCTAACAAGAAACATCATGTTATATACTATACTATGATATCATAATAAGGTTCTTGATATAAACCCGCAGTCCCTCAATCATTCTGAACTTTCGCCGTTTGTGGATCACTCGAATAAATGCAGGAATTCGTGAGAATATGGTATCTTCAAGTTATAGTAGATTAATAAACAATTTGTATAAGGGACAATTGCTCCTTAATCGTAAAATACTTGCACAAATAACTATATTAAATAGGAATTGTCTTTATATGATTTTTCTTTCATGCAACCCCAACTACAGAAACCACTGTAAGGACGAATGCGGTACTATCCCGGAAGAAGTGACGAAGACATTCTTAGGAAGGTTGAAGAAAACCTTCCCAATTACGATTGTGTCCACAATTTCTTATTAATAGCAGAATCAAACCTGAGTCACTACTAGATCAATTCTGCGCCGATATTCAACTAGGACCATTAACCATAGTGTGGAGGATTACCACCTACTACAATATCCAACTTTTGCCTCGGTCATTTACTGTTTTAGAGCGCGTGTATGACATGCAGCCTGCTCTTCCTATTTTGATGAAAACAATAGATTATAGAGGGAAAGAATGAACAAAAGAAAGACACTAATGATTCAAAAAGGGCTTGTCAATACCCCTCAGTGTTATCTTACCACACAAAAAAAGCCTCAAAATTCCCACCGGCAATTTTGGCCTCAACCCTCTTGAACCCTTCCGATAAAAAGAAATTTGTCTCGACACTATCCACAAATGGATTAGATCTTCAACTGAACAGCGACGAATCCTCCGTTTCCCCCTCATCGTAAAACAAAAAAACAGAGCGCGGAATTATTTCCTAAAAAGCAATATCGTCCAGCGTGGAACCAAACAGCAACATGTAAAACGACTAACGAGTGCAAAACTTTCTTCTTGTGGTGGCTTAATAAAGTGGGAACGGAGGCTCAAATGGAGCTGGAGTCCCTTCCGAAGATGAACCGCTTCACCCAGTCAGTCACCACCAGAGATCTGGTGCGCCAGCTCACCAGCTTGCTGTAAAATATAGAGAGAGAAGGAAAAACGGCGGCAGGGTGAGAAATCCTGAATGCTGAGTCCCGCCGGAGATGGAAGAGCTAACGGAGAAAGCTTCGTTTTACCTTGCATAGACGGAGTACCAGAGCCACTGAGTGCTGTGGCCGATTGACACCCAATCGCCTGGAAGCTGAGCTGCCGTTTGTTCCCCTCCCAATGGAGCAAATTGCCCGAAATGCTTGTACCTGAAGCAGGGCAACGCAAGCAACGATCGTGTTATCCTTCCAGCAAAACGGTTTGTTTGGGAATAGTTGGGGTCTCTTGTACAGTTTGATTTAGAGAGAAAGGGAGGGAACCTGAAGGGACGGAAACGATGGCGGCCTTCTCCTCTGAACCTGAGTGGTCCTTCAGGATTCTTCTCAGCTTCTTCCATCCGGTTGAAGCATTTCGCAAGGTAGGCACCCTGCTGAGCTGCAACCTGAAAGCAAAGCGAAAATCAAAGTCCAGTTAAACCGACCAAAAGTGCAGTGTTTGGAATTGGACATTGGGCCAATTCAGTTTGGCCAACATATGAACTGGATGGGGAGGTAACTGTACGCACCTGAGCTGTTGCTGGGAGGTTCTTGACCTGGGCGTCAACTTCTTTCAGCGCTGCTTTGAGCTCTTCGATGCTGATTTCGACAGAGCTTTTCGAATCGTCCTTCAGAAGATCCGCAATGTTCCGGAGTTTCTTTGTCTTCAGGTAGAGATCCACTTGAGGGTACCTTTCACAGATGTCGTCGACCACTTCTTGAAGTTCCTTCACCGTGAGTTTACCAGAGTTGTCCTTGTCTGCCTTCTTGAATATTGAGTCAATGTCTTCCTGCAAGCAACAGTGGAGTAAAAGGCGATTAAAAGCAATAGCCAAATCGATCAACTTGGCGAAGTACATGAAATTAGTTCCAAACTGTGGCCCAAATTGCATTGGTGAAATTAGCACAAGTTTGCCAGGAATGATTGAAACTTTAGATTTGTAAACTAATGGGACAATCTTGGGTTTTTGCTTCCATTAACCTGTTCCAGATTAGAATCTTGTCAGGAGCTCACAAAAAGAAATCAAAAGAGCAGGACTGCCATTTGTGAATATATTAACCGTGACTGGAAAAAGGAAGAGAGAAAATTAAAGAGAAAGGGAGAGAGCATCCATTTATCCCATAAGTTAGCATCAAAGAGCTTTCAAGCACCAAACAATTACTTCTGAAAATGATAAGCACATCATTATTAAGGGAAGGCCAACGTTGATCAATAGTTCATAATTAGGGTCATTGATCCACAGTTCATAATAAGGGTCTTGGATAACAATGGAAAAGGAAATTGAAGACAATACCATGACTCTGCGCTGGTTAATTGTAGCACAGTCACCAAGGGCATAAATGCTATCAGTTCCCTCAACTCGCAGCCATTCATCAGTTGCTAAAACACGCCTGGTTTCCTGTTGACAATGAAGAGATTAACTATGTGGCTATGGGTAAACTGGAAAGTAAAATGAAGGTAAAGAAAGGCCAAGGGACTAGTCAGTGAGAGTGAGAAAATGGCTAACCTGGCCAACTTGCTTCATAAAATCCTTTACAACTGGATCAGTTCCAATTCCAGTCGACCAGACCACCATTCCGTAAGGCATAGTAGCAACTTGCCCATTAACCCTGGCTTTCGTGGAGATTTCCTTGTCAGAAACTTTGATAACCATTGACCCTAGTTTCACATCTATGCCATCTCTTTTGAACTTGTCTTCAGCAAATTCTGTAATTCGTTTGTCAAACCTGCAATGAAGAATTGGCAAGCATGAGAGGATGACACATGAAACGTTTCAACAGCAAGTTTTCAAAGTGCCAGCAGACAGTAACATCCATTGTTCTTTCTGTTCACAAATCATTAAGAAAGCCGGAATAAGTCTCAACCTTCCCTAACTTTCTAGTTAAAATACCAATCAATCATGCAAAGTATTATTTGAATAAAGTGGAAACCACTGAATAAGGTAGATGCAGGATTCCATTTGTGTGCACCAGACATGATAACATAAGCACAGAAGATTCCCTTACATGGTTAGAATATGATCCGCTGCCTCAAGCAGTGTTATCTTGACATACTTCCCAGCTGCAGGATACAACTTGACCAGATCCTCTTTCACAAAATCATGGAGTTCTGCAGCAAACTCCACCCCTGTGGGCCCACCGCCAACCACCACAAAATGCAACATCTTCTGCCTCTCTTCATCGCTCAGACTAGGCAAGCTTGCCTTCTCAAAAGCATCGATAACAGATCTACGGATCTTTTGAGCATCTTCAACTTCCTGACATGCAACAAAACATCCATCTACCGTTAAACACAAAACTACAAACAAAAAGAGAAACCCGTCTATATTAGTCTACAAACCGAGTAAATCACCTTGAGAAAATTGCAATGTTCGACGACACCAGGAGTATTGAAAGTGTTGGGACGGGCACCCATTGCTATGACAAGGTAGTCATAATCCACCACAAATTCTTCCTTCCCTTTCCCATCGATGTTCTGGTTGGAACGGCAGTGAACCTTCTTGCTCTGGGAATCGATCTTGAAACACTCAGCTTCCCAGTAATGGACGTCAACATTCTTCTGCAGAAGGAGAAAATCAAACACCGAGCTATGAGCGTGAGACACAGGTTCACTTTCCACAGACACCATTACTTCAAACGAAATAGTCATTTTAGAGAGTGGAAACCTTCTTGACGATGTTACGAATTGGCTCCACGATGCTGCGTGGCTCCACTGTACCAACAGTGACACTAGGCAACAGAGGAGTGAATGCGAAGTAATTCCGTGGCGAAATCACTTGAACGTCGTAGGAAGGATTGTCCAATTGCTTCAGGAAGCTCGTCCCTGCCCATCCGGTTCCGAGAACAACAACGCGCTTCTTCTTGATCTCAGGTGGAGCAATCGGACTCGTTGAGTTCGCGTCCGCATAAGCCAAAAGGCCTCCACCACTACAAACAAATTCCGCCGCGAACAATCCAAAACAAACGCGTAAGCTTGGAATAGCCAGCTAAACACTAATAGTACAGGATACGGACTCTCAGAACTAGCATCGATTGAAAGAAACGGATCGGGATGTAAGAAAATTTTCGATCTAATCCTCGTTTCTCCACATACGTGCAAAGTAATTTCAAAGAAACGCAACTAAGATAGCAGAGAGAAGGAACAGATCCACTAGGAGACTGATTTTCTCCAAACAATTCAAAATCAGATCTACATAGACGCATCGCCAAGCATGAGAAAATCCGCCATGAGAAGTCTCAGATTGCCAAAACAAACCTACACAAGCTCAGTAGTGCCTCCGTTCACGCCAAACGGTTCAAATCGAAATCAAAATCCACAAGCGTACTCAATTCAGTTCAGTAGCGCATAGGATTCACAGCAAACCGAGTAACCAAAAACGATTCACGCTATCAGTTAACCTTCCAAAACACTGTACCTGACGGTGAATAGCAGAATAGCAGAATAGCAACGGAGAACGATGAGAAACTAGCAGAATAGCAACGGAGAAAACAGAGAACCGTACCTGACGGTGAATACCACAAGCAGCTTAGAGAACGACGAGCTGTCACTATACGTTCGAGAAGCTCTCTCGAACAGCTTGATCGCTTTCATCTTTCAAATTCTCCGGAGGATATCCCGTCGACTCTGTTTCTCGCCGCCGATTCAACAGTTCCTCGAAGCGAGTAGTGAAAGAGAGAGAGGGATAGAGAGTTTCTGGATTCAAACGTCGTCTCTGATGAAATGAGAAACTGTGATGGTTGGAGGGATAGAAGAAGAAAGGAAAATTCAGAACAGAGAGAAAATTTCCCCAAAACAATTGGAGAGAGAGAGAGAGCGAGAGGGAAAAAGGAGCGATGCAAGAAATGCGGAACGTGTGAGTCCGTACGGGGTGAGAGCAAATGAGCGTTGTTGATCTGGAGGTTTCCAAATTCCAGCCGTTCTTTCTTTTCTCTTTTTTTGTTGCCTTGATGGGCAAGTGTACGAGGCCACGTGGTATACGGGGAAGATTCTTTCCCGCCTTTCCACTTGCACGCGTAGATGCTTGACACGTGGACACCGGCTTGCTTTTTCCGGATAGTGGGCCCGCGGCTGGCGTTTCTTTGCCGCTAGATGGGCTGGGCTGGCCCTGCATGAAAAAAAGGGCTGAAATGGACCGTCAGATTCGGTAGTGTCAAACTGAAGATTTGTCAACTTTGTTTTTCAGTTAGAGATAGAATATCAATTTGGCCTAGTTGTTGCTCAATAGGGAATCGGTATATACATTCAAATTCAATCGAATCACCCTAGCAATAACAAACTGTCGTAATGGAAGAGGGCAGAGGACGGTACACCAGCGGCACATGCTGACGTCTAGAAGGGCGGAGGCTGCTAGGGTGCATTGCCTTGCCTGCCATTGCGGACAGGCTGGAAGCCGCCGGCAGGTTACATAAGCACATGCTGACTTACGAGCCAAGCTTCCTTTTTTTCTAACTCTTGCGAGAAGGAAAGGGTTTCGATCTATACCGGGAAATGGCAAGGTCACGAGGTACAGCAGCTCCGGAAGACTAGAGTACCTCGACAAACTCCGGGAACAATGTCTTGCTCACTTCATTGACGAACAAGATCGATTGATCGCTTTGCCTTCCACCCCCATCCGAGAAGCCCTGCAGATCATATGAACATATTCCTTGATGGAATACGGCATGTCAAACACTATAACCTGCCCAACACCCAACCGATCAACTCTTCGACCCAGAACGATCACCAGAGCTTCCCCCCATCGAGAATTCCCTCATCACTTCTTTCCTCTCCATCATCGACTTCACACCATGGACCCCAGGTAGATCACGCGGCTGGTGGGTTGAAATGCTGCTTGCTTGATAGAACATCGAAAAGCTTCTGCTTCTTCTGCTTGGTCTCGACCTAGATCGGCACCTGTTTCACTGCCATACTAGGCTTGTTAGGCTGGCCAATGGAGATTGAAACAACGTCTGTAGACATCGAGCTAGCCAGTTCTCGACTGAATCAGAGATCGTAGCTGAGTACATCAAAACCTGCAGTTGAGCCAGACTGAGGAAAATATGCATGACCTGGCCTCGAAACCCCTTATGAAGCATGCAGTCCATTTCATCAACCACAAACATCGTGACATCGTCTAACTCGATATCCTGCTTTGCTAGGGGATCAATCAGACTCCCTGGAGTAGCCACGATCAGCTTGATACCTTGATGAAGGTGGTGGATTTGTCCGGACACAGGGATCACCACCGACAACAAGAGCAGTCTTGATTGGCAAGCAACATGGCTTGATCTTCCACTTGTATGCAGAGCTCTCTAGCCAGTTTTAGTACGACTGACAATGGCTTCTTCTCACTGTTATAGCATTTTGTGCAAGGCGAAATGCTGCACAATGGGAGATGACTGGAATGAGAAAGGAAGCGGTTTTCCCTTACCCCAGGGTCAGCAGAAGCGAGAGGACTCTTCCCATTAAAAGCAATGGAATCACCTGCATCTTGACCGGGGTAGGCAAATCGAACCCTGCTGATTCTACGTTGTTCAATAGCTTCAGAAATGGAGATTGCAGCGAGAATGGTAAAATTGCAGGTGGAGCTAAATTTCCCCTAACATGAACGCCGAGTTTCATCCTCAGCAATTCAGTATGATAAGCTGATAAAGACTGGAGATTCTGATCTTCCATCAGAAACATAAAAGCACCCATCCTTTCCAGGTATCTTATCGATGGCAGCAGAGCTCCGGGCCTTGGCAATGCACGAGTAGCGTTTGCTTGCAGTCCAAGCTACACATGTCGTCATCGGTTTATTGCAGACTACTCACCATAGCGGCCACATATTATGCATTTGGGATATCCTGGAAGAGCTAATCGCTGCTGTCTAGGAGTCTGAACAACCTCAACAGCTGCATCATCAACTGAGAAAGAAAAGCGACAATAAGAGATACTCATTCCGAAGCTATCGACGGTCATGGAACCATACGAACGCAGGAGCACCAGGCAGCTGAATTGAAAACTCTCAGCTCCGGCAATGCAGTCCGAGAGGAATCAAAATGTTCCCTTATGGGAATTAGCTAGAGAAATTCAGACTGAGTCAGATAGGCATAGAAAAACAAAATGCAAGTCACAGTACCTGGGAGTTTAATAGTATCTGCACCGACAATTGGATATCTGGTCCAAACCTCCATGATCGAGAGATAACTTCAAGCTTTTCCCGCAGAACTAAAACCCTAGAAATGCAGAAAGACGAAGTTCTTCGTTGAAAGAAGACGGTAGCCGCTGGCGGTAGGAAAATCAAGAGGAAGCCCTAGACTCCCAGCCTATACTGGCCAGTTTCTCGACGACGACTCAAAGCTCGCCGGGAAGAGGTCTGGATTAACTGATCTTGGAGAGAATCGGCGCCGGCGGGACGATGGGGGAAAGTACGGGAAAGGGAATTTGTGTGATTTACCGCCCAACTCCGCTGGTTAGACTGGATCCACGTTTTGGGCCTCATGAAGCAAGATTCCAGATGGATCAAGTGAGCCTTCTTATTACGATAGCTTTCGACTTTGGGCTGAACGTTGGGCTTGGGCTTTAGTTTACATTTAATGTATTTTTAATTCTACTTTATTATTTTCTCTACAAATTCTTAAACACTTTTTTTTTGTCATTATATAAAACAATTTACAATAACTACGGGATTAAATAGAATTTATTAATCATATTTTTCAAATATTAGCCAAATCTTTTGTAACACATAAAATTATTAGTTATTTGTCTGTTACCATTAGTAATTCTTAAATAAAATACCAAAATTTTGAAATGTTAAACGTCATGTGTCTCTTCCAACTCGACCTCATGTTACCGAGTCACCATTACTAACGAAACTGCTAACAGAGAGTTGACATCTAGATCTAGATAATAAATAAAAGCCGAATGATGAAAACTGTTGCTCCATTTCAAATTTCCTACAACGAGAGTGATTATAGGAAGGACATTTTGGTCTTCACAATTGCTTATTTTCTTATTTATTTATTCATAAAAAAGGCATACACTGGGATTTGAACCTTGGTCTCTTTAAAGGCAAGCAAACATCATAACCAATCACACTAAGTATATTTGTTGTATCTATTTAAATTCAAACATACACGAACCTAAATTATGAAAATCATATGACTTTTTTAACGATTAGTTGGCCACTGAATCTCCCGTAAGTACTTATTTGGTGTTTTAATACTTTGATTATTTTAATTGTAGTTTAATACTTAATTTAAATTTCTATCTATTTTATAAATATACAATAACCCTAAAATTGCAGCCCAAATATCACTGGTTCGAATATTGCATATCGAATTGCAATATTAAACATGTAGAAGCAATATCGACTTCTTAAATTAATATTATTTTTCAGAATTACTATGGAGAAATTATATCTTTGTGCAAACTGAGACTGGTTCTTTTAATGTTTTAGTCGGGATAACCGCTACATTTTAAACTTCTTCATAATCTGGCATGATTGGATCCAATGATCATTATACAAGATTGTGTTTAATAGGGTGGCTCATTTCACCACTTTTTGGCGTGTTAATGAATTTGTAGGACAATGACAGGTCTACATCTACACTCATCACAATCTACACATCATATAAATGTGAAATGTGAAATGAGAAAAGAGGGATTCCATTTCAAATTTGATGCGTACAGAGCAATTTTTTAGGGGTAAATTTAGAAAATGCCAGTGCGGTCGGTCTGTTGAGCACGAAAGTAAAAATATGTTTTCGTTTAAACGGGCCCAAACTGTTATTTGGCCCACTAATCGTGCACCCATCGCCAATGCAGTCAAATTCGGGATTTTGATCGTAAAATCGTAGGATTTTAGGATTTTACTTAGGGATTCCGATCTTGATTTTACTATAAAATCGGTGGACCTTAAAATCGTTTAAAATCGGGATTTTGATCGTAAGAGAACAAAATAGGTGGTTTGAGCCAATTTAAAATAAGTATAACTGTTTCAGTGGAAAGGGCAATGGAATCTCTTAGAAAAATATTCAAAAATAATAAAAATAACCAAATTAGGGTTCGGTTAATCTCTTTCCCTTCACCCCATTTAACTTATTGGTAAAACACCTGTCCTAATATTGGAAGTATGTAAGAATTAACATCATTATTAACTAATTAATTTATTAATGAATATATTTGTACCAAGCCACTAACATTACTTATTTTATTGGAGTTCAATTATTTTTAGTTTTAAATCATACTTAGTAGACGATGTCGAAATATTACTTTGAGTTAAACAACCTAGACATAACATGAAAATAAGAGCCAAACCCATGAACTATATCCCTTCATCATGAATTATTTTGAGTTACACATTAAATAACAATTAAAATAGTGATTTTGGAACATTAATCTTGAGAATTATCTTATGGAAAAAAAAATCTTCTGAATTATCATTTTAAATGCTATGTGTCTTTGTAATATTAATAATTTACCTTATTAATATTCTTATATGCTATGTTCTATATGGTACTTAAAATCCTACGATTTTGCGATTCGATTATACGATTTTGATTTTACCCCAGTTTTCGATTTTAGGTAAAATCTCGATTTTAACTGCTTTGCCCATCGCAGCCTCTCCAAATCTTCCTATTCTACTCGCCGGGTCATCTCCTCCACTACAAAATATCTCCTCATGTACTCAAAGTTCTCACTGAAACCTAATATCTACAACTTAGGCGCAATTGTATTGTGTTCACGAAGATCTGAAGGCGCAAGTGCAACAGGTCCAGGGGTAAACAATATGTATAAAGCGTTGGCCAAATTGAATTGAGTCATTCTACTTGGAATATGAAGATTTTTGCTTAATTGCTTTGGTTCGTGATGCAACTATGTTATGTTTGAAGGTAGACCAACGCAAACAACAGCACAGCTCCAGGGCTATTCTGCACATTAGGTAGTTGGGGCATTAATTGATAATTATTTGAGATTATTCCTACAAGTACATAATTTGGAACGTGCCTTTATATTGCATTGATTAATAGTTGTTTGAGATTTTTCAAATGAGTGATTTGACATGTTAAACTCTCTTATTTTTGAAAATGGAGTCTTCGAAGTGGAATATGAAGATTTTGGATTAAGCTTGGTTTCGTAACGCCCTAATGGGTGTTTATTCTCTAAAATGCAGCTGTCTTTCAAAGTGCCCGTTGCAAATGGCAAGTCAGGATACAACGATGGTACCGGTACACGTTTATATCATTAGTAGGTAGCAGATTGTGTCCATTCTACTATATCATTTAGCTAAATACTTAGTTGTTCTTTTCAACTAAAAATCATGCTTAAATGCTGTGAATGGCCTCAGAAATGTATGTCTTTGTATTAACTGTTAATGATTGTGAGTTTTGGTTTAATGGTGAAAAGTCCATTTATTTAGAAGTCTAAATTGGGCAAACCTATTGGACAATAGGAATGCCATACATTAGTGTCGTGGGAGGTTTGTTTGATGTCTCAGGGTGTTAGATTTTTAAGAAGGTTGTTTGTTGTGGCAAAGAGTCCCTAAAGCTAGCGAGGTATTCCTATGTGGGCTTTTTCTTTGTTTGACTTTTTCTCGCCTTTTTTCTTATCTCTTTTTCTATTTTTGGTTTTTGTGTGCTACCTTCAGTTGCTACGTCTTCATTTGTGAGCCATCTATACTTTTCTTATTCAGTGCCTAAAAATCATATATACTCGATTGCATAGTAGTTACTAATAGATACATTTATACCAATAGAGAGATTTTAAGTTTTATCAGTTGTTAGTTTTAATATTTACTTACATTGGTTGTTTATGTAGTTTTCTTTGTAATATTTCTCATTATACAACTAATTACTATGGCTACGTAGTTGTATAAGTGGGGTTGGACATGATAGTTCTTAGAAGCATCAATACTTGAAGGTTATTATAATGACCAAATTCTAAAGTTATGGTTTGCCTTCAACTTGCTTGGAGCATTTCAATTATGCATCAATTGTTCTCTCCGTGTAGTTAACTCTCAGACAAATCGAAAATCTTGCTGATATGTGCTTGATTGTAGTTAAATTTAGGGTTCTACTGCATTGTTGCTTTACTCTTTTTTCGTGGTTGAGTCTGCTTCAAAAAATTTAGTTTGATTTTAGAAAATTTTGCTTCTGCAGTCCTGTCTTGCCACCAACGCTTTCAATAGATGGAGACGGGAGAGGCGAAGGCTATTTTTGTGTTGTTGTTGCTGGTTTAGGGATCGGTTTGTGAAGAAGAGGGAGAAGAGAGGGGGAAAGGGAAATGCAGGAGAGGGGGATAACTCTTTTCTCCGACAAAAATGGAGTGAAGAAAGGAATTATGATCAGTAAGAATATGGTTATCTTACATAACGGTCTCTATTCTGTTTGAATTGAGCTTGAGAGGCAGTGATAAGGACGGGCTGCAACCAATTCATAGTGAGAAGAGAGCTATGAACTGTGATCATGTCTTATTTCAAGTTAGAAGGTAGTTTCAGTATAAGGATTATTTAATTTGACAAGTTGTTTCTTCCATGATTCTTGGTAGTTTCAGTGCCATTCTAGCCAATGTTTAGTCTGTAATTTTTGAGAATTGATGTGCGAGTAATGACTTTCACTTAGCTTCAACTATTATGTGTGTATTTATTGGCATGTGATAGAATTCTCTTTTCCTTTTCATTGAATTCATTTTCATACTCTAATTGTATTATTTGTACATAGGCAAATCATGCTCGAGATGGCAACTCGCTGATATGGCTGGTGCAAGGAATGAAGCCATCATTAGAATTCAGACCGACAACGGGGAGGGATGCCCAGGACTAATTCAATGATGATTGATGATGGTATAATAAAAACTGC